TACTTTTGCAATGCTAATTACTCGCCACTTATGGGTTTTCGAGGTCATTTCTTGGTGCTTGTGTATTATTCTGGATGTACTTAAATAGTTAGGCACATTAAATTTTAGTTCAGAGAAAAAAAGTATTTTTGGCCAAAAATCCTTTAAGGCTTTAGACTTACAATTTTCGTCATTTCGGCCAAAAAATGGATTTTGTTCAAAATTTCAGTGGGTACTCCTGAATGGTGCTGCTTAGGATCTGTTAACCAAAATTTGATATCTTGATTATAACTTGTTCAAATGACTTTTTAGAAAATGTTCAAAGTTTTTAGAATATTTTAATTACTTTTGCAATGCTAATTACTCGCCACTTATGGGTTTTCAGGGTCATTTCTTGGTGCTTGTGTATTATTCTGGATGTACTTAAATAGTTAGGCACATTAAATTCTAGTCCAGAGAGAAAAAGTATTTTTGGCCAAAAATCCTTTAAGGCTATAGACTTACAATTTTTGTCATTTTCGGCCCAAAAATGGATTTTGTTCAAAATTTCAGTATAGGTACTCCTGAATGGGCTGCTTAAGGATCTGTTAACCAAAATTTGATATCTTGATTATAACTTGCTCAAATGGCTTTTAGAAAATGTTCAAATAATTTTAGAATATTTTAATTACTTTTTGTAATGCTAATTACTCGCCACTTATGGGTTGGAGGTCATTTCTTGGTGCTTGTGTATTATTCTGATGTACTTAAATAGTTAGGCACATTAAATTTTAGTTCAGAGAGAAAACGTATTTTTGGTCAAAAAACTTTAAGGCTATAGACTTCAATTTTTTCTATTTCGGCCAAAAATGATTTTTGTTCAAAATTTCAGCATAGGTAATTCTGAATGTGCTGCTTAAGGATCTGTTAACCAAAATTTGATATCTTGATTATAACTTGTTCAAATGGCTTTTAGAAAAATGTTCAAATGATTTTTAGAATATTTTTAATTACTTTTGGTAATGCTAATTACTGCCACTTATGGGTTTCGAGGTCATTTCTTGGTGCTTTTCAGTATTATTCGGCTGTACTTAAATAGTTAGGTACATTAAATTTTAGTTCAGAGAGAAAAACGTATTTTTGGCCAAAAAATCCTTTATGCTATATAGATTCTACAATTTTCTATTTTCACAAAATGGATTTTAATTCAAAATTTCAGTATAGGTACTCCAGAATGTGCTGCTTACGATCTGTTAACCAAAATTTGATATCTTTATTTATAACTTGTTCAAATGGCTTTAGAAAATGTTCAAATGATTTTATGAATATTTTAATTACTTTGGTAATGCGCGTTAATTACTCGCCACACGGTGGTTTTTCGAGGTCATTTCTTGGTGCTTGTGTATTATTCGATGCCTTTAAATAGTTAGGCACATTAAATTTTAGTTCAGAGAAAACGTATTTTTGGCCAAAAATGGATTTTGTTCGTACTCAGTATAGGTACTCCAGAATGTGCTGCTTAAGGATCTGTTAACCAAAAAATTTGGTTATCTTGATCATAAACTTGTTCAAATGGCTTTTAGAAAATGTTCAAAATGATTTTTAGAATATTACCATTTTTGGTAATGCTAATTACTCGCCAATTTCTATGGGTTTTCGAGGTCATTTCTTGCGCTTGTATTATTCTGATGTTTAAATAGTTAGCGCCATTAAAATTTTAGTTCGAGAGAAAAAACGTATTTTTGGCCAAAAACTTTTAAGGCTATAGACTTACAATTTTCTTTCATTTCTGGCCAAAAATGGATTTTGTCTAAAAATTATATAGGTACTCCAGAATGTGCTGCTTAAGGATCTGTTAACCAAAATTTGATATCTTGATTATAACTTGTTCAAATGGCTTTTAGAAAATGTTCAAATGATTTTTAGAATATTTTAATTACTTTTGCAATGCTAATTACTCCGCCAATTTCTTATGGGTTTTCGAGGTCATTTCTGGTGCTTGTGTATTATTCTGATGTACTTTAAATAGTTAGGCACATTAAATTTTAGTTCAGAGAGAAAACGTATTTTTGGTCAAAAAATCCTTTAAGGCTATAGACTTACAATTTTCATTTCGGCCAAAAATGATTTGTTCAAAATTTCAGTATAGGTAATTCTGAATGTGCTGCTTTGCTGGATTCAGCTAACCAAAAAAATTTGATATCTTGATTATAACTTGTTCAAATGGCTTTAGAAAATGTTCAAATGATTTTAGAATATTTTAATTACTTTTTTAATGCTAGTCATACCGCCACTTATGGGTTTTCGCTTCTGGTGCTTGTGTATTATTCCTGATGTACTTAAATAGTTAGGCACATTAAATTTTAGTTCAGAGAGAAAAACGTATTTTTGGCCAAAAAATCCTTTTATGCCATAGATTCATAATTTTTCTTCTACGGCCAAAATGGATTTTGTTCAAAATTTCAGTATAGGTACTCCTGAATGTGCTGCTTAAGGATCTGTTAACCAAAATTTGATATCTTGATTATAACTTGTTCAAATGGCTTTTGAGAAATGTTCAAATGATTTTTTAGAATATTTTAATTACTTTTTGTACCATCACATTTGGGCCACTTATGGGCTTTGAGTGTCATTTCTTGGTGTTGTGTATTATTCTGGGATGTACTTAAATAGTTAGGCACATTAAATTTTAGTTCAGAGGAGAAAACGTGCTTGGCCAAAAAATCCTTAAGGCTATAGACTTACACCTTTCTTCATTTCTGGCCAAAAAATGATTTGTTCAAAATTTCAGTATAGGGTACTCCAGAATGTGCTGCTTAAGGATCTGTTAACCAAAAATTCTGATATCTTGATTATAACTTGTTCATGGCTTTTAGAAAAATGTTCAAATGATTTTAGAATATTTTAATTACTTTTTGCACAAGTAATTACTCGCCACTTATGGGTGCTGGAGGCTCATTTCTTAAAAGCGTATTATTCCTGATGTACTTAAATAGTTAGGCACATTAAATTTTAGTTCAGAGAGAAAACGTATTTTTAGTCAAAAAATCCTTTTAAGGCTATAGATCTTCATAATTTTCTTCATTTCGCCAAAAAATGGATTTGTCTAAATTTCAGTATAGGTACTCCTGAATGTGCTGCTTACGATCTGTTAAACCAAAATTTGATATCTTGATTATAACTTGTTCAAATGGCTTTTAGAAAAATGTTCAAATGATTTTAGAATATTTTTAATTGCTTTTTGCAATGCTAATTACTGCCACTTATGGGCTTTATATTTCTTGGTGCTTGTGTATTATTCTGATGTACTTAAATAGTTAGGCACATTAAATTTAGTTCAGAGAGAAAAATCGCATTTTTGGTCAAAATCCTTTGCTGCTTTTGGTAGACTTATAATTTCTTTCTATTTTCCGGCCAAAAAATGGGATTTTGGTTCAAAATTCTCCAGTATAGGTACTCCTGAATGTGCTGCTTACGATCTGTTAACCAAAAATTTGATATCTTGATTATAACTTGTTCAAATGGCTTTAAAATGTTCAAATGATTTTAGATTTAATTACTTTTTGCAATGCTAATTACTTCGCCACTTATGGGTTTTTTCGAGGTCCTTTCTGGTGCTTGTGTATTATTCTGGATGTACTTAAATAGTGAAAATATTAAATTTTAGTTCAGAGAGAAAACGTATTTTGGCCAAAAATCCTTAAGGCTATAGACTTACAATTTTCTTCATTTCGGCCAAAAATGGATTTTGGTTCAAATGTAGTATAGGTACTCCAGAATGTGCTGTTTAAGGATCTGTTAACCAAAAATTTGATATCTTGATTATAACTTGTTCAAATGGCTTTTAGAAATGTTCAAATGATTTTTAGAATATTTTAATTACTTTGCAATGCTAATTACTTCCGCCACTTATGGGTTTCGGAGGTCATTTCTTGGTGCTTGTGTATTATTCCTGATGTACTTAAATAGTTAGGCACATTAAATTTTAGTTCACAGAGAAAATATTTTTAGTCAAAAAATCCTTTTTATGCTATAGACTTGATAATTTTTTCATTTCGGCCAAAAATGATTTTGTTCAAAATTTCTGTGCAGTAGGTACCTGAATGTGCTGCTTACGATCTGTTAACCAAAATTTGATATCTTGATTATAACTTGTTCAAATGGCTTTTAGAAAATGTTCAAATGATTTTTAGAATATTTTAATTACTTTTGCAATGCTAATTACTCGCCACTTATGGGTTTTCGAGGTCATTTCTTGGTGCTTGTGTATTATTCTGGATGTACTTAAATAGTTAGGCACATTAAATTTTAGTTCAGAGAGAAAAAGTATTTTAGCATACCCCAGCAGTCTCACACAATAAGTCTTAGTAAATACTTTAAAGCTTTCTATATCAGCAGCCAAGCAGAAGACAGCTTGTTAAGTTACACAAAATATAAAGTAACAAGAAAAATCACAGTACATAATACAGTGCACCCTCGTTTTTGTGGTGTTGATTTTGCAGATTTTTATAAAAAAATTATTTTCATTGTAACAGGTATTACCGATTTCCTATGAGGATGAATTGCGCGCACAAACGGATTTCCGTAAGAAACCTCCAGGCATCAGTACCGCAGAGCACAGCTTCCCGCCTCCCCTCGCCATACTGTTTATACATCTCACTGTGACCCGTGTTGTGTACTCATAAATCCCATCATGGCTCCAAAACATCCTTCTAAAGGTGGTGACAAGGGCAGTAACACACCAAAGAAACCCAAGAGAAATGGAAAAGTGTTGATTTTAGTAGTCAAAATAATAAAGAAACTTCAGAGCAGCATGAGCTATGCGGCATGCACTAGGGAATATAGGATGAACGAACCAACAGTTTGCGATAGATTATTCATCATCATCGTCATTCATTCATCATCTGCTGTGATGTATCAGGGAAGAGTTGGAAGGGAAGATCAAGAGGACAGAACACCATAACTGGGCTGGTCAGTACAGTACAGTATTCCATATGCATTGTACAGGTATTTTATTTAGGCACATCATATATAAAATAATGTTCATTTTTATTTGCATCTTTATTATGTTGTCTTTACATGTTATTTAATGATGTGTGAGAGGGAAAGAGGTTTACAGATCATTAGGAACACATTTAAGGCCACACAAGTGATCGGGGAAGGTTATAGGTTATAATATTGAGTATTACATGGTAAGTGAAAATCCAGAAAATAGTATTCATGGTTATAGTAATGACGGTTTTGCTCTTTCGTGGTAATATCAGGAGCGTTACGCCCACGCAAAACGAGGGACCACTGTAGCTAAATTAAACAATAAATACGATATCCTTACCAACTGGAGCAAGAAAGCTCACCATCTGTTGAAAACCACAATAAAGATTTTTTTTTAATCTACGATGTACAATCCTGGAACCATAAAAGCTAACACAATAAAAAAGGTAAAATTACCTCTCTTTTTTTTCTACAGTAAATTTCTTCTAATATTAAAAAAAATTATTGCATATAAACAAAGAAGTTAAAAGTTAACAAATGCTGGACACCACCACATGCACAATGACTGTAAATATGATGGTACAGTACAGGGTATATAAATATGAAAAGTATAACTCCAACAGAAAAGAACCTTTCCAAACATTTCCAATAGCTTTCACATATTGTAATAATGATAATTTCGAGCCCCCAACAACAAAGGTCTACATCGTATTGTGCAAGAATATCTGGCAAATGAAAAGGTTTTAGCTAAGACAGTACTGTACTGTGACATATTCATCCTAAATCATAACAACTTTATTATTTAATCAGTTTTGTAAACTGCTTCATAGTAATCCATACATATAATGTATAATACATGTTTATGTACAAACACACCAGACAAAAGAAGTCGATGGACAGTTATTTACAGAACAATATATTCTGAAACTTTTGCAAAATCCAGATACAACTTGGCTAAACAGCTGCTTATGTAAGAGGACTAATGACCTCAAACATGATCTTTGTGATGATTCCTTAAATTTCTCAAAAGTAAATACATTTAATCTTTTTAAAGACTATTACCATATAAAGGATATCCAGTATAAAGTTGCTATATTCATTAACACTTGTTTCATGAACTATACCATACTCCTTAAAGAACACATTGTCCAATGACTCTTCACCAAATATCTTAACTTTAAAATTTATGTTGGACACAAAGCAAACACCTTTCAGCACATGTAGAATAAAAAGTTTTAATCATGACTGTTTAAATGACTTATGGAGATTCTTGAAAAATGACACCACACACACAAGACCCAGTGCAGTACAGTATCATCATAGAAATAAGAAGATTTATGCTAGACAAGAGACAATGATCCAACAGTTCATTAACAAAGTCTTCATAAATGTTCAAGTAGGAAGCCCAGCAAAGATATATGAAGCTGCATATCACAAAAACAAAGAGGACAAACTACAGTGACTCAAAGTGATGACTATGCTTAGTTATTAATGAAATTAGGTGTATATCTGAAAAGATTTATTCAAGAAGCAATTTGGACCAGCCCACACCAACAGTTAAATCGATCACTTTTGTTGGCAGCTGGATCTTAGCAAAAACTCAGTATCTATCGTGTAAAGATCTTGGAGAAGATGAAAGGCCAGTATCCATCATGGCTATTGGCTCCTTCTAGTTCACCTGTGAAAATAAAATAAAGGTATAATGTGTATATAAATTTAATCAACAATAGCGTCAATATTATCCACTCCAACATAATTTTTGTATTGGTAAGAGCATCAACAGCAGATGAAAAGAGTTATCAATCTATAGGGAAGGGAGGAGTGTTACAGAGGGTTTCTAATAGGAGAGGTGAAGCCTTCTTGAGTGTACACTACTGAATCATTTGATCTAATGAAAAATGTTGGATAAAACTTGTTTCATGCAACCAAAGTAAACAAAGTGAGGGAAGTGACGAAGGGGTATCTAAACAGTGAGTATTTACGAAGCTAAACGAGAATAAGAAAACTAACATTAGATTGACAAAATACTAAATAGTGTTCTGCTATAGTGTATAAAAAAATACATGTGATAATTTGCAAAAAGAATTTCAAAGGGGTGAGAATATTCACTGTTGTTCCTAATGCCATAGAATCGAAGTATTAATAAGAAGTAAGGTTGACTTACAGGACTGAAAAACAGGATCAAAGATGTTATCACTGTCCCTAATACCACATGGTCAAAGAATTAATAACAGATTAAGGTGACTTACCAAACTAAAGGAGAGCCAATTGGCAAAAGACTATGTAAAAGGTAATGTTAACTTACCAGGTTGTTGAAGAGGACCAGATCCACTACCATTATCTGGCTGTGAGTGTGTCACTATCACCTCTTCACGACCGCTGCTGTCTGTGTACCTTTTAGTCTCCTCAATGGTCTGAAAATTTTTTTTGCAGGTAACACTGCTAAATCCTGTACATGCATATTTTATAATAGTAATGGTAGCACCAAAATACTGGGTGTTTGGACAGGGGCATTGGTGTGCCTGAAAGTTAAATTCAGACCACCATGGGGTCGCTATAAAATGTAGTTAGCCTCAACTTCTGCAAAACCAAAGGAATCTTCATAAATTTAAATTTCAGTCTTCTATAAAAGCTCCTGACCGCTGAATCTCTGAAGTCAAGCCAGATGACATTCTAGGCTTTCTGACTGTAAATCTCATTTATGAAAGGACTTCTCAAAATGTGACTTACTCGAAGTCCTAACTTCGTCCTATCCTTCAAACAGGAAAATTAGAGACTGATCCTGAAATGGCATTTTAAAACATATCAAGAATTAAGCAACTCACGTACAGTACAAGCAACAAGTCAACAGTTTACATTATTTTAAAAAGCAGAGTTATCAGAACCCCTGATTTGTCTGGCTGAGATTGAAGTCCAGAAATAAATTTGAAAATACTGCCAATTTTTCCAAACACAACCCTAGTCCCTTAACTAATGGGAGTATTGGAGCTCCAGCTGTCATTGCCATAAATGTTCTCCAATATCAAAATTTGTTGGTTCGAAAATGGACAACAATATCAACCCTCTCAGTTACGGATCAAATAAGTAAGAGGGGAAAGATCTAAGCTGCCCAGTCCATACTCAATTATAAAAAGTAATACCAGGATCAATCCCTCATTTACTGCTTTCACATGAATCAGGCAACTCATGTACATAAAGCCAACTAGTACAGAAGAAAGGTTGGAGGTAATAAAGTATAAAGAGTTCACATTAGTCCTACATCCTCATATATCTGCTACTCGTACAGTTACTTGCTTATAATGTAGCAGTATTTGACATCAGTGGTTATGGTAGCAGGTAGTGAGTGGAAGAGTGGTAATAAAGGCATTAAGGTCGGTATTGATCGTTGAAGGAGATAATAATTGGTAGTGTTGACAGTTAGTTGGATGTGAGAGTTTTCAAGTTTCAAGTACAAATATCTGTGATTTCTTGGAATATGGTGAGAGTGGTGGTGGTACTATATTAAGGTGGGTGCTGGCAGTGGCTGGAGGTGATGGTGCTGATGGTTGGTGATGGTGGTGGTGTTAGTGGTGGTTGGAGGTGATAGAGATTGTGGTGGTGGTGTTGGAGGTGATAGTGGTGATGGGGAAAGTTGGAGATGATGATGATCATCAATATGGCTGCTAAATGAAACTGGGATAACAGACACCTCTTTCAAGAAGAATAAGCCTCAAAGTTCTCGTTTGTATAGGTTCATGGTAAACCCTTGTGTCTTGTCTTTAAAGAATCTATAGCCATCCCAAAAGTTTACAACCTGAAACATCACTTTGAATCCAGACATGCTATTACAGAGAGCAAGAAAGAACTCATAATGAATCTCATAAAAGGGCAGGACATTTTTCAAAAACCAATCCAGGACAGTTGTGAGAGCTAGCTATGTGATTGCATGTGAAATAGCAGAACCATTAGACCGGTCCACAGACAAAGAACTTATCAAAGACTGCATATTTTGCCTTTAATTTCACCCTATAAAATATAAAAAACATAAACAGGACATTGTTACTCACTCCGTCAGACCGTCGAATTCTAACAATAGATGTTGACCTGTAACTCCCTCTAATTCCTGGTTGAGATCGGTCTGTCTCTGGTTGAATAACGTTTGGAACACTTGAATCTGGACTTGTTGGTGGGGCATCATAGGAGTAACTGGGTCCCTTTTCCTCTTTCAACAGCTGAGAAAGGCCTCCTGTAATCCTTTTGAGCGACAGACACAGGGGGAAAAAAAGTTTAATTTCAAAATGACAAAAGCTGTCTAGTACATACAGTGTTATGACCAATTCTACATCACAATAAAAATAATCCTATCTAGAAATCTTATCTACATCTAGCATAGGGATAAAAACAAGACATTTCATAAACATCTAAGGTGGTTGAGTTTTAAATGATATCTAATACAATGACTTGCTGCTGTAAGATAGTGCAGAAAAAAAGTGTAAACTAGTGAATCAAACCAAACTGGAGACAGATACTAAAATATTTTCACCAAAACTAACTGTTCATATATTTACCTCTAAGCTAACCTAATTGTCTACATATCTATAAAACTAACTGAAGCTAACTCATCAACATACCTAACATTGTAGTACAGTAATTAAATTTATAATTAAATTCAAGGGAGCAGATGCACAAACCCTTTAGAAATTTCATGAGCTTATTCATCAACTCTGCTCTGGTTTTGTGTTTTAATTAATCTATCTAACTCTCCTGTGTATAAGAACTTAGGAGTGATTCATGCCTATACCTGTACACCTTTCTTTAATTATTCCTCAATATTCTTCAGGAAGTAGTATGTAATTTTTTCAGTAAGTCTCTTGTTTCCATTACCTTGAGTTATATATTTCTTATCCTTACTGTAATGTACTGTAGTGTAATGTAATGTACTGTACTGTAATGTAAAGTAATGTGCTGTACTGTAAACAAATAATGAAAGATACTCCAAAATTCTAAAGATACCTGTCATCAAGATCTGTGTCCTCTTTCTTTATGAGAGAATCTCTACTGTGTCCGCCAGAGTCTGTTCCAGGCCCAGGCAAGGCATGAGAATCTGTTAAAAAAGAGAAGTATGGTAATTGATGAACTATGTAAAATGAAGAACTGAACATTTTTGATGAGAATTAAAATGTGCATATGTAGATACAGTATAGTTTAACCCCTAATGAACAGACATCCGAAACTTCGCTACACACTATATGTGCAAAAATATGGCGTTTTTCAATTCTTATTTTTTTTATATGATATAATAAAGAGCCATACAGAAAGATATACTGTAATACGGTAAAAAAGAAGGTGCATATTTGGCAACTGGGAGGCAAATACTGTACAGTTTTTAGTTGCGTCATTATGTTTTCCTGGGTGTTATTCTTGAAATAACACGAATAGTAGCCCATAATATTGTACTGTATAATAATTTTGAACATCTTTGACATACAATACTATCTATGCTATTTATGGTACATCAATATCTGTAAAAATAATATACGTACTGTACACTACCACAGACTGATTTATTTTTTTCAAGCTCCATACAAAGCTGTGTGTTTACCTCTCATAAGCTGTGCTCCTAGACCTATTGTGTACATCTCACATCATACACTATGAAATACACAGACATACAGACAAACTCATACACAAGTCCTTTGTGTGTAACAAAAATAGGTTATTTATTTACAGTAGAGAATATGAGATGAAATACTTGTACACATACACACCCATGTGTTACCTGTCCTCGCCATAACTTGAGATGTAAAAATTGGTAACATGGGAAGGGAATAGGCTTTTAAAAATCATGGCAGGCAAGAACGACATACATATATGTTAGCCACAACATCCTACGGTCATGTATATGTACGTTGGCCATATGTTAGGGGTTAAAAAATAAGAAGAGCAAAAGTTGATATCCAATGACTTTGCACTAAGGTAAAGTGATCTCGTCTATATCCTGCACTAACTGTTTCACTCTTTGTTGAGAGGTGTGGAGAGATATGTGGATATATGAACCATTCTATTTCATCACTACACACTGATAAAACACATTTAATTCTAAATTAATAATAATAATGCCATACTCACCTGGATTTTCTCCAAAAGGCTGCATCTCTCCAAAGTTCCATCCACCAAAGTCCTTGAAGAAATCATCAATCATACGGTGTGGGTCAAATACCTGTATACCAAATCCTCCACCAAACCTGTGGAATTCATCATGGTAGCCATCATTCTCCCCATCATCATCATCATCTGCTGGGCTGTTTAGAAAAAAATGATTAACAATAAGTCTTTTAATATAAAGTTTAAAATTGAACACAGAAAAACAGTGAAAAACCTATAATTTTACAAAAATAAACAATTCCACAGTTCATGAAATTACCTATTGTACAGTGATATCTCCATAAGCCAGAACAATTGATGCAGAGCACTTCCGGGAATGAGAGATTTACAGGTAACAAGACGGGTAATGGAAAAATGTTCTCGGAAGTTCCAGAAATTGCCCATTACATCATCTCTTGAACCCGGAAAAAAATTCCCCTTCCCCGGAATTTTCCGGGTACCAGAAAAATTTTCTCTGAATTTTCCGGAAAATGTGCCCCTCGGAAAATCATTCCCAAAGTTGGAACTTTTCATAAAATTCCAGATATGGGAACGATTTTCCGAGAAAATTCAAATTCCGGCTATCGGAGAGTTCCGGGTTTGAGGGATTCCAGCCAATGGAGATACAGTATTACTGTATTTGTTATTAGGAACTCTATTACGTCAGCCTGAAGACAATACTGTTTACAGTACTGTCCGATATTACGTTACAGCGTACAGTACATTTCACCAAGGAAAAATATATACGGTACTTTAATGAGTTCCAAAGTAATCCTACCATAGAAATTAATATACTTTGGTAATAATGTAAATGTTGCAAAGAGAGGGACGTATACAGCAAAAACCTGACATATCACTAAATTACAATTCTGCGCCCTTTGAGATTCAGTACAACCAATCACAATCATGATTTGTGACAATTAAATATTTAAAGTTAGTTTTCCTCAACAGCACTGTGCATGTAAGTAAAGATGCCCCTTCATGATTGATGATGGCTGGCCCTTGGGCCTCCTAGGTGTGAATTTGTTTAAGGTGTAGAAGCTGTCACCAAAACAACAACCACACCCTACATTAATGAGCTGTGTGAGCCAATGTCAAGGAATAATCCAAGAAGACCGGACAACTCTCCGATTGCACTGGATAACCATTACTCCAGAACACGATCCGCAAATCGATTAGCATCCAAATCCTGCTGCCTGGGGATCAAACATGGGTGCACTCACTTGTGAGGCAATCATGCTGACTGTTACACCAGCAATATATACAACAATAAAAATTGTAACAAGAAGAAATAAGAAGAAAAAAATTCTTTACAAACAAGGTCATAACCTCTTGGAGCTTCTACTGCCATGCCTACTGTAGGTACTGTGTAAATGCATTAGCCAACAGTACAGTATTCCAGGATGGTGATTTGTTGTTTCTAAGTATTGTATTGTATACCATGTGTGATTATTGGATTAAATTCCTTCAAAATATCATTTTATAAACAACTCTGCACATTACAGTATAGTACTGTAATTTCTCTCCCCCAAAATCTTGTCTAGACTTAGGAACATGGCATAGCAATTTGATGCGCAGTGACCCTGCTTGGTGAATTACTGTACATTATTAATGTACTCAGATTTATAGCTGACTATACTGTACAGTATCATCACTAATTTGATATTTGTAATTCAAAATTTTGGGGTAAATAAATATTTTTTTCCATAGAGTTGCCCACATAGAGTTTCATGTTACCCATATAAACTGGACTTTGTTAAAATGGAAAACTGGACAGATTGGACCCTATCTGGCCTGTCTGTATCTCTCTGTGAAAAACAAAATTGAAATTCCGACACATTTTGATTTACCACAACATTAGTCTGATCTACTTAGTCAGTTCACACCAACATCATATGGTCTATTATAAATCTAACTTGAATATTAAGGATTAGAACATAAACCTTTGCTAAAGTAACAGCCTTACAGTACTCCAGTGAGTTCAAAAGAAAACCCTGCCAAGGAAAAGAACACTATACAGTACAACTTTGTGCATACTATACAAGAACCATAATTTTTTCTTTGAAGCATTTTATAATGTGAGTAAAGAGAAAGTAACTTTACCCAGAGTAAGGATGAGTGGGTCCAAAGTAGGGAGAATATGGGTGATGAGGAGTGTGTCCATCAGGTGGATTATTGGAATCTTCGGATGGTTCGCTGTCTGGCTCTTTCAGTAGGAAATCACGAGGTGACTTATGATCTGACGGATCTTCATCAATTGCTGAAATAAAATAGTAAATTAATAAAATGAGATCCTAAATGAACTACAGTACTGTATTGTATTGGAAGTCTACAGCAATATTTTCAGAACACTTTACTTCAACAACTGAAAGCTTAGGAACAAGGTAATGTGGTAAGAATCATATCACTTCATGTCACTTTGTATGCATAGTGAAGTGACATGAAACATTGTGAATTAACATAGAAGCTAAGGATTCACCTCGTATGTCCTGTGTCCAATTTGAGGATGTGAGCAAGTTATCCAGCTAAGAGAGTACGTATATGAAATATCATTCCACATTATTCAGCAGATAAAAGTGAAGTGATTTATGAAGCCCTGTGAATTAATTTGGCAGTTAAGGCTTCATTTTGAAAGTTCTGTATACAAGTTGAGAATATAAACAAGTATGAGTGGGTATTCAGCTTGTAGAGGTGTCCAATCACCCCAAACAAAAATATGAGGAAACAGCGTCGGAAGATACACAATCCCACAGGTTCTCGGGCGTTTAATACAGCCTGAGAGGATGGTGCAGTTTGGTGATTGGCCAAGTGTGGTCATGTGGCTAGAATCCTACTGTGTGTTTGGCACTTGATCGAGGAGGAATAAGCCATATCATGCTCTCGACTAAATGGCGAGTTATTACTGTACATAAATAGGAATTTCATACAATTTTGTTTCCATAACGATACGTAGGGTTTCCACTTCCTTTATGGTATAAAGCGATATATGACAATCAGATTCAGGACACTTTTGGCTACAGTACATTCTTTGTCCATAAGCCACACAGTAAATTTATGAGATGATGAGATACCTCACGAAGGCTGCCCCTCATTTCAACTTCTCGTCTCGGCCCTTTCATGTTAATTTTTACACGTGGACATGTACACTCACCCCTATTATTTCCTCCTCCTTTCAGGATTAAATATATTTACACTGAAAAGTAAGTGTAAGTTTAAGATTATGTACAGCACAAAAAAGAAGTTAAAGTTTTTGAGGATATTTAAAAATTTTAAAAAATACTGTATATACACTTAGTGTGAACAGTACTTGTTACAGGATGGGAAAATACAGGAAATACCACATTAATCCTATACATACAAATATATTTACAAAAATGGTGAACATAAATGAACACTAACCTGGCAGCTTCGTGATGACCTGGCCAGGATGACGCTGAAAATCTTCCATCATCATATTGAACTGCCTGAGCATGTTATCCATTTCATTAAATAATGAGGAGTAGGAGCTTTCAAAATCTTTAAAGGGGGTAAAATCATCATCACCACCCACAAATGGACCAGCTGAAGGTGGTGTCCTGTTAAAGGGAAAAAGATATCAGTGAAAATAAGCCTGTAAAATGAAGCTATCATTAATTTACCCATTTCTATAAGAAAATTCAATCTACTTTTTTAAGAACTGCACTACTAAATAACTGCAGGTTCCCTCTGTTTTTTTTTATCTACAGATACTGTCATACAATTTCATTCATACTGTACTTGATGTTCTATTATCTAACTCTCTCCTTTACCCAAACTTCTACCAATTCTTTGATCTTCCCAACCATTTTCCAACCCTGCTAAACACAGCACATGACCATCTGTAGAACTGGCCTTAATGCACCATTTAGGAGGGGACATGATCATGATAATGTTAACTCTAAATTATTCTTTAAATTGAAATTGTTTTCCTTCTGATGAGTGTTAAGCCAAAGACATTAAGATTCTATTGTAATGTATATTTTATTCTTTACTATCATCCCTGAATCCTCTAAGATAGAATGTCATATTAGAAAAGGGGGAAGTAATTATATCTCTACCTAACCTTGTAAGATATTCACACACTTAATACTGTATGGTCTTACCCTTCAGATCTTCTAATCTCCTCCCACGTAGGGTTCCTAAGTGGGTTGGCATCTTGTTGGGATCTGTAAACATGAATGGTTTTAAAGCATGATGGACATACAATCATATAAGCACACCTGCATAAAGAGAAAAAGGATATATAGTTAGGTTAAGTCAGGTGAGGCTTCAGGTGCAAATAATGTACAGTTAGGTTAGCTTAAGCTGGTTTGGTCAGGTTTCAGGTATAAATAACTCGCTCAGGTTACTAGCACGGGGCTCAAGGTCTTGGGTGTGACCAGACTAGGGGTAATGAACCACACGCTAACACCATCTGTCTCAATGAGTTATAATCATTTAACCAAACTATTACTGTATAAATTAATGGAGAAAAAACAAGTATTTGGGAGCCACCTGTCATTTTTATATCCATTTCATTATAAATTATTCTATTAGGATAATATAGGGTAGCCACTAGCCAGATGGTGATAGCTGTTTATTAAGCCTTTACCTTAGAAAGTGCTACTCATAATACCGTAATAATGTTCATTCACTAATAAATCAAGACTTTCTTACCTATCATGAAAGCCAATAAATCTTCTTAACCAATCCATGATACGCCACAAGTGTTGTTAACGAGTACTCTAACTACCCAATTGGCCCAACTGTTCCCGAGTCTGATGTAATGAGTCCCAGTCTGGCTGCCTGGGTTTGTTATTGTCGTGGTCCTCGTGACGTCACTAAACAGCCAATGTTAAACTACATCTATAAAAATCTAGAGAGGAATTTAACTTTATTTATATATTTTTACATTTAAAAATATGTAAATATATCTTAAATAATTTAATAATATTTGTGTAGTTGTTTTGAGACTAAAATGACTTATAAATTCTAAATATTAAACAATTACTAACTGCTCTGTTCGCTGTATTATTTTAACATTATAATTCGCCTATTTCTGTGTGTTTAGTTTTTTTAGACAGAAGCAGCAACTAAATTTTCCTTTACGTATTTCCTAACTATAATTTAGCAGGTACTTTCCACAAATAATTACCATTGCTATCTACCTTCATAAATATATATCTATCCTTTAACATTTTGGTATGTGAATAGTAAATTATTTTCCATTTATCATTACATTAATAACTTTACTTCTTTTCTTTTTATTTTATCCTCTTCACCACTGATCGGCTCGTTAGCCGCTTGGGCGATCGGTCACGTCTCTGTTACGCACTGTTGGCAAGTACTGGGCATGCACCGGCTCCTGAATGTACCTGAACCTGCTCCAGTGTTGGTCAAGTCTGGTCTTGAAAGAGCTCACACTCGGTGCCGTCACAACACTTTCTGGTAGATTGTTCCAAGAGTTTACAACTCTCACTCCGAAAAAGTTTGCCCTCACAGTTTTCTGGACTTGCGGCTTCTTTAATCTTGAGCTGTGACCCCTTGTGGGGCGAGCGTCCGCCACCTCCAAGTAAGGACACTCAACTGAGTAGTGCCCCCCGAGATGCTTATACACCTCAACTAGGTCCCCCCTTGCCCGTCTGTAGTATAAGCTAGGCAAGTTCAGGCGCTCCAATCTCTCAGGGTAGCTGAGGTGCCAAAGTGCAGGCACCAGTCTGGTTGCCCTCCTTTGAACATTTTCAACCAACTGATAGTCCCTAGCATATCTCGGGGACCAGACGGGGTGACAGTAATTTATTTGCCTGATTTACTTTCTTCTCGCAATGGCCCGAGAACTTCAGCTCATTGTCAACATACACACCTAGGTCCTTCTCACATTCAGTCTCAACTAGTGCAGTTTCTTCATCCCGTTGGGACATATGATACGCCTCCTTACTGTTGGTACGCCCCAGGTGCATCCTCTTACACTTCGTGACATTGAATCTCAGCAGGTAAGAGACGATCGCCCTTCTTGAAGATAGGACTCACCTAAGTCACTGTCCATTCACTGGGGACCTTTTGTTCATCCAGGCATTTACAAAACAGGATCTTCAGGGGCTCGGCAAGCTCGTTGCACAACTCTCTTAGCACTCTAGGATGCACCATGTCAGGGCCGGGACTCTTATGGACCTTTAGCCTGGACAGTTTATTTCTAATACCCTCTTCTGTGAACACAATGTGGGTCAGTACTGTGTCGAACCGTCTGTCCTCAAACGCAGGAAGGTTAGTTGCATCCTCTCTTGTGAACACCGAGGAAAAGAAGCTGTTCAATGCCTCAGCTTTATCCTGGTCAGATTCTGCGTAACTTCTATCCACCAGCCTCAGGTCTGATACTCCTACTCGAGTTTTCAATTTCGACTTTGCATAGCGGTAAAACGCCTTTGGGTTTGACTTGACCTCGCTTGCAACCAGCCTCTGAAATTCCTTTTCAGCCCTTCTACACTCTATCTTTGCTTGGTTTCTGGCTCTTGTATACATCCTCCTGTCTTGCTCATCGTTTGACCCAACCCACGTCTTGAATTTCTGGGTTTTCTTCTTAATTTTGTCGACCGCCGCATGGTTCATGTGTAGGGATCCCCTCGTATTCCTAGAAGCAATGGGTCACTTTACTAGTTATGATATTCAGCGTAGTGTCTGCGGTCTTGTACCTTAATGAGTCAGGCCAGTTGATACCTCTCATCTCTTCCCTCATCCCATTGTAATTTCCCTGCAATACGACGCTGTTAACAAGTAGGTGCAATATATGATACTTATAAATTCGAATCCACATAAGTATGACCCAGATTTTAAATATTAACACATAAATTCTAAATTTCCCTTGAATGGTGTTTGGAAATAAAACTACATTCTGGAAATCAGTTTTATTTTCAAGCTTTAAAACTGCCACGAGAAACTGGTGAGCCGATGACAGAATTAACAACCGGAAATAAGACCAACACTTAGAAATTCATAAATATATCAAGAAAACATATATACCTGTATGATAATTACCTTTTGATAAACCAGATATGATTAAAGGTAAGACTGAAAAATGTTACATGTGCAGTAATTATGTAATATTATGTAGGGTGTAAAATGCGCATACATAAAATGGTTACTAAGATGTATTTTCTGAACAACATACAGTGCAGTACCAAGAAGTGGACTAGTCAAGTAGTACCTTGAGCCCTCAAACTAACCTAACCAAACCATAATTAGATACTCTGCCTAAGCAAAGGACTCAACTAGAAATAAGAATCTGATGACTTTGTTAGCTTTCGTTGGTCAAATCGACTTATTGATTACATCTGTATGTATATCCATGGTGTCTAAGTACATTATTGATAAACCTGCAGTCTATAAACATGCTGAATCCAGGTAAACTTGTATGGTGATTTTACTGGATAAATATCTAACTATATTTTTATCTACGGAGTCCCTTTTCTGAGGGAACCTAACTTAATGAAATTCAAATCTAATATATACCTAGGTTAGGTTAGGTTAAGTTAGGGCCCCTTTAACCTGCAATCCCATTAACTTATGTACCAAGGGTCACCTCACAACGATCAGAGAACTGCATTTCATTATCCACGTACATCAAGCAGGTGTTTCTTATAATCAACTTTAGTTTGGTAAATGACATCATTATACTCGGAGATGCATTATACGTCAGGACTTATTACGACTCACCAATAAACACATTAAAGTCTTCATTGTAATCTGTTTAACTCTACATTTTCTTGAATAATTTAATAAAATCAGCAGACATGGATTTTTGGATGTTGAAACTTCACTTTCTTGTACAATATCTTTAAAAAATTGATTCTAATTCTTCTCCGGTCTTATTATTATTATCACCACCACCATCACCACCACCATCACCACCACTACTGCTACCGCCATCATTTTTTCGTCACACCACTACCTCCATCACCACCTCCACCTCTAACACCATAATCACCATCACTATAAACAAAATCACCACCACCATTACTTACGTCAGACAAAACCACACCTTCACCACCACTGTCATTACTACGTCAAACTGCCACCACAAACGTCACACAACGCGTCCCACTATCAACACTGCGTCACACAACACCATCACCACCACACATCTACCCAGACATCCTACACTCAGCCTCCTTTTCTACAAGATCCTCCTCCACCTCGTCACCATCACACCAGTAGTAGCAACAGGTGAGGTTGAACAAGAACGCCATCAGGATAATCATAGCAAGAGACACGTAGAAGAGCACAACGACTGGCAGATCGAAGAGGATAATGGCGACGATAGTGAAGGTGTATAGAGTTTCATCACAGACGTTGTGGTAATCTGAGCAGGAATCATCGCCGACCCTGTACAGCCACAAGTTACCTGTGCGTCAAACAAAACACAAATATTATAACACAAGAGCAATAGTAAACATCTATCTATCTATGAGTATCGTCAGCTAAATTCCCATTGACAAGTATTAAAACAATAACAAATATAGTAGATAAAATTATGCCATAGAATTTTAAAGAAACAAAAAACTTTCTCTTTCTTAATCAATAGAACTTACCCCCCCCCAGGTAACTACACCACCACGGCACTAACCAAAAGCGAGGGAGATTATCTTGACGGAGACAACGGTGAAGAGTGGCAGCACGAGCATGAAAGTCGGCTGGACCCAGGAGGCTTGTAGATAGTTGTATCCTTTTAGTTTGAACGCTATCAGCAACAGAGACAACAACGTCAGAGCACCTGTGTGGGATGAGTAATATGGAATGCAGGAAAAGTATCCCTAGAACAGAGACAAAAACACCAAGGTATTTATGTTTCTTCGGATCCGGATTAAGATTCTAAATTCGATGACAAGAAACAGCAAAACAAAATCATGACGTAACAAACCTAAACATTAATATATAAGTAGATATACAGTATAGAAAACAAGGTTACTGACCGTGAATAATGATCCAGAGAGGAATTTTGTCTTCGTCGTAACAAGGACGAAGGTAGATGGAGCCCACGATTATACTAGCAACTGACAACACTCCGTAGAAAATCAAGACTAGTATATAGACCCACCAGATCTTGATACTCACTGAGGGGAACAGAGAACCCGTGTACAGCCTAGCATCTTTTGTTGTTATAGTGACAAGTTTACTGCCGATGTCTTCTTCATGAACCACTGAGAGGTATTTCATGATAGTGAAGTAACTGACGTCTTGTTCATGAACTATTGAGATGGCTGTCATAGTAGAGATAATATTACTAACCTTTCTTGATGTTGAATACGGAGGGCTCAAAGTCACAGCAGCCGCCATAATTCAGGCACAGTGTCTGGGGGAAACCAAGACTACTTTAGACTTCACACTGTTCCGATCGAGTCATTACCACTATGAGCACTTAAGGATCTCATGAAGATCAGGAAACCCAGCTTATCTCACTTGATGAAACATCCTAACACTAAGCGGGGGAAGGGTTAGGTTAGTTTGGTTAGCATTAGGTTGTGTAATCAAGTGAAATAAGCTGAATTTCCTGATCTTCATGAAATTCAAAAATTCTTAAAAAAGTTATGTGAAAAAGACATGGTGTCGAATAATTGTTAAGTAGACACATACAGTATTGTGTAGAAAGAAGAAAAATAAGAATTCCACTAAAAAACAGTAACAAGACTATCATATCGTAATCAATGTTGAACAAGTAATATACAGCACCTTTCACAAATCTAAAAAAAAAAAAAAAGTCATTGGCCATCTTTGAAGTTAATACCACGAAGAGAATGGTGTAGAAGATATCAAATATGACGACGATGGCCAGAGAGTAAGGCAAGAGGGAGGACGAGCAGTCAGTATCGTAAAAGTCGATGACGTCGATTCCTTGACATTCTAGATTGGATAAGGTCACCGCGACGTTACCTGTAATAATAATAATAATAATGATATAATAATAATAATAATTTATATACAGTATATACAGTAATAAGTCAATAATCCATTGTCTCCAGAAGTAGTTAATTAAGGAACGGAATCTTTGAAAGACTGGAACCAGCCCTTACCTAGGATAAGCCAGCCGGCGTTGATGATGAGAAGGAAGATCATGAGGTGTTTGGTACCACTAATGAGTCGGCCACAGGAGGGAGTGATGCGCCACACGACAAAACTCACCACGAACCCCAGGGTAGTTATACCTAAGGTCAGAATTTGGTGTTATTTATAATAATATCGTAGATTAAGTTTATCATAACTTAACCAAAATTATCTTACCTAATTTAATCTAACTTAATATAACCTAATATAATCTAACCAAACCTAAACTAACCTAACCAAACTCAAATTAATCTAACCTAACCTAACCTTAGTAGTCCAGGGGTAGTAGCATGACTCACCTAATACTAGAAGCCAGTAGTCCAGAAAAGTCTCTTGAGCACAGCTGATGATGCTGAGGGCACCCAAGATCACTGACACTACGGAGAGGCATACCAACACCCCATTGAGGAAGAACACGGTCCATCGAAGGGAGGTCACTTCTGCCACGACCAAGAAAGAGGAGTTAATGGCGCCAAGGAAGGATCTATTAACGCCAGGATAGGGGTTAGTGACGCTGAGGAAGGTTTAAGTGACGTGGAAGAAGGCTTTAGTGGCGCTAAGGAGGATTTACTAGTCCCAAGGAGGAATTACTGGCGCTAAAGAACTGCAAGTGATACCAAGGTGTTAGTGAACTTAGTGATGCCAAGGAGGAGTTACTGGCACTAAGGCACTGTGACGTTCTATGTAAAGTACCCGGGTTTGAATTCGGATCCAGATTCACGAACGAGGATCAATGACCTGACTGTATCTCAAACGAGGTAGCTGTCTCAGATTCTCACCCAAGCTAAGGCGTATCAAGATGGAAGGAGAGAAAGAGAGAGAGAGAGAGAGAGAGAGAGAGAGAGAATCTGGTACAACGGGTCAATGTAATTCACATAATTACCAGAAAACACAAATAAGACCTATAATCAGTTTCTATATTAGAGTAATCAATCAGGTAGTGTTGGGAACGTGTCCAGAGATGGAGGTCAGGGAGGGGGAGATGGCAGGGAGGAATAAAGGGAGGTGGTGAATGATGATCTTTATCTATAGGGGGTAGAGGCAGGTCAGTGTGGGGAGGAGAGATTACTATCTATCTGGGGTAAAGTAAGGAGGGGGTGACGAGTGGGGGAGGGGGGGCTTTATACACCTGAAAATGCGATAGATAATAGCACGAGTAAATATGTTTACATGTATAAGTATTTCTGAGTATCGGTCGACTCTGAAACAAGATAATAAATGGCTATTGAGTGATGTCATTCAGTCAGTCAGTCATTTAGTTAGTCATTCAGTCAACCAGTCAATCAATAATCCAATCAGTCAGTCAATCAACCGGTCAATCAGAATAGAGGAAATTTATAGAACAAATTATTTCAGGGTCTTGTGGCATAAATATGTTCATAAAATTTTATTATAGAAAAATAAACAAAAGCTAACCGGACTCAAAGAGGGTGTACTCACTCAGCATCGACATGGTGATACTCTACAGCCTGCAGGCGTGTGGTGGTGATAACTCCGACACGTCCACTGTCTACCTGCATGTAATAATAATAATAATAATAATAATAATAATAATAATAATAATAATAATAATAACCTTACTTCACAAATACATCCATATTTAGAACATAATATAACATCAGTTTCAGAAATAACCCGCTTGTGTCATCTTAGTTTGATACAGCTATGACATTATTATCCTCTTAGAAACTATCTATAAATATGGCGTACATACATCATATATATGTAGATATACAAACACACACACAAAGGTATGAATGTATAGGAAGGTAAAAAAAAACCCACTTTAATATCGGTAAAGGTGAAAATGGGTCCCATAAGGCCCGTTGAGGTGGCGGCACACTGGCCGCCACTTTTAAACAAACTTCACGACGCGACCATTGTCTTTTCTTCATCAATTGAAGAACGATAGCACAATCCTGCAAGGCCTCAACTGTAGCAACAGGATCCATGGTGAACCTCATCTAGCCACTTTGTTGTTGTTTTCGTTGTGTTGGGCAGACGGGCCAACAAAACACCCCAGTGTGACGCAAAACGTCTCTTTGTTTTGCTGGCCAGAGCGTGTTTGCCAAACATGTTTGGAGGAAAGTGCCCAGTGTGCCGCCGCCTTTAGAGACAGTGTGGTTACATCACACTGTGTGGTAAGCCTTCGGTACACAAGGAGGCAGCATAGCCGGTACTGCACTCAGTCTCATTCACTTTCCCATCTTGTTAAGTTAAATACCCATCTACAGCTGGGTGATCTGGGATTGCCCCACGATCGAACCAGCGACCCTTAGTGAATGAGGCGAGTGCCATATCCTTTCACCCGGTAATGTTGACGATCTTCAACACACGGCTGGTGCCTTCATGTAGGATTAACATCAATAATGTATTAAGATATTCGCAAAAAAAAATGTTTCTACTTCAATGTAAGTTTTGAGAGCAGTCACACCACAAACATTACCTCACTTAAATAATCCCAAGAATATATGGTCACTACATAACTAAGTCATTGTAGCGTCACAAAGATACCTGGTCAGTGTAGTGATTCGTGGTGAGGTGAAGGAGAGCTGGCTGCTACCTGCCGTCGGTACAACTATCACACCTCTACTACTGTTGATGGCTCGCCCCTCCTCTTACCTTCATCCCCCTCCCTCCCCTCCCCCTCACCAACATTACGACTACCCCTCCTTCCCCCCCTTCCCCCCAGCTATCACTACCTCCCTCACATAACCTTTACCAATTAATCCTTCGGGGATAAAAAGGTTAAAATTTCGTCCTCAATGGGTTAAATCATCGTCCACAAAGGGTTAAATCATCATCCTCAAAGGGGTGAATAATCGTCCACAAAGGGTTAAATCATCGTCCTCAAAGGGGTGAATCATCGTCTTCAAAGGGTTAAATCATCGTCCTCAAAGGTGATGTATCTTAGTTAAAAGTTGTCCTCCAGTGTGTGTGTGTGTGTGTGTGTGTGTGTGTGTGTGTGTGTGAGTGTAGAGGTTATGAAAGATACTAACGGGATATAATGATACCACTACAATATGTCTACAAAATTGATTCTCTACGCAACATAAGCTTTTACAATAATCCCTTCTCTACGCTACAAAAGCTTCTACAATAAGCACTTCTTTACGCCACAGGGACAAAAACGATACAAATTTCCCCCGCATGATTTTCTTGTTTTTTTTTTTTAATTTAAATTGTCACTGTTTATTTGTATGTTAAATATATCTAATTAGTTTATATTCGCCAGTATTTCTGAATTTCTATTTATTTGACTTTAATGATGTTTTAAATTGCGTATTTTTTATATTTGATCAAGCATAGGTAGTTATCGGTATACTGTTTATTCCTGTATATTAGCCTGGGTGTATATGCCTAACATAACAACAAACTTTTTATATTTTTTTCATAATTTTGTATTATATGTTATGCAGTATATATAGTTTCGCGGAAGAGTAAATCATTATAACATTGGATCACTCTGAAGTTGATCTCTGTAAGTTTACTCATCCTCGCAGCTGCAACGGAATTAGATCATCTGAATTACGATGAAGTGCGTGATAGATCTAACCCAACCCAAACTAGACAAACTCACGATTGATTTTATTACGGGAATCTGGGGCTGACTGTTAGAGCCGTCCCCGCAGACCGCAACGTTAATAGACCAGAGATTTCACAAGCATTTCGATTTCAATCTCTTGTGTTTAGGAATGTATTTGGATCAAGGGGGAGGGGGGAAGTTATATCAGATGAGGTCAATGGGTGTGTACACTGGTAGGGGATGGGAAGCAGTGAGGTGCCGGGAGAGTTATTGTGCTGGCAGGTGTGGTGGTGAAGGTGTGTGAAGCATAGTCCTGTTTCAGAGTTTTCTATCCACACACACACTCCCTTCAGGTAAATAATTAACGTCTTTGCCGCTTGTAATTTCATCTCAGGATAGTCTTTGGGTTCTAACCTTGTCGGGGAATATTTTTTTTTCCAAGTGTTCTATCCCAAGTCTGAGATATTTCTGTTATATTACATGGATTATATATGTATATCAATGCAGTCTTCACACTACCCATACTCTTTCTCATATAGCTGTTTTAAAATTTCGTAAATATGATATTAGCGTTGATGTAACTTTTAATTATTTATTTTTTATTATAAACACTTTACCTGTAAGTACAGTATTATTGTTTGTCATAGATATTTGATCATATTTCTTAAAATTTCAAAGTATAATTTAGGCCCAACACCCCGTTTCGGATTAAAGCGTCATAAAATAATTCCCTCTATGACAGCCTGTGTCTTAAGTGTATCTGTATGTATATCTATCTTTATCTATATATACGTATCTTTTTCTCCCAAAGAGGACTGGGTGAGAACAGTGCTGCCCAGGTGTGAAGAGCGAGAGGAGGGTCGTCCCCATTACCAGGAGAGAGATGCCTTTTGCCAGAGTGATGCGTAAGTTCAGTGATCATTGATTTGTCTACATTCATACACATACATATAAATATAAACATGTACATAAACATTCATATAAACACATATACATTCATAAATATCAGCAATATTCTAGTTTATTTTTGTAATATGATATTTATCACATCCTGGTGTCGTGGTTTAATTTTGTTTAGTGTTCACTTAACCCAAATGCTACCACCCCACGATCTTCTAACCTAACCTAACCACCTCTAACACTGTCTTCATTACCATTTACAGCTCAGAGTGAGGTCACCCCTTCACCCACCTCACGGAGTAAGTATTCCTGTACACCTAACTACAACTCACCAAGATAAACACCTTATCTAAGTTACACTCATATCTTCCAAACTCGATGATGAAAACATATTCCCCAGGTAAAAGAAACTATGGAAAACATAAACAACTTTTTCAAATTTAAGTTCCGAACCCTGTTTTTTTTTATTTTATCCTCTTCACCACTGATCGGCTCGTTAGCCGCTTGGGCGATCGGTCACGTCTCTGTTACGCACTGTTGGCAAGTACTGGGCATGCACCGGCTCCTGAATGTACCTGAACCTGCTCCAGTGTTGGTCAAGTCTTGTCTTGAAAGACCTCACACTCGGTGCCGTCACAGCACTCTCTGGTAGATTGTTCCAAGAGTTTACAACCCTCACCCCGAAAAAGTTTGCCCTCACAGTTTTCTGGACTTGCGGCTTCTTCAATCTTGAGCTAGAACACACAACGATCACCACCGGTCATGATTCACCTTATAAATATAATACTGTATTTTATATTTTGTAACTATTATTGTATCTGTTTAAATAATGTTAAATTAAGATTACTAAATTAATCATTATTTTTATTTAAAGATAAGATCACAAAAATACATTCCTTGACAACTACTGCACAGTGGGAGTGTTACATAGCGTTACTGATACCTTGCCAGGATGTTACATAGCACGGTAGGATGTTACACAGCACGACAGGACGTTACATAGCACAGCAGGATGTTACATAGCACGACAGGATGTTACATAGCACGACAGGATGTTACATAGCACGACAGGATGTTACATAGCACGGCAGGACGTTACATAGCACGACAGGATGTTACATAGCACGACAGGATGTTACATAGCACGGCAGGATGTTACATAGCACAGCAGGATGTTACATAGCACGATAGGATGTTACATAGCACGACAGGACGTTACATAGCACGGCAGGACGTTACATAGCGTTACACCTCGGCAGGATGTGGGTCGGCGGAGGTGTTACAGTCCATCACGTGTGTAGTGTTGAGTCTACTGTCCCTGGCGGCTGTGGTGGTGCCCGTGACTCGGTGTTACTGGTATGACAACCTCCTGGACCTGTGGCTCGTCATTCACGGTGAGTCTCGCTATTGACTCATATTACGGTGAGTCAGGCTACTCTACCTGACTCACTGACTTATAATGACTCATGATGACACAAATAATAATAATAATAATAATGGTTAATGATATATTCATACTACTACTACTACTACTATTACTATTACTTTCCTACTTTTTCTACTTAACTAACCACTACAACTTGGGAGGCACATACTCAAATATATGCATTTGTAAACATGTGTACCGCTCACTTAAGACGTGTGTACAAGCATGACGCTCACACAGTTATGTACACCACATGTGATAACTACTATGTGGTAGAGTTACAGGTATATAGTGGTTATGGTATTCAGATATGTAACGATAAAGGTGTAGTATTGACGTGTGTGGTGGTACAGGTGTGGTGTAGGTGTAGTAAACAAGTGTGGTGTGGTACAGGTGTAGTATACAGGTGTGTGGTGGTACAGGTGTAGTATACAGGTGTGGTGTGGTGCAGGTGTAGTATACAGGATGTGGTGTGATAGTGCAGGTGTGTGGTGGTACAAGTGTAGTATACAGGTGTGTAGTGGTACAGGTGTAGTATACAGGTGTGGTGTGGTACAGGTGTGAGCTCGCTGGGGGCTCTGGTGGGGATCCTGGCATGGAGGGCCAAGTTAGCTCACGGGAGACTGTTAGACGGACCTCTCATCCTCGCTGTCACCCTCCTCGTCATCAACTTCATCTGGCTTGTCCTCGGTGAGTCGATATCCTGTTATCATCTTTTACACTGCAGCACTACGTTGATATCCTGTTATCATCTTACGCATGACCATAACTACGAGCACGAATTTTATATCGATATCCTGCACACTTACGAAACTGCTTGATATCTTGTTATTATCACCTGCTGCACGGACGCTAGGTTGATGTTCTCTTATCACCTTTTACACGAAATTGGTTGATATCTCATAATCAGCTCGATCTACTGCACGTGCCTTAGTGATAATGATATCTTGGTATATATTGCATGCCTGCCAGGTAGGATTAAACTCTTCTAAAAGCTAGTGTTGTTTTCATTATATAGTTAGTTCGTGTTAAAAGCAAGACATGTAACTATAGGATGATTTAGTGAATATTATATTAAAAAAAGAAATATGGAATTGTTTTTTTTTCTCATTTCTTCTGTTTGGTGTACCTTAGAAAATGTCTATCTGTCTATCTTACAATTTAGCAACAGTTTCTGAACCTAAGTGAAGTTAACTTTCTTAGATATAGCCTGACCTAACCAAACCTAACCTGACCTGCAGGGAACGTGGCGGTGGCTGGAGCCTACCTTGCTTGCCAGAGTTCATCAGCTAGTAACATATACGTCCAGGAGTGTAACTACCCCTTCCTACACTTCGCTCTGGCCGTGGTTGTGGTGTTCGACGTCTTCTACGCCTTCTTCTTCCTGGTGAGTGTTATTAAATGTAATAAGATATATTTTAATAATTTCCTTCACTTAGAATTATAGATATAATCAATTTCTTCAGATATACATAGCCAGTAACTTACACATAAATGAAAATATGTATAACTAAATAATGCATATGTATATAAAGAAAATATATAACGTACATGTATGTGCGTGTGTGTGTGTGTTAACTGTTTCATGGTGTCACCCAGGCGCTGTCCATCGCCGCCTGCATCACTAAGAACAAGACGGAAGAGTTGAACCTTGAGGACAACACCTACAAGTTCCCTTACTGCTGTCTCCCCGGGCGGACCTACCGTCAGTATCTGTCTCTGTTGCTCACGTGTCTGTCTCTCTCACCTCCCTAAAATCTCTCACCTTAACAATGTCTCTCGCACAACCTTTCACTATGACACTTAAAACCTTCAATATACCATTTATTACAACAAATTTAACCAAATCTAACCTAACGTATCCTACCCAAACTCATTTTAACCAAACCAAACCTAACCTAATCTTAAGCAAATTAAAATATTTACCTTAACCTAATCTTCCTATCTTGTGTGTTGTTACTTCAGGACTCAGCTGGCAGGAGTGGGTGGGTGTCATCTGCGTGGTACTGTACGTGTTGCTTGCCATAGCTAGTATAGTCATGGGCTCTCTCTACCTACGCCCCTGCAACGACCTCGAGTGGATATCAATTTGGCTTATCGTCTTCGGTTAGTATGTCACCCTATCCCTCGCGTGTGTGTGTGTGTGTGTGTGTGTGTGTGTGTGTGTGTGCGTGCGTGTGTGTGTGTGTGTGTGTGTGTGTGTGTGTGTGTGTGTGTGTGTGTGTGTGTGTAGAAAAGATAAATCCTTTTTCATATATTGAATTTGTAATGGTCTAGATATCACGTAAGATGCTTGTCATATTCTAACCAAAGATACGTTACCAGGTACTGAATGAGAGTGTGTATACCTGCAGGTACCGTGATGCTGGTGACAGTAATGAAGGTGTGTTGGTACCTGATCTTCCCCAAATGGATTGCTATCTCGTGGCCACCAGCTTCCATAGTTATCTTCACTCCCGTTGTCGCTCTTATCATCTTCCAGTTCGCCTGGATTGGTGTCGGTAAGTTCTTGTTTTGATTATTTGTTACATGAATAAGCTCTTTGATTGCCTTCTATGACTGACTGACTGAGGGAAACATCCTCCCTGCCTGTGGAAATGGAAACACGCGAGCCATGACATTATGTTCCTTATCATTTGACTTCGACCTTCCTCCTCCTGCCACCGACTCTCCCTAACCCCCACCAGCCCACACCCAAGGCTCCTCACCCCCACCAGCCCACACCCAAGGCTCCTCACCCCATCTTGGACTCGGGCGTCAACCACTTGTCACATTTCTCCTCATATATTTAAATCATTTAACATTTTAATATTGTCACCACGTGTAAATCACTACACAGCTAAAATACTGTAACATTAAATTACTAAATTAATATTTTTTTCCCAGTACAATTTATATCATATCAAGATTATTAAAGTTCACGGTTAAGGGAGATAGTCTATTAAAGCATGAAAACACACCTAACCTAACCTAACTTAACCCAACCCAACCTAACCCAACCCAACCTAACCCAACCTAACCTAACCCAACCTAACCTAACTCAACTCTCTCACCGGTGTGGAACAGGTAACGTCTGGTTGGTGGAGAGACGAAGCTTCTGCCCCGGTGATTCTTGCAACATCTCCCTCCACATCTTCTCCCTCGCCGTCATCGTCCTCCTTGACCTGCCCTTCCTCGTCCTGGTCTACGTGGCTACCATCTTCGTCGTTCTCATGCTGATCCTCCTCCTCGTCACCAGCTGTTATTATTGTTGCAAGAAAGTGAAGAATGACACTGGTGGTTCAAACAACAATGACAAGAAAGTAAAGAATAATGATACTTCAAGTGACAGCAGCAGCGATGATGAAGAAAAGAAGACCGAGTAGAGAATGGTGTATAGTGGTGGTGATGGTGATAATGGTGATGGTGGTAGTGAAGATGGTGATGGTGGTGATTGGTGACGGTGGTTACTGGTGGTGGTGACGGTGGTAGTGATGGTCAGGATAGTGGTGGTGATTGTGGTAATGGTCAGGGTGGTGATGGTCAGGGTGGTGGTGATGGTGGTGATGGTCAGGATAATGGTGGTGATAGTGGTAATGGTCAGGATGGTGATGGTGGAGATGGAAGGTGGGGGGAGAACCCTCACAAAAGTCACACTAGAAGATTCTATTGAAGTAACAGTATTAATTTATTTATCTATCTTTACTTTCTTTTATCTATCTCTCAATCATTTTATTCTATCCTGCACATGTGGGGTGCCCTCTAAACCCCCCCCCCCCCACAAGGAAACTCGTTATTTTGGGCATCTTTTTATCAGATTTTTTAACGGTAAAGGAATCCAAAGGTTAAGTGAAGTATTAAAGATAATTTTCTAAACAAGTATCACCAACTTTTGAGCTCAAGTTTGCATGCTGATGAAATTTCACGAGTTTATGGAAGTTTTCGGAAGACGGGAGTATCATCAAGCGCCCAAGGACAGGAGTATGTTGGCAGACAATTTTTAACACAATTGGTTTCTTGGGTAATTCTTGGTTAAGTTGTTTATGCTTGGTCACATCGCCTTACTTTTTACAATTAGTGTTTGTAGACCTGCACTGTCTATGTAAACTGGAGTGTATAATTGTATTGTCTATATACATGCTGAATCAATGTAAATTTCTATGATGATTTTACTGAATAAATATCTATCTACAAATGTATACCTGTATTGTCTATGTACGCATGCTGAACCAATTTGACCTTGGATGACGATTGTACCATTTGCTTATGACCCTAGAAAACGTGGTGTATCTAATCGTATAAACTCCATATTAAAAACAAAATGTTCTAAAGTGTTTCAGAGAGTTGAGGATTTTTTATTTATTTGTATGGAGTCATTTATTAATTCTTACAGCAATACACCCGTTCCCTAAATATGTCCCCTTTAACTTTCATTTATAATTTTAAACAAACTTGGAATTGCTGTCATTTATGCCATAAGGTCATTTAGAAAAGGAAACAAAATCGAAAAAAACAAACATATTTTCTGGATATTCAAGAAGTAACCGATCAAAACACACATGGTTTAGGGTATTTAAATTTCCCGGGAAAACTTGTAAACAAAACAGCGGACGACACCACCTGGCAGGGCGTCACACCCACCACCACCAGCTCCCTCAGGTCACGTCTTATCTCACAGTGAATCTCATGTAGCTTTTAACTTTTGACATGCCTTATTTATCTGAGACAATGAAGAAAGACGCTCCTATAGATTGACGGTATTTGTACAACACGAGTGAACGCTGGAAGGATAGTTAATCTGTTAGTAAATATTAATACTGAAGGTAATGATCGGACATTTATTTTCTATCTGTTAGCCTTAATAGCCAAATATTGCCTTCGACATCTATTAGTCGGTATCAGTAGGATAATATGATACATATACTGTACCTGTATTATTGATTTTGGTAATTTATGAGGAGACTGCTACCACTGAACGGCTTGCTAGCCGCTTGGGCTATTTATTCATTCTGAACAACCAAGTCCACCTAACCTACCTATCCTAGGATAGAAGCACATTAATTTAGGTAAGGTTAAATTAGGCAAATTGGCTTAGGTTAGGCTGGTTAGGTTACATAGATTTGGTAAGGTAAGATATGGAAAGGTCACTGGGAAGCATTTGTTAAGACCAAGACATTTTATGAAATATTATAAAATAATAAATAATTTACACTGTGTAACTACTTTCCAGTTATACATCATTAACAAAATTAATATAAACTTATGATAATGTGTCTTATAGGTATGACATGTATCTAGAACCGTATAGCATAATTATTTATATATAAAGTGCAGGTACAGTACCAGTCCCTATGTAATGACAGTTTCACAAATTCTGTGCCTTTTTTTTTTATGATTTTCACCACTTATCAGCTTACTAACTTTTCGGACGGTTGGTCTATCGAGTGTTAGTACAGGAGGAAACTGGGTTCTGGGAGACCTGTGGTGTGTGGTAGTAGCACACTGGTAACACCCTTCTCATGTGTGTCTGGACCAAGCTGAATTCAAACCCTTGACATGTTGGTGAGAGATACATTCATTACCGCTGTACCACCAACACTTTAATTGAGTTAGGAATATAAATATAGCTAAGACTATTCTTGTCACTTAGCTAACTCTGTTCAATACTTTTTAGAACGTACTGGTAGAATGGACACTGATGATGATATCAGTGCACTGGAGGAAGAGGAGGAAGAGGTTGCACTTTTGTGCCATGCAAATCCATCATGTGAATTAGAGCTGTCACATCCCTCCTACAACCCAGAACCAACTTGTTCTTCACCCTGCAACTCAGAGCCATCATGCCCTCCCACTCAGAGCTCAACAACTTCTCGAGACGATCTTTTGTCATCAGACAATGAAGGTACAGTAGCACTTATTTGGGGCAATTTGAATTATTTGAGCTTTTAGTCTCCTTCAATAACTAAAAAATATTGTTGAAATGGGCTGCGACCCGTATTTCATGATTGGGTTAAGTTGAAAGCCATTAGGACTGGTGCCAATTATACCTGCACATGTATTGTATTTAAATATGATGAAAAAGAAATTCTTGATAACAAGACAAGTGGTTAATTTCAATCTTATTAAGAGATGTTCTGTATTCTTAATTACATTACAGATGATCCTGTCACTTCACTAGCATCAAGGACTCCACCTTACTCTTTCTCTGCTTCTAGGAGGGAGTGCAGGACTGTCGTCAGATATGTTATCCAATCAGCACGTACTCAGATAACTAAAGAGGAAAAGTTTGTGGTAAGAATCAAGATATTTTCTGTACAATTAAACCATACTCAATCAACAGTAAAAGTCACAGCTATATTCTAGTAAATGTACATCAATAAAGAAGGCAAGCACTATAAGGCGTGACATTCACAAACAACAAAGCTGTAGGAAAGTAAAGTATACTTCAATTGTCCATAAAATGGACAGGTTTATATATTTTACAGCTTTCCATTCTACAGTGATTGAAGACCTTGTTTATGGTCAAAATATCCTCAAGTAAGTAAAGGAGGAAAAGTTTATTGAACATATCTTTTCTCTTAATGCTTGCAAGCCTTCTCCTGCTGTTATATAGGGTAACCAGACTGTTGCTATGATTCTTAGATTTTAGTGACTAGTAGGTTACCCTTAGCTCAGATTACAGCCTTTGAAAGGCTGTTCCAAAATTGACGAACACATTTGATAGCGCAATATGCACATTTTATTGCCACAATGGCTAGTGTTAAGGGAAGAAGCCCAATCTTCCAATGTTGTTGGGAATCAAATCCATTACCGTTTGTTTGTGTGGTGTATGTTTTACCATTCATCTACACATCCATAGTACATTTCATTAGGTGAATTATGATTATGATTCTTATCTGTGTTACCATGATTTCCTCAGTATGTTAAGTTGGTACAAAGTTGTGTATAAGTAAATCTCGACTTAAACCCACTCTTACCACCTCAGATGCAAACTGATCAATATGTTTTTCACTGAGCAAGTATAAAAATAACTTGAGATTTTATTTTTATAAGATTTGTTTTTATTTTAAAAGTACTGTATACTGTATTAGCAAATTTGTGTGAGCATTTCTAATTGTTTAAAAATATCTACATTGCCGGTACTGTATTTGTCCCCTCTGAGGTTTCTGTGCCCCTTGATATGCCCCACACAAAAGTGGGAGAGGTGTAACCACATAGAGAAATATGATTTTCATATTATGTGTGTGAAGCATCCCATAAAGTATCTACTGCAGTGAACACAACCTTGCTTTTTATTTTATGTCTTTAGTTTCCCAATAACAGCTAAATTGTTTTTTCTAAACTTGGGACATAAATAGATGGATATTGTTTAATCCACCTTGTTTCCTATTCAGTCTTTTGAACATTATTATTTGTGGTTGATAAATTGATAAAACCTGCAGGTAGAAACATGATATTGTACTAGCAACAGAACAGAAATTATACTTTTATACTCCGTACTACTGTATAACTTTACTGCATTGTCACCACTTGGAAATTACTTTACAGTACCTGTATTTTTTATCTAAAACTTCAACTGGTACTCAAACAGTATTTGCAGGATCTGATTCAGAATGAAAGTTAAGACAAAGAGGGAGAGAGGATAATACATTCACTGAAATAATTCCAATACAATTGTAACAGGAGAGTACAATCCACAGGTGTACACAGTTGAGGCACAGCGATTCCTACAATACTCCGAGGGGGAGGATGGTGTATCATATGAGCCCATACTCAAGAAGTGCGCCACGTTTGAACGCAGATATTCCGAGTTCCTCTCTGTGTACAATGCTTTGATGGATTCTCATAGATCCCTCATGGAGGAATTTGAAGGTTTCCCCAAGAAGGTTCTTATAGGTGAGTAGTAAATTGAGGTCCATTTTATGTTTGAGGGAAACCAGTGTACATTATATTTATGTATAAATTCATATTTTCTTTTTCATTATACAAGCCTTTTCCTTCTTAATGCAGTTTGCCCAATACCAATAGTACACTCAGTTATACATCCCAAGTCATGCTCAGTCTTAGTTGCTCACTTGTAATCTTAACACTTGTGATCTGTTGTACTAGAATAATTTTGTGTTCTTTCAACTGTGTCCCAAAAGAATTTCTTTTGGACAGAAACACTAGAAGACCAATAAGAATAACTTTAATTTGCTGAGAAGCATATGTATGTTTTCTCTTTCACTACTGTTTGTCAACTGTTGTTCCTTCACCACACTAATTTCAGTTAATAATGTCAAATTTCACCTCTAAAATTATCTGTTTCTTGATGCTGTTTACTGGCTATTGTATATATTTTTATTTGAGGTTTAATAGATAAAGTTTCCTCACTGAATGTTATGTTTCATTTATTAATTAGTTGCACATCTTTCAGGTAACTTCAGCATGGACGTGATTACGGATCGTTGCAAAGGATTGGCGCGATTTATGAATTTTGTACAGGATGAGGGAGTGCTGAGTCGTACAGCTGTTTTCTCCAAGTTCCTGTATCATCCAGAGGTAACGATAAGCAATAATCTCCTTCTCCATTCTCAGTTTGAAGAAGCATGTCCTATCCTAGAAAATACTTATATACTATTGAGTAGTCTTCACTGGGACACTGGACTCATCCTCCGAACACTCTGCCAGTTGATCGTTTGCTTACACGCCGTGAGTAATTACGATAGAGCTTATGTGTTCTCTCAGATTGCTCTTAAGAAATTTAAGTCACATAGTAACAGAAAGATAGGTAAAGGTCTTTATTTTCCACTTCTAATGTTTTGTGACAGTCTCTGGCGGCTGTTAGGGAAGGATAAGACTTACATCAGAAGCAAAATTGAACTTTTACGAAAACAGAGGAGGCAAGAGGATGTTGTACCAAACTTGCTCGATGTACTTCGTGATGAAATTGCTTTACGAACTCTCCACTGAAAGGAATTATTGTTGTGAATCTCTTTGAAAGGATTTCCATTGTGCTATGATTTGTTCCTACGGAGGGCTTTACAGGTTCATATTTTAAAGAATTATGTGCTGCAGTCTATTGGTTGATGTACAAACTATCCATTATGGCATTTTGTTTCATCAACTTAATATTCAATATACTTATTATTTTTTGAGGTAATGACTGTAATAGGCACATTAAAAGACTCCCAGTACAATATCTGAAAAATAGGTGTATTGGTAGACATATACAGTAGAGAATAGGGTTGTACTCATCATCAGAGACTATAGTGGTGTTGATGTCTCTCACCAGTGTGTTCTGGGGTCAATCCCGATCCAGGTCAGATGTGAGAAAGGTGTAATCCAATGTGACCTTAGTAATCATTGCAGGTTTTCTCTGAGTACTCCATTTTTCTCCTTTACTAATACTGGACATCTGTTTGCCTCCCCTTCTATCTAAAGCCAAGATATAGGGAACGATGGGGGTGATATGGCTGATGTCTTGGTGTTGGTCATGTGATGTCTCTACATCTGAGGTGTTTGCTTATTAACAATTTATCAGCATTGCTTGTATGCTCCTTTTGGCTTTACACCTTAGTCACTACCATTCACACTTGCCAGGGTGATGAAATGGGGTTTGGTATCCTCAAAAAAATACTGTACATAAAGAGCATATATGACCACTAGAATATGATGTGGGCAGAACACAAGACTGAATCTGGGACGGTGGTGTTTTTGGATCCCCGGGGTAGAGTCTGAATGGACCATTGTAGTGAAGTTACTTGGTATACTGAGCTGATTTTGAGAAAACAAAGAGTACATATACACTATTTAAGAAATAGGGTCTGATGTTTACAGATTTATTGGTACAGTAGTTAAAGTTCAGTTTGAGGGGTTCCTGTATTCATATAATTTGATACAAAATGGTAGGATTATTTAGAATTTCTTTTTACATATACAGTACAGTATGTAATATTGAAAGAATTTCATTGGACTTTCTGTATGCAGAACTGTGTGTGTTTATGCTGTTTGTCTTATGTGTTACACTTATTTTAGATGGTTAAAACTGTATTTATAGTAAAATTTAGGTAATAATTCTGCTAGTAAGGTGTTATAAATAGAGTTCTCATACTTAGTTTTTTTTCTCATAAGGTTTATTTTTGAGTAGTACCCGTACAGTATTGGTAATGAAACTCATTTGGGTTCTGAGAAAAATATGCAAATCCCAAAATCTACAAAAATCACATTTCATGAACAAATTAACAGTAATCTGACTACCTGTACTGTATTACTCTTGTAAATTGTAAAGAAAAAAGCACAATACAATATACCCTTTCTTGTGAATCTTGGAGTGTCAATTTATTTTATTTATTTTTACTCCAAAAGACCTTGAAAAATCCTCCCCATGCTTGCAGAAGGTGGACAGATAATATAATTTACCTTATTACTACTGTGTGGAGCTTACAGGCCTGATATGACATTTGGAAATAAATGCATTCTTATCTTATATCCAGCACCTCACTCCACTATAAGGTGGGATGACCTGGGCTGAAGAGTCTCAAGGCCATATTTTGTTTTGTCCCTAAATATAAGCTGAACCCAAGGTGTTTGCAGTGATTAACTAGCTTTTAAGACAATATATTCCAGTTGTGGTAATAAGATGCAGGAGAGCAATAATGTCTTCTATCATCCTGTGTGGAAGAATGAGTAAAAATTTCTAAGGAAAAAAATTCTTGACTTTTTCTCTGGAAATTTTTTGTCTTGATTTAATAGTCTTTTGGTATACGTATACTGGTAACCTGTTCTGGTGTTTCCCTCTTGGTTGCAAATCATATTAGTTCCAGTCCTAATAAATCCAAACTTAACCTGGCCATTAGGATTGGGGCCCATTAGAATTGACCCCTTTAAGTTAGGTGTAGGCCCGTTATGGCAGAGTCCTATATGATCAGTCACCATCCTGTTATAGTATACTGTATGGTAATTGTGTGGTGGTAAAACTCTGCTGTGGATCCATTACTTTAAACATATTCATGAAGGATTTTTATTGTAATAACCAAATATTTATGTTGCCTCTAAAGACAAAAGTATTTGAATCTAAGCATTTAAACAGGCATTTTTTCCTACGAGATGTTTTAGTCCACAATTGTTAATGGTTGTCTCACTACCAGTTAACATATATCTCACCTAAGCTTATTATCTATATGATGTTTTGATGCTTTCATTCCCAGATATATTTGTTACTCATTTAAGTTGATATTCTCCTTTGCTTGCACTATAATAATTGTATGTGCCAGAGGGTAGAAAAAATTCCTTAAAGCTGTCATTAAATTAGTTCAGTTAAATAAAGTTGAGAATAATTAGGAGAGAAAAACATTAAATTAAGGGACACAATTGGTAGACTTTAGCTGTGCAGGTATTAGTGTGGGCTGGGAGGAAGCATTTCTCGCCCTGTCCACCAGTCAGAAAACATATTAACGAAGTTGGCTAATGTAGCTAAAAAAATGAAAAGTGGGTGCATCCACATTCAGAAAACCACTCAGGATTCCCCACTGCCTCTAATATGGTACAACTTAGTCCTTCTAACCAGTATAATCCACTTGATAGAGGTAAAAAAACTAGTAGAGGTCACTGTAAAGTCTAATGTTAAGTTGTGAATGGTAGCAATCATGTCTCTTCAATTTTGTTTAAGAAATAAGTAATGGAATCTTGTGTGTGTATTGCAAACCCCTAGCCGTCAGGTAGTGTATGATACCTGTATATTTTGACAATTTGGGAAACATTATATGTATAGGTTAGATTTTAAATGCATTGTTATGCTCATGGGAGCCATTGATATTTAAAGGTCTAATTTGTTATAGTTATTGAAAATTCACTGTACAGTATGTTCTATAATTGTTAATTACCATTATTATTGAAAATTTGTTTTCACATGCATTTGAAGTTTTATTGGCAGCTGATCCATACTACAGTACTTGGCGTGTATACTCAGGATTCTACTCACTGACCACGTGTCATAAGCAGGCAGTTTTGGGGAGATACACCCATCCTGTGTGTTGGTAGGCCCATGTAGCTGTCACTGTGGGTTCATTTGTAAGTGTTCATTTTATGTGGCCACATTGTGACAATGAGCCATCCCTAACCTATTTGTCCCCAAAAAGAAAAGAAATAAGAAAATTAAAATCATTAGGATGGAATATTTACTCTGAAAACCTTCAACAATCTTGAACCTCTTGTCAGTTAAAGCTGTGTATATATTTTCATAGTTTTTAACCTCATTAGTTCCCCAACAAACAGTTTTGGGGGACACAGCTGTAATGCTTTCCTTTCCATCTGTGACACTTTGCATGGCATTTCTTGTAGACACCATGATTTCACTTTTGCTTGGGATTGTAGTCCTGTTATCCACTAAGTTGTATTTAGAGTTATAGCCACATTTTTTTTATTTTTTTGTCAGGGGACTACCCCATTACCAGTGGCTCTCATTTAGATTTGAATGAATTTAGGGAAATTTGCTAATTTATGAGAGATTAGATACTCAACATTCCAGGCTAGATAATTATGGCATCGTCAGAAGTGAAGTGTCACGATTTCATCCTATATTTTGTTCACTTAAGGTGAAATAACCAATATCACTTTGCTTTTGGAGAAGATGACTAGTTCTTAAGTATTTGTAAAATTACATACCAGTGTTCATCAATGCCTAGTATACTTTGTCATCTTTTTTTATAACTGTTTTGTCCCATGACATTTTAGGTAACTGATTTATATGTATTTACAATATTTTAGAGTTTTATATTACGTACATAGAAATGCTCAAATAATTATAGTTGGATTTATCTTTTACTTATTATGGAGGGAAGATTCATTATCTGTTTATGTATTTTCTGTCAAAGACTTTGGTTCATAAACTTGACTTAATAGACCTGACACACAAGACTTGACCTTTCTTACAAGACATAATTAATTTATAAGAATTAACCTCATTTACAGTGCAGTACTTGTAAGACTTGACCAACCCCTAACACACCACTTCACTTACTCATCCCCTTCTGTTTCAGATAATTCCTCTGTAGTAAAGATTTTGGAATTGATTTTGAACCGAGATATAAACAGACTGGTAATAAGAAATAAAAAATCTAAAATGAATATATAAGTACCAATAGGTTTCAAAATAATGTACGTAGTCATAAACCTGTTCATGCTGAGTACAGTACTGAATGATGAGAGATGCGGCCAGAGAGTACCTGTCAGTCACACTGTGGCTGGTTGAAACACACATGATTAGAAAGCAAACTACATATACAAGATAATTCCTACTGAACCAATTAACCTAACCAAACCTACCCATGGATTGTTAGGTTTAATTTGGTTGGTTCTGTCTGCGATCATCATGAGGTACTACAGTACGTACAGTAACATGATTTTGCTCTTGAACCAGTCACAGTGAGATAGGGGCCCACTGGCAATGTGTTGATGAAAGCTTGTGTGTGTAGATAATAAATATATAGTTGCATATATATAATAATACATACAGTATAGACAAATGGCATGAATTGTAGCTCGACTGCTTCGGTTTATTTTTCTTGTAACTAGTGTTTAATTTGTCATTAGATACAGTGCAGTACATGGTAAGTTAAGAGCATTAGGGAATGTTTCTTAATTTAAATATCTAAATTTTCAACAGAACCAAAGCTTCTTTTCTTGTCTCTTGTTTGTAAATCCACCAAAATACTTCTTGATTTCATCATTTTTTTGAAGAAGTCTTCTTTTGTATAAAATAGTCATGAACTTAGACCAAAGATTTTCCTTAGTCCAGATGCCAACCCCATTCTTTTGGGGATTTTTTTGTGCCATTTTGTGTAAAGCAACAATTATTTTGATAACTGGTTAGTTTGGATAACACTGTACACGAGGGTGAACTAGATGGTTACCTTGGAGTATTGTCGTTGAAGGGGAGCACTACAGTAGAACTTGACAAGCAAGGCAGGGAGACAGTAATGAAGAATCTGTGTTGTTCTCGAGTCCAGCAACTCGGTGAGGTCATGCCAGTGGACTTAGAAGAGTTAAATAAAGAAGATTAGTTTATTTCCTTATTGATGAGCTCTATTAGGGTAGTCACTACCGTTATACGTATATAATAATTTCAAGAATATGGTAATTTAGTACAGTATCAGGAATGTGTTACAGAAATGACCATATTCTTTATATCATCAGATTAGTTGTATTAATTGTTACTAAATACAAGCAGAAGGATGATGGCCTATTAACATTTAAAATGAGGATTGCAAACAATTTGGCCAATACTGTATGGTGAATTCTTATACCAACATGAATACTGTACACAAAAGACATGGAAAAATTGTTTTTCATTTGAAAATTATAATAGAAACTTCTGGAGAAAAAACTCATTGATATTACTAATACTGTACCCCTTTTATAGAATAATTAATGATTTTGAACAATTACTGTACACTCACCAATGCACCATTTTATGAATTTAGGAAGAATATGGTAATTTATGTGTAAGTGAACCACAAAATAAGGAAAGAATGAGTACGAGGACCGAAGGATAAATGCAAGACTCACTGGGACATCCAAGTTCCGTAGAGAACACAGATTGTGTGAAAAACTGTTGTTGCTTTACACAAAGTTGGAGAATCAGCTCAGATTTCACACTACTTCTCATATTTTGTCTTCTGGACCATTCTGTGATAGGCTTCCAAGACCAATCTGTCCTGATCATTTATTTTTGTATATGTATTTTTGGTATCTTCTTTCACGGAGATTTGTAAATTCGTAGAAGTGGAATATTTTGATAAGCTTGTGCAGAAATTAAGAAAATAAAATGTTTAACTAACTGTGTTTTCATTTCATAAAATTGAACCTTTCATAACTACAGACATTAATTACAAAAGTAAGCTTAAACTAGAATACTGTATCGGTAATACCTATCTGTTGGCCAGAATTCCTCTAAGGTGGAACTCTCCAATAGCCGGAATTTAAATTTACTCAGAATTTTACCGGATAGTTTATCCGAACCCAACACTCATGGCTTAATGCAGGTTCAACTTCATATTGAAGAGCATTAACAAAATAGATTTTGTATCAACAGCTGTTGGCAAATAAAATATACAAGTATTGTACTGTAGGGCCATTTTCTTTAGCAATAACAACTTTGGGCTAAATTATATTGCTTGAGGTAAGAAATATACAAGTAAATCTTTTATCACTGGAGGAAAGACATTTATTGGAATTAATTGGTGAGAGAACAGTTTGATACAAGTATTGTATTCTGGATTTTGTTGTTAGTAATATGTTTCTAAAGTTTTATATATGCAAGTACATACACAGTACAGGTACAGTACGATCTCAGGAGCTTTACCTCTGCCCACAGCTCCTGTATAATTCTCGTAGTCACAGTATACAAACCCACAACTATACTGTACTGTACTTAAGAGCTAATTTCCCTCATCACGAACTGATTTATACATTCAATAAAATATAAGACACTAAAAACGTCACCTTGACAAATGAATATAAAAACTTTATCAGTAAACAGCAAGAATTAGTCCACTCTAAAATATTGGGTTACTGGTACAGGTACTTGATTTGCACAATTAAATCAAAGTACAGTAATAAAAAAATCAGGTTTTTACTTGAACAAGATATGCTCATAAGTGACTTGCCTATCATCTCTCTTCTTTGGCTTATGTCGAGATGGCTGTAAAAAAATGTTGCTTGTAAGTTGAATATTAAATATGAAAATCTTGTGAATCAGCTGAAATGAAAATAAAATGAGTAGAATAAGGTAAATGGAGAGAAAAACTACAAGAGAATAAGATAATGATGATGAAGAACAGTATGTTGAACAAGGCGACCAAAGACGACTTGGTCTTTCTATATCTCGCCCCCTTACACTCTCCATCAAGACTCCTTACACTGCCTGTCTCAGAGGGGTAGAATGAGATCAAGACAACTCTTCCATAATAGATGGTGTCTACAGGACCTTGGCCCAGTTAACCTCGTAGGCTGGGTAGAAAACCTTGTTTTCCGTCTCGGGTATTTTGATAGAGCCCTTGTAGTACCTGATGGCTCGACCCAACACATACTTGTACCCTGCACACTGTAGCCCCTGGAACACCTGGAGAAGTAATACTGAATATAAATGACCTGAAAACACGAAAAAAGAGATGAATTACTTAATATGTGTAGATAATTCAGTAATGGTCATGACTTTCACTATTGTGATCCAGGGATTCGATTCCCACCTAAGGAGGGTGTGACTACCAGACATCACACATCCTGCTGGGTTCTGTACTCTGGTTTTCTCCTCACTATCATTGGACTAACCTTACCGGCTAGGAAGCTGATGGCGGGGGTGAATTTTGAAGTGCAGTGCAGTATGACAAAAAAATAAAATAAATTGTTCCCTTTTTTAAGTTAAGATTATCATGGTATTGATAAAAACTTATGCGCGGGTGTGTGTGTATGTGTGTATGTGTGTGTGTGTGTGTGTGTTTGAGAGTATGTAGTAGGTGAAGGTTTGAGTGAACAAGTGGTAGTGTGGTGACGTTACCTGAAACAGCTTGGCGAAGTACTGATGTCTCGCCTCACCACTCATCTCGTTCACCGTGATGGGAATATGGAGTCTGACGCCAATCTGTGGGCCAGGAAGTAACTATAGGCTACCCTCCTTTAGTTACACAGCGCTCAAGAACCACATTCACATACATACAGTTTATGATTTCTTATCTCTCCGTCATATATTTTTATACAATGTTCCACGGGAGAACACCTTTCATGTCACGTGCTGCAGTGGTTACCTGAACACAAGTTATTACTCGAGTACCATATCAGGAATTCTCAGGCTTTAAAGGGCCTCAGCCACCCTACCTGTTCACTGAAGAGCCAATGGAAAAGCCTATACAACAGTACATATTTTTGAAGACTGATTTTGTGTGGGGGCGGAGCGGTAATGTTGTGACTAACGTCAGTGTCGAGGTCGTACTCCTGCCCTGACCTGAGAATTAACCTGACCATATCGAATATTACAGACATTGAGGTGATGACCTCTCACTCCTGAACTTTGATGACCTTAGAACATGACCACCTAACCTACTAACAGCAGTGATGACCTGAGGATTGACTCTGACTTCCAAACACTTGTAATGTCCTCAGGCCTGACGTGTACTGTAGGGCTTACCTCTGACAATTTCGGCTCTAACTTTTGATGACCTTGGGCCTGATATGTGGAAAGTTTGCTCCTGATCTACAATGATCTTAACAATGACCTATGATGACCTGTGGTACTGACCTGTTGTATATCCAGCTTGTGGAGGTTGGAAATGACTTCTTTGAGAAGGATCCACTCCCTGCCCTCCAAGTCACTCTTGAGGTACTTAATCTCTCGCCCGCTGTGTCCAAGGGAGGAGGCAATGTAGTCGAGGGAGCGGCGACGCTGAATCCGCCCCTCCCCTTCAGGTTTATCGTAGGGAAACTGGGCGATGTTCCACGCGTGCTCCTTCCAGAACTCTGACCTCTGCACGTGTTCCGCTTCCGTCACCTGACATTCGCGCACACACACACACACACACACACATGGACATATTATAAGGACAAGGATACATAAGAAAACCCCACTGCAGTACATATAAGACACACACACTACAGCATTACTCAGATAACTAACTATATCACCTATGCACGCCGAGGCTTTAAATCTAACCCAAGCGCCAGGTGTAACGACATGCCCAGAATATAATTTCTTAAGACAAGTTTTAAATATTTTTAGTGCATCCACTGACAAATGAATATGTTCAATTATTGCTTACGATATTCATATCATCCAAGTTCCTGTAATGATTCAAAAGAAAAGTGATTCAAAATAACAATTTGAGTTATCCCATTCCGCTCATCTCTAGCTATAACTGCAGTAAGACCTTTTTTCACCTAGTTCACGTACGCCTGTGCTACTTACCCTCTCATGGTCGAAAGCGTGGACCTCACAGCTGAACATCTGCATGTCTCTCTCGAACTGATTGTCGACGTCCTTCCCGAAGCTGTAGACAAGGCAAGGGTCGTGAGTCATCTTGTACTCCTCGTTGAAGCAGATGTACTTCGTCTTGCGCACCTCGTCTACGCACTGCGTCTCACTCTGTGGGAGGAGGGATGGAGAGACAACAGTGTACTCACTACTATAATTTGGATCTCTGTCATCACTGCAAATCTTTCAATAAGCACTCTTAGGTCACTCCTTACTTATCTAAATTAATCTTTGTATCGTAGCTGTGATGGAGACTTATTTTACCTGTGATTACATTATTACTATACATAAGTCAGTCTTCCTACACCTGTCTTGCCAATAATTAGTCACCAAGAGATACACACACACACACCTGAGAGGGAACCGGTATTTTCTCGCCGCCAAACTCAACCCAGGAGTAGCAGTGTTCGTCATCGACTTTGTTCAGGTATTCGAAGAAGCTCTGGGCCCCACGGTACTCCAGTGGTGGTAGACGGGGGTTAGCACACACCTGAGGAAACCGACTGTTACTGTTGCGTTTATGATGTTACACCTGTGGACATAGTACACATTTACCTGTGCGAAACACGAGAAGCTCGAGTAAATAATTGACTATAAAGTGCAGCTGGCGTCGCAATAATTTAAATCATGTGACGCCTTTTTCACTTCAGGCGTTTATATTTAAAAGAAGTGTTAGAAAATTATGGATGAAATACATATTAATATTAAAAAAAAAAAGAAGATTTTACAGTATACAGATTTCTCATACTTCCAGGAGACGATAAGAAGGATGTGTAATATATGTTTTATAATTGTTATTTTTTAAGAAGTTGTGTTGCCATATTTATTGTAATTTTTTTGCTCGGTGCTGCATAACTCTGACACTTAATGCATCTAAAACAACAACAATTAAAATCACCACCAAACATCACATTCATCACCACCACGACCAGGTACCTCACCACCATCATCACCAGGTACCTCACCACTACTCACCTCCCTGAGCTGGTCCTCGAACTTGACGATGGGGAAGACCTCTCCAGTATACTGCCAGAAGTAGAGGTAGGCGAGGCCAGCCGCTGCTGCTACCAAGAGCACCAGCACCACCAGACCGACCCACCTTCTGTAGGGCAAGGGTTTTGATGCCCCGCCAGTCTGTAACACGACGGAGTGGAAGGAAGGAGGAGGGAGGGAGTAGCAGGAAGGAGGTGGTAGGGAGTGGAAGGAAGGAGGAGGGAGAGTGGAAGGTATTTTTAATTTCAGTTAATTTGAGTCAGTCAGCTCAGAGAAAATGTGACTTATTATATATGGTCTCATACGTCATATCAACTGAAGTACATATTAAAATCTCGGAAAACATTAACTACCATTAGCCAACAAACAAGATCATCACATAGTCGTCTCATTCGTTTGTCATTCAATCATACAATTATCGACATTACTACTGTTTATCATCATCCTGGCGTAGTGTGGAGTACTCATAGTAGTGGTGCTTGTAGCTTACCTTGTAGTTCACGGTCCAGATCATGGTGAAGAGGTGTGTGGCGAGATAAACAGACCGATAGAGACCTGGTGGTGCTGTGCCGCACGCCACTGTAGTACTGCAGCGCTAAGGGCACACCGCGGACGAATGACTTACTCCGTCACCAACTGAATCACGCAAATGCCGTAAAAAAACACAAAAAACCCAGCACTCTTATGAGCCAAACAGCTGTCAATTACTGTATGTGTTGTTATTACACATACGGAATTTAATTATCAATGATAAGTCAGAGGAGGAAATGTTGTGAAGGATTATTAGGTCGTGTTTTCCTGTATAGAGCAGCCACACGTCACTACCGTGCCCTGGGCGCCGACAACGTCCCTCTCCCGGGTCTGGGAACGATTGCGTGGCTCAGCGAGTGTACCAGAGAATTTAATGGATAACAATGCTAACTAACAGTTTAATTAAAGAATATGACACACACCATAACGCAGCGCACACTTCGGTTTAGTGTAACAAGGTTAATTATAACTACATTTAGTGATGTAAAGAAATAAACATGTCACAATGCACATTACAGTACATTGTGTTTTTACTGTATGACGTAATACAATCAATAGCTTCAACCTTAAATATTTCGTAATATTAAGTTATTATGTGACAATCTAACCCTTTACCAACACTGCCAGACGACTTTGGTCAGCTTCGAAAAGCCTGTCGTCTAAAGGGCTAAATTACGTTAAGTTAGGTTTGGTACTTATGTTATTACTTATACTTACATGTTTTGAGTCCATTAAGTTTTTATGTAGTACACTTGAAAATGACTGATGTCACTTAATTTCCGTTAGAACGTATGCATTCACGGCAGCGGAAGCAGTTATCCATAACTTGAAGATTCAGAATAAATCCGATTTATTTCGTGTCTGATGTTGTCTTCAGTTCAGGTAATGTTTTTGGTTTATTTGCACCTTGGACCTTAAGTAGCCACACAAAAATATGTAGGTGAGGTGATGAGGGTGGCCATGGAGTGTCCCTAAATATTGAAATAACGGATTTAGTAAAGGCTCTTGCAACATTCGCCTTGTTGTATTGCTCGTGTGGCAAAAAATAAACAAGTGGATTTCAACAATATTTCCATACGGTGTTCTTATAATAATTGGCGTCTGGAAGTTATACTATCCAAATAAAAAATAAAAATGTGTCCATGAATTAATTGTCACCCTGTATATACCTGTAATTAGAATAGGCATCATGATGGTCTTTGTAACTGTATAGATTCCTTGTGTTATGTACAGTCACCCAAAAAGAGTCCTGTCGCGAACCACGATTCAGACTCGTGAACCCGAAGCAGTAGCCACTGATACATTATTCTGTCCATAAATGCTTCTGATTCAAGAGTCTGAATCTCCGGGTTCATGGTTCGCGACAGGACTTTTTTGGGTGACTGTACCTGAGGCAGCATTATTATTATATTAAATAAAACAGTTTATATTGTTTGTATTATTATTATTAAAAATAGGAGTCACAATGATAAAACAGATCACTCACATCAGACATACAATAAAACCTAGCGTAACCTTTTTAACATTATAATTTTCACAATATAAACACTATCATAACTTGAGTGTTTTCGTGATGAACCTCAAATTATGGAACACTGTAAATATAAATTTTAAACACTTTTTATCCAACCCTGAGCCAACGCAAGAAGCCCCCTCACTACAGCTTGTCCACCCAACAGATGGACTGGCGCGTATTACAGCTTTCCTTTATCTCCTCTAAACCTCTACTGAAAGTCAGACGCATTGATTATGTATTTCTTAGCGGGTTCTGCGTATCATCCTTATGTCTCCTTGAAAACCTGACTGACAGACCTTCCTTTAATTTATGTACGTAAGTCTTGCCGGCTGTCTAAGTTTACCATCGTCTCTTCGCCTGCTTGTAAAGCTGGCGACGGGGAGGTGGTCTCAGCAGACAGGGCAGGCAGGGAACCGACTGTCTGCTGGCCGGGTGATAGAATATTGAAGGTCTGTAAGCTGATGGGACTGAGACTCGTGCGGAGGTTGTGGTAAAAAGTGGTGGACAAATAGCTGGGACTCCGGTGGGTGTTTACCAGCTCTAGGTCCTGGTGAATCAGACGCCATCTACGCCACACCCGCGCCTGGTACCTGTGAACCACCACATATTCACTTCATGTATCTGTAACATTTAGCGTCACGTAACAGCAACGGCTTATGTAAAACTATTTTTATGCCTAGTATTAGGCATTTACAGGGATATCATCTCTTTCCTTCTTCTGTAGGTATATACAGTAATTTCAGATAAGCGTTTTGAATATTTGTACTCTATAGTGCCATCCCCAAACATTCCAACAGCCTATGAAGTGAAATTTACTCGTCTAAAGTAGTTTAAATACTTCTGCACTGAACATTATGTTAGCACTGACATTTGTGACTGGTTTGCTCTGTAACATAATGTAAACAATCTGTTCTGCTGATATTTAACATGTGAGGAACAATGAAAAAATAATCCTCCGTTACGTCAGGGCGGACTGGGTACATTCTCGTAATAAGTAAATATTGGTTAGTCAAGAGGTAATTCAAGTATTTCTTCAAACCAGTTAGCAGCTGACCTGATGACGATGGTTGCCCAGGCAATGTAGATAGCCAGGAGCAGCAGCGCCAGGAGCACCAGACCCAGACCCTCCCAGGGCTTGTCTCCACCCTTCTCACCTTCGTGGTCTCTCTGATGACCGTACTTCTTGCGGGGCTCAAAGCTATCCTGAATAATTGATGCACATATTTGTACGAAAAATAACCTGACACTTGTAAATAAAAAGAAAAACACCTCTAATCACTCATGAACTAAGTTATTTGGGGGAAGAAACGTATGGTATGCACAGTTGGTTCCACTATTCAACATTTTTTTTTCAACCGATATATCCCTAGTCAATGGATATTTCAGTATGGGTTCGAATCCCTTCTCAGAAACAATTCAGAAAGGGCTAGAGTCCCATTAAGGGGATATTTCAATATGGGGTTGAATCTATGTCTGGTGATACCTGTAACACACGCTGACAGTACCTTAATTCTCACGACTCTCTGCTTGGTCAGGACTATGAACTGGTTGGTGAAGGCAGTGAAGTGTTCATCATTTCCGTTTATGTACTGAAGGGCGCCCATGGTACACAGATAGATGGAGAGAGCAGCCAGCGGCGTCAGCAACAACATACACATCCCGTCCACCAGCAAGGCCCGACTGATCTCTGGGTTGTCAGCGTACAGCAGATACTGTAGTGATGTAGATCAGACTACTACAGTACTGGTTAGGTTAAACTAAATATATCTTTGTAGGCCGCACACTATAGTAGCACCTGCTGAAGCTTAGTAAACCTTTAGTCACGCTTGCTAAAAAATAGTACCTACAGTTACCAATAATATTATCACGCAAATTACACTACGTTCTGATGGGTTTATACCTTCCAGAAGGGTTTGGGTGTACGTTTGAGGGTGAAGTTGTATCCGCAGATCTCACACTTCTCACCGTCTGCGAGGGTCAGCCACCGCTCCAGACACGACTTGTGCACCGCCCCGACAGTTCCCGTACACAAACACGGCGAGATAAGCTCCTCCACTACCTCACCTGCAGGACCACGACACCTCCGAATAATATGGGCAGGTTGGGTTAGGTTAGGTTGGGTTAGTACAGGTTAGGTCAGTTTAGGTTAGGTTAAGTTGGGTTAAGAAAGGCTAGGTCATTTTAAAGTAGGTCATATCAGGTCAAATTTGGTTGGGTTAGGTTAAGTTGGATAAGCGTTTAATGATTTTTACATTCATCTGCTTAGATGTTCAGTATTGTCAGAAATCCTTGACTAACATAACTACTAACAAAGCTAAATATTACTTTCCTCCAGTTACCACTAAGACTGCTGGCAATATCCTATACCACAATCCTTAATACAAACATCAAGGCGGTGTGAAACAACTGTAAGAATGAATTAACAAAACCTATAAACTCTGGAACGGGTTATAAACTCTTCCCTAACCGCACAGAACATACGAGTCGAGTCACTTTCATTCCTCTTTATCGTCACTTGTCTTTACTAAATTGATAAATAAGAATTCGCCGTAACGGAATAATCAGGAAATGAGTAAAAATAATTCTCTTAGTCAGGCAGTGAGGACAGGTAGTCTCTGGAACTGGTTAACACAGGTAAGGGAGGTGACGTCACTTACCTTCGTGGCAGATGCGACAGATGGGATCCATGCTGCTCTTGTAGCTCTGACAGGACTCTGCCGGCGAGGTAAACGGTATCAGGTGTGAGTGTATGCTGCCACTTGTAAGGAGACTAGTGCTGAAGGTTGCTGGCAGTGACAAGCTGCGGGTAACAGAAGTCATGCTGCACGCTGTGGAAGGGGAGGACGTGCCGCACGCTGTGGAAGGGGAGGACGTGCCGCACGCTGTGGAAGGGGAGGACGTGCCGCACGCTGTGGAAGGGGAGGACGTGCCGCACGCTGTGGAAGGGGAGGACGTGCCGCACGCTGTGGAAGGGGAGGACGTGCCGCACGCTGGAGGGGGGAGGACGGGCACGCCGGAGGGGAGGGACGGCCGCACGCGAGGGGAGGACGGCTGCACGCGGAGGGGGAGGACGGGTCGCGCACGCGGAGGGGAGGACGGAGCCGCACGCCGAGGGGAGGAGGGACGGGCCGCGACGCGGGAGGGGGGAGGACGGGTCAGCACGCTGGAGGGGGAGGACGGGCTTTCACGCTGAGGGGGGAGGACGGGCCGACGCTGAGGGGGGAGGACGGCCGCACGCTGAGGGGAGGACGGGCTGCACGCTGAGGGGGAGGACGGGCTGCACGCTGAGGGGGAGGACGGGCTGCACGCTGAGGGGGAGGGGACGGGCTGCACGCTGAGGGGGGGAGGACGGCTGCACGCTGAGGGGGAGACGGGCTGCACGCTGAGGGGAGGACGGGCTGCACGCTGAGGGGGGAGGACGGAAGCCGCACGCTGAGGGGGGGAGGACGGCTGCACGCTGAGGGGGGGGAGGACGGCCGCACGCTGAGGGGGGGAGGACGGGCTGCACGCTGAGGGGGAGGACGGGCTGCACGCTGAGGGGGAGGACGGGTCCCACGCTGAGGGGAGGACGGGCTGCACGCTGAGGGGGGGGGAGGACGGGCTGCACGCGAGGGGGGGAGGGACGGGCTGCACGCTGAGGGGGAGGACGGGCCGCACGCTGAGGGGAGGACGGGCCGCACGCTGAGGGGGAGGACGGGCCGCACGCTGAGGGGGAGGACGGGCCGCACGCTGAGGGGGAGGACGGGCCGCACGCTGAGGGGGAGGACGGGCCGCTTGCTGTGGGAGAGGTATGGAAGCGCGAGTGTCCAGGGTGTGTTGAAACTGTGTAGGTCATGGGTGTAGGGCTCCTGGCACTATTCCCTGGGTTCATGGCACTATCTGTTGGATCCATGGCACACACTCCTGAGCAGGTTGTAGGTGAAAGGCTCCTGTCACTATTTCCTGTAGAGAGAAGGTCTTTGGTCATCCTAACTACTCACTATGTTCTCTGAATTTTCGACAAAAGGTTTAGACAAGAGGCCACCACAATGTTAATCAGGGAAGAAAAAGGAATAATTGCGAAGGAAATTCTTACTTTAAATCCTCAGAACAACAACAGTCATCTATGTTACGACCTGGTGTGTGTGTGTGTGTGTGTGAGGACGGGGTTTATATCAGATGGGATCTAAACCGAACTACTAAAGCCTCAACCTAAAACAAATATAAAAACAAAGATCTTCGTAGTTAAATCCCAATACCTGCAAATAGACGAGTTTTGTTGGTTAATATTGATCTTTTAACGTAATTTTAATGAACACAGACGTGGGTTTCCTTCTCATATTCGACGGCAACAAGATTAAATTGAACGAACTTACAAGTGAAAAATTTCTTAAAACTGTCTATACATAATCACCGTCCCTTCAATCACCTGTTTATTACTTGGAGGAGAATTTACTCTACCTGTTCAATGCGTGAGTATCTGTAGTTGATGTATGACAGGCAGAGCACCACCACCAGTCCTGGGCGACGTGAATGGCGGAATGACGACTGACGAGCTGTAGCTGATTTTACCAAGTTCAGCTCGACGTCGATTCGAATCTTGTGAAGTGAAGAATGAATCCCTGGTCGAGTTATTCCTGCTCGTAGGTTTGTTTCGTGGCTTCATAGGGTTCACGATATCCCTAAAGTGAACCCTAAAACGAATCATGGGTCAAATAGGGGTTTAGATTCGACCCTGACGTCAAACGATTCCTGAAGGTTAAGTTTCTAGTCGGCTCGAGTTCCTCATTAGTCCACACAAGTAGATCATATCAAAGCCACAACAACAGTCTCGCAGTGGCTGGTAGTTTGAGGCCAAAATCTGAGACACGTTGATTATAAACAAGTTTGGCCAATTTTTATAGTGTGTTGACAAAACCTTAGTAATTACTGATATATTAGTCTGTTACAAAGAAAGTCGTACGGATATCTCTCTCTCTGTCTTAGATAAAATAAACAAACAAACCAATAAACAAACAAACAAACAAACAAACAACGTAAATGCGGTACACGATGGGCTGACGATATTGATGATGAGTGAGTGAGTCAGACATAGAGCTGACTGACGCAGGTAATAAAATTTATATTAGGATGATAAATATAACAACAGCTATAAATAATATCCTTTAATGTATAACTTTTGTCAATTATTTATGTACACATTAAATGGAAACTGTATGTATGTGTGTATGTATGTATGTATGTATGTATGTATGTATGTGTATGTATGTATGTATGTATGTGATTTCCCCTCATGACTTAACGTGTGAGGCTGTACTGGAGGGATAGGCACACACACACACACACACACTCACACACAGACACACACACTCACACACAGACACACACACACACACCAACACTACTCTGGGACAAGAACGACCATTCTCGACTCTTCACAACTTCTCGTACAAATGACAAAATTAACAAACATTGCACCCAGCCTTAACATGACCAAAGGAACATTAATTACTATACGTTCACCTGGTGTCTTGAACAAACTTAAGGCTACGTTAGTATTAAGGAGTAAAGTATAACGAGGTAATGTGTCACTCAGACCCAAGCGGCGGAGGCTCTACCTGCCTTGACTACCTGTCCAACTCTGTCTAAGCCTTGCATATGACACCTGATCATCGAGGTGATAAAAACGTACTGTAGTGCACGATAGTACCAAGGACGACTCTAAACTACTCTATGTTGATTCCAGAATGACGTAGTACTACATAGTATAAAGTGCCACAACATAGTATCACATAAGGGTCACGATATAATATAATACAAACAATGAAATGAATAGTATCACTTCTAATCTAACCTAACCAGAAAACTAACCCCATTTAGTATAACACGTGGAAGTGGCACACACACACACACACACACACACACACACACACACGCACACACGCACACACACACACACACGCACACACACACACACGCACACACACACACACACACACACACACACACACACACACACACACACACACACACACACACACACACACACACACACACACACACACACACACACACACACACACACACACACACACACACACACACACACACACTACAGTACCCCTCATGACAAGACCTGAAACATAAATCATTAAAGGAAACATAAATAAAACATATATTTAGACGTATAAGAATTTTTATAAGAGTTCATCAATACTCAGTGACACAGCTGGGCAAAATATAAGACATACAGTACATAGACTTATACCAGGTAAAGGGCCTCTAAAATCTAAACAATACAGGGGGAAACATGGACTTAAGTTACAAGACATATATAGACTTACCCAAAATATAGGACGTAAATGGACTTAAGTACAAAAATACACAAGGACTCATACAGGATACAGGATACACATATGACTCATACAGGATACAGGATACGCAAGGAACTACAGAACAAGGCATACAAGAACCCTTTCAGGATACCGGTTTAACCCTTTAAGGTCGATAAACTAAAATGGTTTACAATTAAGGATACAACACGAATTTAAAAACAAGAATATGGGACCCACAAGGACCCTCTCAAGGGGCATTAAAGTATAAGAAATATGGCACAAGACATATAAGAAAGTTAAACAGAATAAAACGTAGGTAAATATAAGAATGCACATTAGTTCAAGGTGACGTAAAGAAAAATAAATGCTTAGATGACGTACAAAGAGCTCCAATTAAGACTTAAAATAGGGGATATGGGGCTAAAATACGATACAAGGCATGCGAGTTTTAAAAGAAGCTGAATATTATAGAAAGTGATCATAAATAAGGCATAAGAGAACTCAAGGCATACATTGATGAGCTCATAATAATATCCGGTGCATACAGCTACTTAAAAACAAAGACCCAGGGCATACAACATCTTAGAGTAGGTAGCATAGAAGATCTCAAAACAAGACCTAAGGCATTAGTAACATAATGACACAGAGGAAGTCAATATAAGAGGCAGGATAAATGAGGCATAGATAACTTAAAAGAAGATTCTAGGCATAAAAAGAATTATTGAAAAAGGACATAGAAGGCATATAAGAACGTTAAGGGAGGTAATTCACACACTAGAGGACTCGCAATAACCTGGGGTAAATTACAAGACAAATCACAGGATAATGGTGTTCCTTAGGCAGAGAGCAGCCGGGAATAATAGACGATCTACAGGCTCTACGTAAATTGGAGGTACAGGTAAGATACAGACTCTACATAGACTGGAGGTAAGAAGTTACACTTATGGTTTAAGGTACAGTATGGTACAGGACAGACTAGATATCACCTGACAGGAGGGAAGTAACCCCGAGTGTCACCTACAGGTTCCATCCCCAGGGTAGCTCCTACCTCCGCCCCCTGGACAGTGTCTAACTCCGCCCCCTGGACAGTGTCTAACTCTGCCCCCTGGACAGTGTCTAACTCCGCCCCCTGGACAGTGTCTAACTCCGCCCCCTGGACAGTGTCTAACTCCCCCTGGACAGTGTCTAACCCGCCCCTGGACGGTGTCTAACTTCGCCCTGGACGGTGGCCCTCTGGGCAGGGTCTTGCCCTCCCCTAGGGTAGGGTCTTGCCTCTTCCCTGGGTAGGATGACCCCAGTCCTCTGGGAAGAGCCATACAGGGTGCGGGTTACCCAGTGCGTCACTTTACAGGGGAGACTCGGCAGTGGTGGGAAAAAAAGGGCCGGTGAGAAGTCTCTGGGGTGGAGGGGCAGTCCCTTGACTCTAGGGGGGTATGAGGGGCCCTGAAGGCAGGGGGCCGTACTGGGGGCCAAAATAGGAGGGCAGGTAAGACTCGTACGTTCGGGGTGAAGGACCCCCAAAGGGCGGTGCTCCCTGGTGATGGCCCATAAGGCGCTGAGTATGGTGGGGGTGCTGGTGAGTGGGAAGCAGAATAGGGTGAGGGGTTAGTAAGGACATGGTAGGTGAGGGTTGAGTAAGGGCCTGGGTAGGGTGAGGGCGTTGAGTAAGGGCCTGGATAGGGTGAGGGGGTTGAGTAAGGGCCTGGGTAGGATGAGGGGGTTGAGTAAGGGCCTGGGTTAGGTGAGGGAGTGTAAGGAACAGGGGATGGATAAGGCGAGGGAGAATAAGACCCTGAGGATGGATAAGGGGTAGGAGAGTAAGGTCCAGGGGAAGAATATGAGGTTGATTTACGAGGCGAGGGAGTGATAGGGGCGAGGGTACTGGGGAATATAGAGGCAGGTTTATAAGACGTGGATTTATCTTTGAGTGTTTTGGGTGAGTAGGTCGTGACTGCAGGAGTTGTTGTCTTGGGCTTATAACTCGTCACTTCAGGAAGCTTCAGAGGCGCTAATGTCTTAAGTGTCTTATAAGCTAGAGGGGTGACTGTAGGGGTCGAGGCTGTGATTGGCGAAGTTGACCCTAGTTTAGACCCGTGAGTTGCTGGGGTAGGATCACTGGGGTAAAATAATGGTTCTGTAGTAACGTGAGGCACTTGGGTGGTGGGGTAACGAGGCTTATACGTTGTGATGCGTGTTGAGTCCTGTTGGGGTGAGGAGGAGAAAGGTGTGGGCAGGTAGGATTTCGATGTTGGATAGTTGGTAGTCTTATGTGGTAAGGGACTGTAATACGTAGATTTTGTTGGTTTTGGAGGATGATAAGGATCCTTCGTTGGTATCGGGAGGTAGGAGGATGATACTGTTGGTTTCGGGAGGTAGGATGGGGATTCTGTTGGTATCGGGAGGTAGGATGAAGATTCTGTTGGTTTCGGGAGGTAGGATGAGGATTCTGTTGGTATCGTGTGAAGGAGAGGTCCCACTGGTACCGGATGGAGAGGGGTTTCCTTAGGTAAGGGAAGGTAGGAAGTTTGTGTTGATATCGGATGATGGGGAACGTCTGTTGGTATGGGAAGATATGAGCCTTGAGTTGGTATGGGAAGGTATGAGCCTCGTGTTGGTATGGGAAGATCTGAGCCTTGAGTTGGTATCGGGTGGTAAGGAACGTCTTTTGGTATCGAGTGGTGGTGCGGAGGAGCGTCAGGGTGACCAAGAGTAGACGGGAAGGGAGTGGTTGGTCGAGGTCTCAGTCTTCGTGCTCGTGGCCTTGGTGGTCGACGCGCACTGTAGCCAGGAGGAGGCCGGGGATGTCGCGGGGTGGTGGGGTTGATCTCCGGGGCGTACTTTAGAGCCTCTTGTACGTGTAGTGGATGGACGGCGTGAAGAGGCTCGTAAGACACCTTGGCCCGGTATCCGTTCTCATCTGCGATATACGACACCACCTGGACTCGGCCATCGGGGAGGGAAACCCGATATTCACCGCGGGTTGTTTTGCCTTCTCGTTCCTCTGCGTGACTGTAGGAGGCGCCAGTGTCGTCATCACGGACACTGTACGCGAAGTCGTAACTCACATGTTTCTGTCAACACATCCCAACAAGGAGTTGTATTTTAGCTATCGATACATTATAATGCTATGCTAATTTCATTGACCAACGAAACAATTATATGCAAAGTTTATTGACAAGTATATATTGTATTCAGACTAATATTTAAGATATACAGTACTCGAGTTTTATGGCAAATTATTGTAGATTTATCGTAGCTTCTGTGTTTACTACAGTTTACGATACTTACCGACACAATAGCCCCGTAGTAATAACTCCCCCACTGTCACACTGTTACAGCAAAAAAGAGTAACATTTCCAGATTGATAACATGAAGAAGAGAGAACGTGGAGGAGGAGAGAGAAAAGAAGATAGTTTATCCCCCACACTATATGAAGGGCCGGAGTGTGGGGGGGGGAGGGGGAGGTATATGTTCAGTACAGTATAGTCATGGTCCGCCCCTCTGCGGTCCGTCAGTCTGTCTGTAAATAAATGGTTTCTACACAACTCGTGTTTATTTAAGGAGGGCAATGATCACATTTTTTAAATAGAAAAATAGATAGATGAAAATGTAATCAGTATAAATGGACAGTGCAGATATAGTGTTTCTCCACATGCCATGACATGTCTCATAGGAATAAGCTATACTGTACAAAGTGTTAGGATGGTCAAACGAGCATCAAATTGCAACAAAATGATTATTGTTCTATGGAAAGTGAAACTACTTATGTTGAAAATAGTAATCTTAAGATGGTGCCCTCCAGAACCACGACACTCACGCGAAGACATGAACAATAAACGTAATTCATTTTATACGTACAGAACCAATGGGGACATATCGACTTGACTACTAGCCCCCACACTGAACTAATCACCATTTATTTACTAACCAGCTCCTTTAAACGTCTATAGAGTAGTTATTACTGTACACGTCTGACATTCATAATATTCTTTAACTATTTAATTAAGGATGTTTTGCATAAGTACAAAAATCCACAATATAAAAGCCCAAAATGACCTTTATGTTGACGCTGTGTCCAGGTGGTGAGTCTTACCTGGTTTAAGAGAGGAATATCGTGAGCCTCAAACTCATAGGGATCATAGCCTAATGTCTCCCTAGCCTCCCTCTCTCCATCTTGAGTCTCCGAAGTCTCCAGGTCCCCGTCCTCCTCTTCTTCCGTGGTCTCCGTGCCCTCCGCGCCATAGCCCGCCACCCATAACACCACTACAGCCACCACTATCTGTAACAGTACACAGGTGAGCCAATAACATGGGTGATTCCTTAGGGCGCCATCAGTGACCTCTGACAGTGCCATTATGAGAATCAGGAATAATAATAATAATAATAATAATAATAATAATAATAATAATAATAATAATAATAATAATAATAATAATAATAATAATAATAATAATAATAATAATAATAATAATAATAATAATAATAATAATAATAATAATAATAATAATAATAATAATAATAATAATAATAATAATATTAATAATAATAATAATAATAATAATAATAATAATAAAAATAATAATAATAATAATAATAATAATAATAATAATAATAATAATAATAATAATAATAATAATAATAATAATAATAATAATAATAATAATAATAATAATAATAATAATAATAATAATAGTAGTAGTAGTAGTAGTAGTAGTGACGTAAGTTTCAGTAAGAGTAAATTTCCTATATCTTGCAACACCACTACACACATATGCTAATTATCGCGGTCACTTGTTGTCGCAACCCTCCCTCCCCCCTCTCCAGTAACCCTCCCTCTCCAGTAACCCTCCCTCTCTCTCCCCCTCCTCCAACAACCCTCCCCCCTCTCCAGTAACCCTCCCTCTCCCCTCTCCTCCAGCAACCCCCCCTCCTCCAGTAACCCTCCCTCTCCCTCTCCCTCCAACCCTCCCCCCTCCTCCAACAACCCTCCCCTCTCCCCTCCCTCCTCCAGCAACCCTCCCTCCTCCAGCAACCCCTCCCTCTCAATAACCCTCCCTCTCCCTCCCTCCATCACGGTTAGCCAACACCTTACCAACTGATATAAATAACCTTTGTTCTTGCTACAACTACACCGGCAGTAGGTTACTTCAGCGACAAACTAGAATGAGGAAAACATAATCTTGCAAGGTCACTGACACTGTGCAACCTGGTGACGGTAGACACGCAAGGGGTGATCGTTGCACATAATAACAAACAAAGGCAAAAGTAAACAGCTGTTGATAGTGATCCATGACACATGTTAGCGAAGAAAAATAATGCGTATGTGTAAGATAATTATTGATAACTCTTGATGATCTGCAAATGCGATATGAAGATATAATGGTAGCTTTTGATAACACGTGTTGACATCGGACACAAATACATTGTTATAATCACTGTAAATAAGATAAGCAGTAGCATTAAATTGAAATGAAACAGTTTATTTAGCAAGAAAAACAAAGATACAGAGTGGATAATAATAACAATATTAACATGGCTGAGCCAGTTGAGAACCTGAGCTCTCTTTTAGGCACCTGATATATACTATACATTTATCTCAAGGACATGATAACAAACGCAGACAAACACACGTACAACCACAGTCACTGCCGACAACGTGTGTGTGTGTGTGTGTGTGTTCTCAGGCGGCTGTGAATGTGACTAATACAGTAATTATGTAAAAGAAGACGCCGCCTGTCATCACGTCTGAGCCTCACACGGCACGCGAGAGTGACGGCAGGACGGACGAACACAATGTAAACATACAAGGTATAACTGCTGCCTTAGATGGTCCCTGGTAATAATGGGTCCCAAACCTAATGACGGGGACCATTAAGACTGGGGTCTATTAGGTGTGGGGTCTATTAGGTGTGGGGTCTATTAGGTGTGGGGTCTATTAGGTGTGGGGTCTATTAGGTGTGGGGTCTATTAGGTGTGGGGTCTATTAGGTGTGGGGTCTATTAGGTGTGGGGCCTATTAGGTGTGGGGTCTATTAGGTGTGGGGTCTATTAGGTGTGGGGTCTATTAGGTGTGGGCCTATTAGGTGTGGGTCTATTAGGGTGTGGGGGTCTATTAGGTGTGTGGTCTATTAGGTGTGGGGGTCTATTAGGTGTGGGGTCTATTAGGTGTGTGGTCTATTAGGTGTGGTGGGGTCTATTAGGTGTGGGGTCTATTAGGTGTGGGGTCTATTAGGTGTGGGGTCTATTAGGTGTGGGGTCTATTAGGTGTGGGGTCTATTAGGTGTGGAGTCTATTAGGTGTGGGGTCTATTAGGTGTGGGGTCTATTAGGTGTGGGGTCTATTTGAACTGTAGCCCATTCAACTTTCAGCAAACATATCTGAAACACTCATCACTAAAGTCACCATTACATAAGAACATTACAGTATCACACTCCTTCACACCTTTACAAAAACAAATGTGATTCAGATATCAAATATGTTCATGTTTTTAAAATATCCGTAGAACAATTACTCCATGACATGACATATGGTTAATCAGGTGAAAGGAAACACAGACGTAAAGACAGGTGAAAATCGTAAACATTTCTTTGAATCTCCAGACGGAAATCTGCACTTCAGGCTCTTCCCTCCTCCCCCACACCCCACCCCCACACACACACACGCACTTTAGTTCCACAGTACAATTATATTTTATTATCTGACCTACCCAACCTAACATGACCTAATTTAACCTACTTTTACCAGTGAGTGTATAAGACAGATGGTCAATAGCTGTGTTGTTATTATTGTGTGGAGGAAGTGAGAAAATGGGGTCGGTGATTGGTCAAACTTTTGTGTTGGTTATAACATTAATTAATTTTTCTTTGTTTGTGTCCAATTTAACCTCATCTCCGTCCTCTGGTTTAAGTAGACGAAACATAACGTCTTTCACAATACAGTAGAAGACACTGAAATACTCTGAGCTGCAGTGTAATAAAAGAATCTTCCTAACCAGACAACATATGGAACAGTCACTACACGAACAGATAGATAGATAGATAGATAGATAGATAGATAGATAGATGGTTGGATGGATGGATGGATAGATTAAAGTTATTAAGAGAAAGTTCATTATGGGTGAGAGCAGAGCAGAGTACGTCACTCACACTGTTTTGACTTGACAACAATAATTACAATGAGTTTTATTTCTTCTTTATTTTCATTATAATTTATGTCATTACTATTATTCATTATACATTAATTAGTCACTTATGGACGATTTCATTTCAATATTCTCAAAAAAATATTAATTTAGTAGTAAATAAATACAAGCTATCTTAAGGTGCTTGTATGGAGGATTCTCAACCTAACCTAACCTAACCTAACCTAACCAAACCTAAGCTAACCTAACCAAACCTAAGCTAACCTAACCAAACCTAAGCTAACCTAACCTAGAGGATCAACAAGTCACTACCTGAGCCTGAAATAGTGTGATAATATGGATGACGACAACGACAGATGGTAAATTGCATGTGTGTGTGTGTGTGTGTGTGTGTGTGTGTGTTACAAGAAGTAGTGAAGTAATAATTTTTATATTGCAAATGTGTGATATATTTTAGCTTCTCTATCTGCAGGCAAGATGAAACAGCAGCAGCAGTGTGTGTGTCTGTCTTTCTGTCTGTCTCTTCCAGCTTCATTAGTATTTCTACTACTACCATCATTCATAATCCTCCACCTCCTCATATTTCTCTTTATTTAACCAAACTCTCTTCATTGCTGTTCTTATTTCCTCTTATTTTACTCTTTTTCTCCTCGTCGTTTACTATAACTTGTGGGCGTTATGAGTGGCGTCCTTCAGCCTGGCGGGGTTATGGTCAACACACACGACTAATACTGCACAAGATCTTCCTCTAGTGCCGGGTGTCAGTGTGGAGGATCTGTCCATTGGGTACAGCTGCCGAGGGCCCCTGTGGCGTGAGGTAGTCATCCTATGGGAACGTGAAGCGCAGGTGGACGTTCTCCTTCAAGGCAGTGGAGGAGGCCGAGTCGTCTTGGAGGGGGTTGAGAGGGAGACAGACAGAGAGAAAGAAAGAGACAGACAGATAAATAGAGAGAGAGAGGCAGATAGACAGAAAGAAACAGACAGACACAGAGACAAACAGACAGAGAGACCTATAGACAGACATAGACAGTGAGAGGAAGAGTATAACGTTCGACCTTGGTGGCTGGTTTACCGTCTGTCGTAGTAGTAGTAGTAAGGTGGTAGTTACCGTGGACCGTTACTTAGGAGAGAGAGAGAGAGAGAGGCCGACCTTGTAGTACCATCTGCCACACTTACAGCCGTATGCTTCTCTTTCCTCCCTCACGCAGTACAGTACTTTGTGTTGTGATTACTTTTCCTCCGCTCTCTCTCAAGGTCCATGGTCACCTTATGTTGTGTGTGTGTCTGTGTAATCAGGTATACACGATCATAGCACAAGTTGTGGCGTAACGACCTCTCGATGCATCTTGTGAACGTGTGTTATAATTTACATGGTCTGCCAGGACAGGGACTGGGCAGATCAAGAGGTCGCGTACACTACCTGAGCGTCACGAGCCAGCACGATTGTCTTAAAAGTGGATAAAGTTCTGGATACACAGCGCTGATACCTTCAACCTCAATAGACTTAAGTAGCATTAAGTAATATAAGTAAAGGTGTTTAATGCAGTGTCAGCAAAGCTCAGGGGCGGTGACTTTATCGTGGCCATTAACGCGCGAGTTAGCTGAGAGTGACTCCATCTTTCCACGGGCTGTTGCAAAACGTCCAGAAAATGTTGCTGATTCCCTGGGAGCAATTAGTGGGCTAGCAACAGTCTGTTCCCGCCTAGATCTTTTTAAGTAAAAGTGTGAGACGCTCCTTGGAAGGTCGCCGTCACCGCCTCCTTCAAACACGCCCATCACAGGATAATTGTCAGTATTACACGTGATTAATTACTCAATCCTACCTTGCTAGCAGTGTATGTATATTATTTCGACGTAATTTCATTTCCAAACTCAGAAACACTTGAGATCAACGCCTTCCAAGTTTTATCATATACACGTGTGATGACGATGTGGACAACTCATTTTTGTATTTATTTTTTGAACGGGAGACTAACGTATAAACCGATTATGAAAACCATTCAATTAACATTAAGTTTTTGTGTTGATTAAATGAACATCCTGCGAGGAACTTAACGGCTGGGAGCACTGTAGGTTCAGGATGTTAACAGTTTCGTCGTCACGTTACGTCAGACCTCAACAAACTGGAGCGGTGAGGGTGTGTCATAACTGAAGGAACAGTAGAATGATAAAGCCACACCAACAAACGATTAATTGTCTGTGAGGTTAATTGTCTGTGAGATTAATTGTCTGGAATATTAATTGTCTGTGAGGTTAATTGTCTGAGAGTAACTGTCCATGACGATAATGGTAGTAGTATAGACGATAAATCATCAATCCATCAATTGTAACCACGGAGAGGCATCAATGAGTCACTTCTTGCAACACCTGGTTATAATACCTGTTAATCCATCAATTCTGACCAAAGAAAAATATCAATTACGAGGCCAGGGGATGATTTATGTCCATTCATCAGCTTTGACCATGAATTTGCCCTCGAGACGCTTGGGTTGTGGTTTGGTAAGTCGATAATTACAAGTGATTATATAGAATAATTTGTGCGTGTATAATTAGGTTTGTTATACTGTATTCTTAGGCCACAATCGTAAATTTATTATTATTGTCAGGCGGTGTGGCAAGACACCGCAAATATGTTGAAATTTTAGTCTAACCTAACTAGAACTACCCCTGAATCGTTTAATTAGGATAGTTTAAATTATAATAGCTCTTCTTAGCATGGGTTAGGTTAGGTTAGGTTATATTAGATTAGTTTGGTCAGGTTTGGTTATAGTGATGTAGTCTGTTTTGATATCCGTGGTACTTTTAACAACATTGCACTACCTCTGTTGTGAAGCATAGGAAATTGTGGTCGAGAACTCCCAGTAAAATTCATAATCAGTGAGCTAATCCCGTAAAAAGAAACAACCCCCCCCCTCCCCCCCCCAAAAAAAATACAAAACACACATACACAATACACATAACAACATACATATACACATACACAGCACAATATACACATACCGTACACAACACACACACCACATGACCCCTCGGCCGACCACTACAACACGCCAGCAAGTACAGTAATATACCTTGTTCAGTAGCAGCATGACGACACTTAGGAGAAGAAGAGAACTAAATATCTCTCGCCATTGGTCATACCTTTATACTCTCACCCAAAATACAACGACGCATGCGCAGAAGAGAAGGAGTTCACAACGACGCAGGCGCAGGAGGAAAAGTTCACGCCGGAGGAGGAAACGTGTTCATGGGTGCGCCGCATTTGATGTAACTCGGGGAGCTTTTGGATACACAACAGCTACTTTTTATACGTTTGGCCTTTTTGAGCAACACGACATTCACATGATACCGTAGATAATGAGGACTAAAAACACATAGGAACATTATATATCTTTACACATATATAAACACACTCACACACATACACACACACACACACACACACACATGGATACACAACATGCCCTGAGGGAGGTTAGGTTAGGTTATGGATTGATTACAGGTAAGTTAAGTTAGGTTAGGTTATGTTACGGTTTGATTACAGGTAGTTTAGGTCAGGTTAAGTCACGGTTTGATTACAGGTAAGTTATGTTAGGTTAGGTTATGTTACGGTTTGATTACAGGTAGGTACGGTTTGATTACAGGTAAGTTAAGTTAGGTTAGGTTATGTTACGGTTTGATTACAGGTAGTTTAGGTCAGGTTAAGTCACGGTTTGATTACAGGTAAGTTAAGTTAGGTTAGGTTAAGTGAGGCGATTGCTATGGTTCTGGGGTCATTGCATACGTCATAAGAAGTTCAAATGATCAAACTAAATTTCATTGTATCTCACTAGTTTAAATAATTGGGGTTCATAAACCTTCCCAGAGTCTTACCTTCACAAAGCCTCGACACTCTCCGGCCATATGTTCACTTGAGCCTCACGGGGACTCATTCCTGCAGGATACATTTCCTCGGTGAGACTATCATGTGTGCTTGTTGACTTAATTACTTTGTATAACTTGTAACCTAACCTAACCTAACCTAACCTAGCCTAACCTAACCTAACCTAGCCTAACCTAACCTAACCTAACCTAACCTAACCTAACCTAACCTAACCTAACCTAACCTAACCTAACCTAGCCTAGCCTAACCTAACCTAACCTAGCCTAGCCTAACCTAACCTAGCCTAACCTAACCTAACCTAACCTAACCTAACCTAACCTAACCTAACCTAACCTAACCTAACCTAACCGAATCTTAACTCTTTTCATTAATCACAGACACGTACAGTATAAGTCATTTCAGATCCAATTTCCATGTGAACTTTTGATACAGTCACGCGTTTGTTTACACTAGTGACGCAATAACTCCACAAATCACTTAGTGTCCAAACTCTTTATTAACTCTTATGACGTCAAGAGTTATCATAGGGTGTGGGATCCTCCTTCTCACTTTCCTCTTCCTGGTGATGACTTTCCACTTAGGTTTCGATCCCGTCTTTTTCTCTCCATTCCCAAACTCTCCAATCATAAACTGGATGAGTCAACACCAGCCAGAAATGATACCAGAGGGGCGAAGAGGAGGAGGGAGTGGAGGAGAAGGGAGAGGGAATAAAGGAGATGATGGAGTAGATAGAGGGAAGGAAGATATAGGAGGAGTATATTAGCGGAGAGGAAGCGGAGTTAATAGCAGGGAGTAGGGAGGGTTGGAGGGGGGTGGGGGAGGGCAGGGGAGTACTCGCAAGGGGAAGAGAAATAAAGATTATAGTTCTCCTTGACTTTGTTCACTCTGTTAAGTTCATTATAAGCTGTCTTGTATGGGACTGACCAGCTACGGTAGACTCAGTGTGTGTGTGTGTGGTAGCAGTTCACAGGGAGGGGTGAGGTGCAGTGTGAGGGAGGGGTGAGGTGCAGTGTGAGGGAGGGGTGAGGTGCAGTGTGAGGGAGGGGTGAGGTGCAGTGTGAGGGAGGGGTGAGGTGCAGTGTGAGGGAGGGGTGAGGTAACTGCTCCTCAACACATCATTGAGGGAATTAGATGTTTGGGTTATGAGAATGTTGAGAAATATCATTACGGAGTGAGAGGGAGCGTGTGTACTTGTTGTAGCTACACTGTGTATGAGGCAGCTCTGTGAAAACCAGTCTTAGCTTACTGAACGACTGACTGGTTGATTGACTGAATGAATGAGTGATCGACTTGCTGAATACCTGAACATACACAGACAGACTCTATACTGTTCATTTTTCTTAGAGGGAACGAAATAGAGCTTGAGAAAATGTAAATGAGTGAGACGCATTTTATGATTCAGTCATTAAAGGATGTTTTGGCAGTCGTCAGCTCTTCTCTGGGGCTGAGTACATATACCATTCGCCCTCTGACTAACACTTCCTCAGCCGCCCGCTGAATGAGGCGCCCTCAGTTCACCCAGCTGCTGATTGGGTACCTAGCTCTACTGCTGGGGATGTAACAGACTGCAGAGTGTAGTGCCAACCACACTTTCTCCCTTAAGGGGTTATCATATTGGACAAATTTCCGCATTCCTTGGTCAAATTTTCCGCCTGAAAACTGAGATCTGAGGAAATTTGAAAGCACTGGGAGTTTTGGGCAAGTTTTGACTACATTTCGAGTCCAACTGGGGTTTTATAATGCTTATAATTGAAAGGCAATTATTTCATTCAAACATATTATTAGGAAACAATTTTAAGTGATTTAAATGCATATAAAATATCATTAGAATATATTGTACTGTATACATACAAATGAAAATTACAGATAATATTTAATTTTAATTTTGTTTACATTCACTGAGCCCGGCCAGCATGGAGTCACAAGCCTCACTAATTATTTGGACAAGGAACTCTGAAACTTCTCTTGTTGATAAAGTGAAGAATTGCAAAATTTTGTGGGATTTCAGACATCTTTTGTATCTCAAGAAAAGCTTCAAACGACAACACTTTTGGACGACTCGTCATCATTATTAATGTTTTGTTCCGAGAGAGCGACGATACACGAAAGGTGTTACAACTGAGCGCGTGATTAGAAAGTCAGTTTTTTGACCGAGAACGGCGGAAATTTTGTCCAGTGTGATACCCATTTTATGTACCGAAGATTTAGTCTCCAGTTTGTTGTAACCACACTGATCCTAAAGTTCGTCTGGCCTATGAGACCCACTCTCACTTTTCCGGCTTTCTCTCGACCCATCAGTCAGCAAAGGAACCCTATGTGGAAGGTGTTATTTTAGTCAGTTGTGTGGTGGAAAGGCGTAAATTATCGTGCCGTCCACACCCTCTCCCCGAGCTACGTGACAGGGAACCATTCAATCATTAAACAACATCTTCAGTGGTAAAAGTTTCCCACGGATTAATAATAAATTTTGAGAGTAGCATCTACCATAAGCAGTAGTTCCAGGTCGCTTTCTCCCTTGGTTTGTTTCGGGAGGGATGGTCTAAGGTTTGGTGATATTACTCTAGCGTTGAATGACGTGGTTATGTTGCTGTATTATATGGAAATGATTGCGTTAAATACTGGATACATTTCTACTCCTAACTAAGTCTGCTCCAATTCTATATTACTGTCACTATATAGAATTTACCGGACATGTACTGTACATCTAAATCTGTACTTGTAACTATTTTCCTAAATAATCTTTCTAAATTAAGTTTCTCATAATTCACCTTTGTACCTGATGCTTTAAAGGTTTACAGATTATATCAATTATACCAGAATATTTCAGGCTACAAATGTTACATTATTCATACTATTTAATTGTTTTGTTTGATCATGAAAGCATGGTAGTTTACACCTCAAATATATTGTTATATATGATGGTGGTTTCAAAGATGTGGATTAAACTATGTGTTCCAGTACTGATCGTCTCCTGGAGAGCATCTTCCGGCTGCCATGCTCATTCAATAAACCGTTAATTATTATTATTATTATTTATGATTAAGTTATTCTACATGGCCCATAGAAAACAATGGCCACCAAAATAGGGGTACACAGGCCATTATTGTCATGCCATCATGTATTGTGACAGAGCTAAGGTAGAAATTAGGTTTTTTTTCTATAATGGCAGCAACAAAGTGGCAGCCATCGTCGATAGGGGACATTTTCGAAATGTCTCCACATCCCCAAATCATCAGAACATAATGTATAAGCGTGCCAAGTTACATGCTTTTATGACATAATGTACAATTCATCGACATTTTTGTACATATCGTCTGGACTAAGGGACTGAGGCTGGAATTTTCACCGTCTAGGTTGAAAGGATATTGATGCCAATACTGTATATAACGAGGCTGTGGGCAGGAAGTAAACAAACTATAGAAAAAAAAACGCAGTTGAACTTTAGAGGAAAGTTTGAGGTATAATTAACGTCTTAATTCACCGCTTGTCTTGATCACTTTGTTCTTCGGTACAGACCATCAGCCTCGGTAAAGGTGGTCACTACTGATTTTTGTAGCAGCTGGTTTGTTGAAGGTTGTTCAGAACGACTACCTGAGGTAACTATTTTATCAGATGGGTAAACAAGCATACATCGTTCAAGTGGGATGTAATCCAGAAAATTGTTTGATATAATTTATGGAGTAGGAGTTGTTAACCCTTGGAATTACTTGCCACACTCCCAAGTGTGAGCTGCCTAGCCTTGACTACTGTGTTCTGTACATGCCCAGTAATTGTCCACGACGTGTAACAGACTCAACAGAGACTTATCGACTGCCCGACTAGTGTGATGATATATTTCACATCACTTGATACAGAAACAGCACTATGTGGACTAACGTGTGGTGACAGGGGTAACTGCTTCATTGCTTCATTTTAAATATTATACTTTACTCTGTATCAACATGAAACAGAAAAAAACACACATTTAATACTAGAATTATGATACATAATCTTATAATTTGGAATTTAAATACTCTCATAATATATTGTAAGAACTACGTTTTAACTAGAGCACCATAGTTTTTCCATACTACTGCACATGTCTTATTATTTTATATCTAAAGCTAAAAACCTAAGTAAATAGATTTTTGGAATTAAAGTTAAAAAAAATAAAGTTCAGTATACCAGAAAAGATTATTATTTCTTCTATAGTTTTATTTTTTAAGAACTGTTTTGATTACAGACTTTAAACAATAGTCTCTCATAAGATTGTTGTGACGGGGGGTGAGAGGCGTCTGCTGGTGCTCCTGAACGATGCCATGGATATATTACTCCATACATTGTAACTACACTTAACTACACTCTGTTAACACACACATACAGTAAGTGTTATTATTATTAGTGACCTCAGTTGTCCAGGGGCTGCTGACTATGGCCGGGATGGACTTTAACATTAATTTATTTTTCATACCTCAGCCCTTTAAACCTTCCCTTATCTTATGTATATAGTCTAATAGAGCAATCTAGGGACACAAACAACCTTATTGGTGTTTTTATTGAATTAATGCCTGAAAACCTTGTGGGATATATGAGTTCCTTGTATATTTTCTCGCTTTTTATCAAATGCTGATCAGTTGAAGCAGCTTTGTTTGAGGAGCTAAAAGCCTCTAGTCTAACTGCCTACTGTAACTGGGTCTTTATAGTCACTTAAGGTGAAGTTGAGTCATTAGTAGTACTCTTGAACAGTATCACAGCTTAGCCAGGTACTTCAGATAACTTTTCTATAGAAGACATTTATATTACCAAGAAAATCCAAATGAATGACAAGGTTTCCAACAAATTTACATCCACTCAGTAATGCCATTTTCATTGTTTGCATGACTTTCATTCACAGGAACACTTCCCAGCAACCAGTCCATACACAGAAGCAAGTTACCAACTACCGCTACAGTATTAGCCCTATCTATTATCAAGTTAAGGCATAATGATCGAATTCATTTTTATTTTTTAGTTGACTTTAGTTTCTTGTTTTGTTGTGTGCTTCCAGGTTAATGGCTTAACACAAGTGGCCTCTGCTCTGCCTACTAGTTTATGATGGAGACTCAAGACAACAAAATCTTGTCATCGGCACAGGTGAGAGTTTTTTCGTCTCGGTTAAAAAGTTGCCAAAAATGTATTGTAGGAGGATGACTACGGTAGTTCTAGAAAAATATCACGGACAGTTTTATTTCTTTTAAGGCAGATAACCCTACCATGGGTAATTTTGGTTAGGTTACGATGTGTTTGATCAGTTCGTGTCACCTAAACACTAAATGATTATGTGGTTCATTGTATATGAAAATTTTACGATTCTTTGCTTTTGACTCTGTCGATTTATATACATGAATCAAGTCAGATAATAGGACCGAGTAAATTAAAATAGAATTAATGCTATACTGTAGATGTTAACCACCTCCTTACTTACTATTGACAGCATTTTCTATTAATATTTTGTATTTTGGAAACTTTTTTGTAGAAATGCAAGTTGATACTGTATAAGCAAGGAGAACACTTACGAGGAATGAGATACAGTAATTGATAAAGTTCAGAAAACTGGAAACTTCACAAGCTTGGAGTACTCTCGACTTAAATGAGTTATAGGTTTCTGCATACAGTACAGTTTAAAACCATAAAGTCACTTTATTCTAATTATCTTTCAGGAATGTGAGAGTGCAGGTTCAACTTGTGATTCGGGAGGTGAGGGAGGTTCAGCAGAGTGCCTATTGCAGGAGACTTCTGTTATACCAACTGTATTGACACCAGGTATTACTCCAAATGCTACCCCAGCTATGACGCCCTCACAGTCTCAGCACACAGCTTCCACAACTGATTTAGATAAAAATACTCCCAGCATTGATAACCTTTTACAGCAAGGTAAATTATGCACATCTGTTGCTTGTTATACTGTAGATGTTACTAATGACTACTTAAGGGAAATGTTGGCTGGATATATATACTGTATGAAATATATATCCTTCCTTTCATTTGACACCCTTTGGTAGGCATTCCAGAACAGTGGCCATAACCCAATCTAAATTTGTTTTTCTCCCCTCTCCTTACTCCTCAAGCTTTCACGAGACCTTTCCACTCTTGTGTCTCATATTTTATCCCTATACGTGCAGTTGTTGTTTGCTTTCTTATCACAATAATGTTTTTGTTCTTCTTCATTTGCACTTTCATTATTCCTGTACGGTACCATTCATGCTTTTCACATTTCCAGACCTCCTTGGGTTGTTTATCCCAACCTACTTTTAGATGTACACTTCACATCTCTGGTTCTCTCAGCCATTTCACATCTATACACATCACTGTTCCTTAAACTCTCCCATTTACCAGTACAGTACCTCGCAGAGATACATTTGATAGTATGACTTTTACTCCACTTTATTCCATCTATGTGTCAAGGTTGGAAGTGTCTGCCGTTTCTCTTTCATTTACATTCAGGGTTACATCTTACTATTTCCTTATCTTGAATAAGGTTTTTTCCAGCATTTGCCAGAAATGACTGGAGAAATGATGAACTGGCAGAGTGACTCTCAGGATTCTGATTATTTACTACATTACTAGTAAATGTAGGCTTAAATCAAGAATGAAAAAAGGAGTGAATGGCAAACATAGGGTCCCTGACTCACCCCGGTGTTTTGATGATAAAGGAGTGCAGCTGAGGTTGTGTGTTGGCCATTGTAGGGCCTTAACACCAACTGATGATTAAGACATGATGACCCTGTATGTGTGAGATAATGAAAGTGTTGTTGTAGGTAGAATTATTTCAGCTCCAGGTTTTGTTGTAGGTTAATTAGTTTTTGTGTGATGTTAATAGTAAGGAGTAAATAATCACAGAACCTGAAGAAGCTGCCAAGGTGTGGCTTGATGCTCGGGTCAGGTACCCTTGTAGCTCAGCCTTTTGCCTTCTGATCTCCAAGTTAAAGCAAATGTGGTATCTTTAAGGGAAATTGGATTTGGAATATTAGGAAAGATGTGAATAATATCTGGCTACAAAAACCTGCCAGCAATTTTGAAACAGAGAAGGGGTCTGGTGCCTACCCTGGAGCCCAGAAGCTGTAGAAGGACTCAAAAGATCATCTTGTAATAATTATTTTATTTACAAAATGAAAGGAAATAAAAAAAAACAGAGAATTTAATTGTTAACAGCTGAACAATAGCCAGCTATTGACATGCAGTTTGATAGTAATTTTTTACTAATTTCTAATAACAATAGTATTTACCTTAAAAATGAATAAATGCTCCGCTCCTATTATAGTAATTGTGCCAAAGACATGACTTCCCATCATTCACTCATATTCACCAGCTGTTACATTGTACTGTATTTTCAAATCCTATTCTATGTGCTAACTATGAAATATATTAGGCCCTTGATAGTGATCTTAAGTTATTCACTGTGATTCCCCAAAAAGGTGATAAATCAAACCCGTCAAATTATTACCCCGTTTCCCTTCACAAGGATGGTTATAGAGATTCTTAAAACATTTATCAACAGATATACAGTATTTCAAAACACCTTGAAAATAACTCTGTGATCATCATTACCATACTGCTGGTCTTCTGTCATTTATCAATAACCAATAGACTGTAAATAGCAAAATTCATGCTGTAGCACTCTGATATTTACAAAGCATATGACAGAGTTTGTCAATGGTTCTTTCCAATTGGTGATTGCTTGAACCTGTGGATGATCTTTTCTTCATCTATCACTTTATCACTTAGAGATTTTCCAGGATTTCATTTAATACCAATTTTATTTTTAATAGCTACTGTATATATTGATAATAATCTTTCAGTGTTAAACAACTCATTCACTCTCATACAAATGTTTCATCCCTCCCAATGATCCTTCACTTTGACTGCCCTAGTCTCACAAGATTTGTTCTTTGCCAGGCAGCAGACATCCTCATTGCCACAGGAAGACATCACTCACATAAGTAAATAGGATGTATCCAGTGTTGTTTTGTTCAGTGTTACTAATACTGTACATGTTGTTTAGTAACATACATGTTATTGCACATTGTTTTATTAATTTTGACTGCCTCACCATCACAATATCACACACCATTGAGATCTTAGCTAACACCTTACTTCTTGTCTGATCTTCATTTTCTTCATCAGATTTCTAGCTGTAACTGTTTCAGTGAATAGAGCCTGGCCTTATTTTATTGATGATTAGTTGGGGATCATTTATGTAAGATGTTTGTTTCCAGATGGAATACAGCAGTCATCTTGGCCTGGATGTTGAGTTGTGGCACTTCACATCCTCATTTGAAGCAGAAAAACCTCAAAACTGTCAATATTAATGACTTTACTAGAAAACTTCCCACATTGTACCTTCAAGGGATAGTTAATTGTTTTCTCAGCTCTAAAAATAATTTCACAGGCACTCTTCTGAAAAGGTATTAGTGCCATCACCATGCACCCACCAGTATGCTGTATCCCCACTGTCCCAAATAGGCAGTTATGCCTATAGGATGCACTTCTCTTTTTTTTATGTAAAAACAATACACCCATGTTGTCAAGGAATTATTTTTCTTGCATTTTTTTTTCTTTTCAAGAGAGCACTGGCAGCTCTAGCAGCATTGAGGCCATTGGTGGAAGTGTCAAAGCAAGACTTTTGCCAGGTGAAACAAACTCCAGAGCAAGCATGAACAATTTGTTGGAGACTAGCAGCACTGCCTCTGGTAAATTATTTGTTTCTTAATCAGTCTTCTCATTATATACTGAGATGGCAGCAGCTAAATCACATTCTGTTTACCAGTTATTTAGAAAATTGTTTTTAGATTTATTGTGTTTGTGTTTTTTCACCTAAAGTATTGTACAGTATACACATTGTTAATGTCCATCTGATAAGAGAATGGCAATATCTTTGTCTCATAACCTAATATTTGTGTCCCTGTACTCCTGCTGGAAGTGGACCCAGGGGTCTTATGTGACTTCCAGTATTTTTTTCTTGCTTCACAGTTTAAAATTCATTGAGACAACAGCCAATGATATAATGTGATTGCTTGGTAAATCATAATTTATCAAAAAAGATATGATTTGAAAATTGACTGTGAAATTGAAGAAAATTTTAGTGAATGCATAGCAGTTCTTTGAACTGTAGACTAGACTAGACTAGTGATAATGTTAGTAAGAGTGTTTGTGTCTCATTGTTATCTAGATGCTTGTGAGTTTGTATGTTGGTTTGTTTAAAGAAAAATAATTCCTCTGCTTTAAATTTAATTAAGGTAAAATAGGGTGGAATAGTTCTTTCATGTAATATTTTAGATGGGATTACATTTAAGAATTGTGGGATCTTACAGTATATGACCTGTCTGGGGTGACCACAACACATAATAGACTGATAATCATTTGTGACATGAAATTTTTTTTTTAATTGAAGTCCTTGTTCACAGTTATCACATGATAACTCAGGGTCAGTTTTGGGACTGCTGTATGGTATCTACCAAACATGCCATGAATAGGTCACATTTGTGCTAAGGAAGAATAGATTCAGCTTGTGTAGTCCACTTTATTAAATGGTTTTTGTGAATGACTTAATATTTCAAGAGATTGCTATTTCTTCACAACAAGAGCCACTTTCTCTTCTATCTGTAGCTGGGTCATACAGTTCATAAGAAAGCTTTCTTATAAAATGAATCAGTGTTAAAACTGTCATGTTCTAACAGCATTCACTTGCCTTCTCAGTGAGAAAATGAGGCCGCCAGGAGGCTAACCTCACTTTGTCATTTGCTTATGTGATTGGCTGGTCTTTTGCTCTTTCCTTTAGCTTCTTTTCATCTCAATTTTCTACTTTACAAGAGATACAAGACCCAGATTGTAAGCTGAGCCTTATATTACAGTTAAGTAAGCTCCGTAAGACAGGTTTTACTGCAGCTACACAATCTTTTGTGTTTACAGTAAAAAGATGAGGCTGCTCAAACAGCTGTTTGATATTCATAATCTTGTAAGTTGCCAGTATGTGTCTATTTTCAGCAGTGCTCTTAATGGATCCCAGTAGACTGTCAGTAGGTGGGATTGATATTGTGTACTATACTGTATGTTGTGTATGGGAGTCATCTCAAAATACATACTCATCCCATTTTTATGACAGTTCTGTGTCTGATGGGAATTCTGTCCCATTTTTGTTTTGGGGTGGGCTGTTTGGGTCTTCCTTCTCATCTGTGAGTCCTATGCTTGCTGTCATATTACACCTAATTCTTTCTCATATCCATTTCAACTGCATCTCTCCACCTTATTCTTGATCTTTCTCAACACCTGGCATCTTTTATTACTCTCTACTCTGCACTTTTTTGTGCCAATCATTTCAGTTTTGACTTTCTTACCCATTCCATAATCGTTCTTACCCCCAGTAGGTTTATAAAGTAATTTACTGAACTTATATAGGTAAAATTGTTTGGAGATATGATGAACTGGCAGAGTGACTCTCAGGATTCTGATTATTTACTACATTACTAGTAAATGTAGGCTTAAATCAAGAATAAAAAAAGGAGTGAATGGCAAACATAGGGTCCCTGACTCACCCCGGTGTTTTGATGATAAAGGAGTGCAGCTGAGGTTGTGTGTTGGCCATTGTAGGGCCTTAACACCAACTGATGATTAAGACATGATGACCCTGTATGTGTGAGATAATGAAAGTGTTGTTGTAGGTAGAATTATTTCAGCTCCAGGTTTTGTTGTAGGTTAATTGGTTTTTGTGTGATGTTAATAGTAAGGAGTAAATAATCACAGAACCTGAAGAGGCTGCCAAGGTGTGGCTTGATGCTCGGGTCAGGTACCCTTGTAGCTCAGCCTTTTGCCTTCTGATCTCCAAGTTAAAGCAAATGTGGTAAATCTTTAAGGGAAACTTTTTTAATGAGTTAGTCCCTTTTATATGTCTATAGTGAGGGGTGAAAGAACTAAATGTCTGGATGAAGGACTAACCAGTATATCAAGTTCAGTAAATATGATTCTAAAATGAGCAGCATTAGGATGACTTGAATTATACTTACAAATAAATGGCTGTACAGTTTCTCAAAATACAGCTCCTCCCGACTTACGATGGGGTTAGGGACCCAAATCCAGGTCGTAAATCGAAATGGTCGTAAGTCGAAAATGCTTAAATGATACATAGAAAATCTAAAATGGGTGTCTCTTTTTCTTCTCAGCACCACAAAACTCTCACTTTTAAGCTTGCCAGCCATTTTAAAGTGAATTACAAACAAAAATTTTTGTCAGTACACAGCGCAATCACTGACGTTGGGACTTGAAAATATGTAATTTGACAAAATTTTGGTACGACTGAGGCGGTCGTATGTCCGGGTGGTCGTATGTCCGGGTGGTTGTAAGTCGGGGAGGAGCTGTAGTATCTGTTAGGGTGGTTCCTATGACTTCCGAAATACTACAGGCAACTCATCATGTCCTGGGAGGGTTGGCATGAGTGGCACCGTGGCATATACTGATCCTACTACTGTACATTTGATAACCGAACTTCTTGACAAATGAGAAGCAATATTAACAGTGGACACCGTATACTTGACCTCTAAATGCTTCTGTAAGATATGTAATTAATGATATATATAAAACAAGTATGAATGTAAGTGGTATGGTGTTTATTGGGTTCAGGAGAGACTAACTACTGTACCTTCTCTATCTTACAGACAGTATTCACCGTAACAGTGCCATATTTGTAGACGATGCTTCCATGAGTGACTCTGTAGACCGACAGAGGATTAACCAAGGAGATGACGATATTGACAGGATATCAGTTGCTGGAGAAGGTATTTAGCTCTTGTATTCTTTGTTATTTATTTTTTATACACTTCATGTTGTGTATCAATACTTGCATTCACCACAAGGTCTCAGTTGCCTACACCATCCTCAATACTTGCCAGTCTTTAAATGTAAACTGATTTTACAACCATTATTTTTCTTGCTCTGTGGGATAACTGGTCATAAATCTTAATTAGGCTGGACTTTCAAAATCAACCCTTAGTTGGTACTATTATATACTGTACTTACACAAATTTATTATTGGTTGAACTGATGCAAGAGAGGGAGGGAAGGATTCTTTGTTTAGATGTTAGTCTTTAATGCAGCTTATTTGTATAGACAGTTAAACTAGCTGGTGAAGCAAAAAATTAATCTAGATTATATAGGCTGTGTCACATGAACTTATTATTGCAGGGAGCATTAAGGCAGTTGGTGACATTGATGAGTCCGGAGATGAGCAGTCAGCCTTGAAACCTGATGGGAGTGAGGAAACAGGGCCCGATGGTGGGGGTACAAATAGTGATGGTGGGGGGAGTGGGGGCCAGGTGGTGTTCAGTGAGGAGCTGCCAGAAGGTTTGGACTCGTATGTCACCCTCACTGGCACCATCAAGCGCGGCAAGAAGAAAGGACACAGTATTGATGTTAAGGTTTGTTGTTTGTAGTTATGTTTCTATCTTTTTTATATCTTTGTCTTGCAGTTTTATGAGGTATGGATGAAGAGTTACAGAAATTTCGAGAAAAGGGGAGGTAAAATAAGAGAGGAAATTATACTTTAGTGTTATTGTTTTTACTCTTTGTTAGTTGTACTTAAAAAATTGCCTTTCCATTGTAGACTGCCTGGTATCGTAAAATCAGTGATAGCAAAATTTATCAGTACTGTACAGTATTTTTAGTAATGGTTCATTTTATATTTTTTATTGTAATGAAAGAATTTAAGGACTACCTTCTCTTGTAGGCCATCAAACATGGTAGGAGGAAATTTATCTGTGTTATGTTTTGGAGGGGGATTTTTTCATTGTGTGTGAGTGTGTGTGTGCACATGCATGTGTGTGTGTGTGTGGTGTTTGTGTATGTGAAATTAGTTACAAACACATACTATGTGTGGGTATATATACTGTACGTACATCTTTGGCATATACTGTACATTATAGTAGTCCAAGACCTCAATACAGTATTGTATAATGTTGCACTTCAGCAACTAAGGTCTGTAAGTGATAACAAGATTATTAAAACACCATTACATCAACAATAAGAAATATGAAGTTTAGAACTCTCTGGGTTAAAATCAAACTAAATCTGGTTTTCAACAACTATTTTCACCTAGATGATTGTTTCATACTATAAAGTGTTTTATGTAAGTAACCACAGAATTTGTTTTATGAATAAAAAGAAAATTTTATATTGTATATAAAATATGGAATAAATGAAATTATCTTGTTCCAAACAGGTGAATCTGTCCCGAGAAGAACTGGATGACCTGGAAGCATCGATCACACAAACATTAGGGCCTGATAAACCCAAGCCCAGGTGCTCGTCCCGTTACGGGCCACACATCACGCTTCTCTCCCTCCTCTGCTTCCCATTTGTCTTCCTGGTGTCGGGAGCTTATTCGTTCTACCTAGGGACCCTTACTTGGTATAGGTATAGTATCCCAACATTGTTATTTTTGTGTTACTATTCAATATATTGTTCTCCTTTGTCACGGTTGAGAGACATAGGAAATTATGCTTCCATCCAAGTGCATGTCTGGGGATTGTGAGCATGATAACTAAGATAATTAAAAAGGGATTTTAACCAAACTTGGTACTAGTAAGTGGATGTACTGCAACATGATCTTATATGGGTTCAGTAATCAGAGTTTTCAAGCGTGTACTAATGGCAGGTGGCTCTTTTAATACAGTACAGTCTGCTGACCAGGGAACTGTAATATACCTTCTATTCCCTGGGTGATATATAGTAAAAAAATAAATAAATACAAATCATTACCATCAAATACCAGGCAACACCTTTGTCAGCACTGTCTGTGTCACCTGTAACCTTGGAATTATATAGACTATGGTATTTCTTGAGCCAGCCTTCACTTGCCAGGAAAGACTCAACAGTTGTATGGTTCCCCTTTTTCTTGCTGTTGGTGATCATAGAACTTTAATGCCCTCCCATGGATGATGCTAGTACTGTGTTGATCACCATTAGTTGCTCATTCTGGTCTTCCTTACAGATTATTAATATTTCTATCTTTTTTAACATTGGATTTCTCACTTTTTTTATTTCAAATTTTTGTGTTAAAAGATCAAAAGTGTGTGGATGAATTTGTGTACAGTACTCAAATTGTATAAACATTGGGACAGGTATAAATTTAAACAATTGCTGGGTATAGATTCTTTTCTTTATTTTTATCAGATTATTTATCAAAACGATTTATTAGGTCTTTTATAATGATTGAATTGTTGACTCCACAGCATCTTGACAAGGGTGACAGAGGCTCGCTGCCTCCCCAGGATAACATTACCACCATTGCTCATTCTGCTCTACCCATTCCTTATCATCATCTTCACCGTTGGTCTAGGAATATATGGAGCTTTTGTTCAGGTAAGTTACTCTGCTTATATGCATAGGATTAAGTTGGTTATCCTGCTTGTATTATGGACAGTTTTTCTAGCCTCTCAGAATATTATCTATAATGTGCCTGATTTTACTGTAGTGATATTAAAATGTACAGTACTTTATTTATGTTATTTTATACTGAAATATTATTTTGCCCTTACCTTTACCCTTGAATTGAGTGGTCATTTGAGAAATATTCTTTATTTGTTGTAGTATTGATGGTCATTTTGAGTGTATCATCTTTATACTGTATAAATATTATTGTCTTAGGAATTTTGCATGATTGTTTGAAGGTTAATTATTGCGTATATGCAATTACAAGTTTAACCTGTGATATTGTCAATCAGTTTACTAGATGGCACCTATATAGCCATTCAATTAATCTGTTAGTGGTAATGATAACCTGAGTCAACTGCGCTAACAGAAGTTGAACAATACACTGATTCAAACTGTACAGGAAGTTGATACTTTATTAGGTCAGTAGGAAAAAGGTTAGTGAATCTCATGAGAAACTTCACACCTCTTCAGTCATAGTTTATGAGTAAAACATTCATAGATTTATTGATCTCAAAGAGAAGAATTTATATAGTGTCTCCATGCACACTATGAACTACTTTTTGTAAAGAGTGAACGAAAATGGATAAAACTGTCTTGTGCTTGTAGTAGTACTGTACTGATAATACCCATTGCTCAAAGTCTTTCAACTTTTTGTGGACTGTTGAAAAAGCTGATTCTTTTTATCTTATTATTACAGATATCACTTTCTTTTGACTCATGGTGGGCTGAGGTGAGTGACCCAGAGAAGGGATTTTATGGGTGGCTGTGCTCTCTGCTTCACGTGGAGGAGTGTGCTCCATATGAGACTGTTGTCTTAATGACTGAACCTCTCGGTAGCAAGGTTCAGGACTGCACAGTTTAAGGCATGTACCATTAATCTTTAAGTTAAAAGTCCTACCTTACCTAACATGTAACATAATTTTAGGTAAGTTATATTTGGTAAGGACTCTGTCGTAAGAACTCTGTAAAAATTTTCTCGATATCAATAAGTTTCAAGTTTTTTTGGGGTAGAATAAAACAGAACTACTGAAATTGAAGACATTTGAATGTATTGAAACAATTGATAGCAAATCAATTTTAGATTTTTTATTAGAATATCTAGTTTCATTTGGCTCACAAGCTGTGTGTATTAATCCAAAATACATACAAATAGTTTTTTTAATGGATTTTTATAATGTGTTAGTTGTCGTCACTTGGATCTCACATAATAGTGAAGCTCTTGATTTGACTGAATGAAGAACTGTTTCAAGTCTTATCTTGTTTCAGGCATCATTTAAAAAGATGTGTACCTGTACTTCACAATCACCTGAGGCAACTAATGAATTTAATTTCTTTTCCTATTTCTGCTACCGATCCATGTTTAATTCCTAGTTTATTATTGTGAGGGAGCCAGAAAGGCATACCATAACCTTATTAGAAATAACTATTTTTGGTAGCAGACACAAAGAAAATAGACCTCTCTTATCCAATTCTGACCTTACTATTGATCTTGGCACATGTGTACTGTGGTCAGATCTCATTTGTTCATGTGAAATATATTTATTTTTACAAAGACTAAACCTGTCTGGTTCTAGCAAAATATATTGAGAGCCTGACATTGGTCCATAAGCACTTCATGTTTTTTACATTTGAAATTTTATTATTCCGTTTGATGCACAAAATTAATGTTTTTTGTGGATAATTTAAGAAGGAAAGGTGTCCTATTGCTCAATCTTTAGATTATACTGATTTATAATTTGTTAGTTTTATTTGTTATGTGAAACCAGTGCATTCCTTCATGTAAGTTTTTTACGTTTACTTGACCAATATTTTCAAACTCAGAGAAATATACTTTCTGTCATTCCATGGTTATTGTGATATAATATGTAAGTGAAAATATTAGATATTTTGTTTTAAGTTGCCGAGAAGTTTTTTAAGGTCCTTGATGATTTAACTGATATTTACAATTCTCCTCAGTTGTTCCCCTAGAAGCCAGTGTTGTAGAAGATAATGTGTTAGATATTATAATCACTAATTTTCCTTGGAAATTTGTAAACCATAAAAAGATGTTTATTGATGTGGGATAAAAAGTGATGTACATGAATATATTATGTATTATACCTGTGAGGGGAGTTGTGTTTACATAGTGCAGGTAAGAACATATAAGAGGAATATTGATAGTTCATGGAAGGATGACAGTTGTATTGGTGCAAGCTTTATTTTTTAATGGCCATCTGATAATAGGTAGATGTATTGTGGTATGACAATGTCCACCATCTTCTGCCTGCTAACCTTTTCATGCATTGACTTTGGTTTGATAAATTCTTTTGAAATTTTAGAGTTTGCTAATCACTAGAAAATACAAGTCAAGTTCTAGCTTTACGGTGCCAGGGTGATACTGTACCCCAAGAATTACAAAGAATCTTCATGTCCTTTGTTTGTGGTTTCGTTGTGGACAAACTGTAGGATTATTATGTTTTTTGTGGCAGAACGAATTTATGTTCCTTTATTTTTTCAACTTTTCTCAGAATATGATTGTTTTCACATAAATATGCTTAACAAATTTACATACACCTGTACAGTACTGTATTGAAACTTACAGCTTGTGGTTTAAATTTTATTGTTGAGAGTCATATCATAGTGGACTAGGAGAGAGAAAAAGCATCATGAGTGTGTAGGGAAAAAATCTGTGCTTTGATTATGGTACTTCTCACAGATGGATGATTAATTTACAATTACTAGAGGTAATCCAGTTCAATATTTTAGGGTGCTGACTGTTCTCATTTATTAGGGTTCAGTCCAACCTGCTAAGATGTTTACAGTAACAATTATATATGCCCAAAACTTAGGTTATAACTTACAATGACTTCAGATAAGAGAAAAATGTATGATGAATTTAGTTTTTTGTAGGTAGTGTTGTACAGAATAATTTACAGTGCTTCATAGACAGTACTACTTTGTTCCTTCATATTATTAGATTTATGAACATTGGCTTTTTTGGGGGGATGATGTTACTTGGTACAGACTTATATATTATCTAATATATGCAGGAAAAAGGCTGCCATATCTCACCACATGTTATTATATGTCCCCCCCTCCCTCCCTCCCCCGCCGCACACATCTACTTATGTACGCACTCTCCCTCTTTATATACTGTATATGTAGTATATAAATTCAATACATTTATCAATAATAACTGGAGATAGAAATTATGAAATTATAATACTGTCTAAGTATTTAATCCTCATACCTTAGCCACATGTTACCCAGTCATTGCTCCACTGATGCCATGCCATTTTGTGATGTGTAACAGTAATATCACAATTTAAAAAGTGTATAATTGGATTCTGAAAATATGGTTGTGCACATTTTGATTCTTTTGGCAATTTTTATTATTTTTTAATTGTTATTAATATTGAACTTGAAACCAATGGAAGTTGCTTGGTTGAGAAGGGCAGCATTTCCATTACTCTGTACTTAAATTTAATATCTCTTATATCAGATACTGGCAAAGCATCCTGACAATATATGCTGCTCTGTTGAAGGTGTTTATAAGTACAGTACAGTACATTGTATTTCTGTTTGGTATTGGGGCATGTGGCCAAGTAACTGTTGTCATGACATTCTGTATCAGAAGAACCAGAAGACTCCCATAGTGTGAAGGTAAAGTGAAATTACATCACAGTGTTTGAGAGTCATTCATCACTGTACTGCAGATTTTACACTTATTTAAAACAATTTCAACCTTTTGGGTGATGCATTGTAAGTATCTTTTTATTTTTTGAGAAGAAAGTTCATAGTAAGAGACAGTAAAGTGTTTATAACAGTACGGTATACAGTAGTGATATTTCTTGTATGGCAAGTATTTGGCTGCTAAACCTCTGCTCCTTACAAATGAAGTGTAATACACCTTTTCCTCTATATTCTGTTCGTACATGTGTCCGTGTGTCCGTCCATTTATCTGTCCATCTCATTAGAACTCTTTTTTTTTTTAGAGATTTCATAGTGTCACATTAATACAGTATATGAATACATAGAAACTGGTCTGCTTGTTTAGTGTACTCTAGTATATTTTTTCTTTTTTCTGTATCATCATCCATACAGACGTCCAAAGTATGATGCTGCTAGGACTCTTTTTAGCTGTTTAGAATAAGTCAGTGAGGAGGAATAGAGATTGATATTTAAATTATAGGTTTTTGTTTTAGAGAATACTGCACCAAAGTTATTCCCTGGAAATGTATCAAGTGTAGGGAATTTTGTTTTTCAATTCAGAAATTCAACTCACCTGAATGATTATGAATTTCGTGAATGACCCGTGATCTATAGACAATTGCTGGGTATGGTTGTTTCTGTATGCTGAGGAAAAATGGCTTCAGTGCCTGGCATCAATTATACATATCCTTAGGGAGGCCCAACCTGGGTAAGGCTCCCATATGGCAAGAAACTCTACCCTTCACTTACTTGACTTTCACACATACAGGTATTCCTAATTGCCGTCTTGCTAAATTATAAAAAAAAAAAAAGTTTTTAAATTGTTTTGAATTAAGTTTTATGCTGCACATTATTGAGTAATGAATGTTATCAGGGTCCATGAATATTTGTGGTGTACGAGGCCCACCACCTATAGAACACCTCTACTGTAGACCCTCCATTGCCTGGGTGCTTAAGTATTGAGTTGGAATCGGTGAAGATCTTGTGTAAAGAGATATTGTGGGGGATTTGTTAGATTAGGTTGAGTTAGGTTAAGTCAGGTTAGGTTAGGGTCAGTGTATGGTAATATGTAGTGTGAACAAAGTGAGGGATGTGAGGAGCAGGGGTACTAGTGAGTCATAAGCTTGCAATACTTGATGTTGGTTGAGTGGGTAACTTATTAACACTGATTTAGTTTATTATGAACATTATCAAAAGGGGGTAACAGCATACACACACTACAGGAATGTCTTGTCTTTGTCTCCTGAGAAGGTCATGGTCTTCTTTAGTCTCATTTGAAAAATACATTCAGGGGGTGTTTAAAATTTTTTGCCCTCTTAGTCTTGATTTTTTAATATACTGTATATCCATATATATAGATCATATATAAGAACACATCTGTTATGCCAGTAAATGATTGACAGCAGTTAAAGGGAGACTCTCCATCTCTTGACTCTTAACTACAAGCACTCTGCATTAAAACCAAAAATGGCTTGAAAGAGGGAGAACAAAAATTTAGGCATACATTAATTTTTTTTCTTTTATGGGTTTACTTACTGCTTATTTAGAACAGGATCACTTGAAGATTAGACTCCCCCGTTTTTTTCACCCGATGATTGAACACCCTAATGCTAACCTAACCTCGGGTAACATTAGGGTGTTTTATCATCAGATAAAATAAGCTGTGGTGTCTAATCTTCAAGTGGTCCGTAAAATGTCCTGTTTTATGTTGTCTCGAGTATTTTTAAGTTAATTGATATTCGGTGGCCATTAGAAATTTATATCTGTACATGCTGACACACTAGAGGTCTTGGTACTGTGTATTGACCCAAGCTACCAGAGGAATATGGAGTTGCACTGTTTTAGGCATTTTGGTGTTGAAAAATGGTGCTAGATATTAAGGTCAGTGATCTTCAGGATACAGAATGGATCAGGTGTAAGTCACTCCCCTTACTGAAATAACTTAAGTCATCGGTACTTCATGATACATTATGTACATTATCTAGGCTATAATAATCAGTGCCAAAGTTTAGTCCTAATTGTTGTTGATAACTAAAATGACCAAAAGTATTTCAAATTTAATTACTTTTAAATATATGGTTAAAATATTTCTGTATGAGGTACAATACAACACAGTACGGTACAACACAGTACAGTACAGTACAATACACTACAGTACAGTACAGTACAACTCATACAGTACAACACAGTACAGTACAGGGTTTAGGGGCTGTTGTAATGGCTTTGAAACTTGACCTTTTTTGAGTCTGGAAAATCATTGACATTACTATAACTTCATTTTATATTAATTGCAGTTAGCTGCAGTGTCAAGCTTTTCTCAATGCACTGTATAGAAAATATATTATGTTAATCATATATGGCAGGTGCGTGTTGTAATGGATGGTGCATATTGGTGCATATTGTACAGTATAAGAAAACAAACAATAACCTGTAAACACCATTTTGAGTTGTTTGTGTTCATCTAAAAGCTACAGAAAAGAAAATGAAAATTTTAGTGTTGTATGTATAATAACCCTATATAATACTGGAATTAGGAGAGCTTCAGCTCTTTGATGATGCTTCCTGTGGATCCCCAAACTACTCTGGCAGTGGTTACTCAGGGTGGGTGACACATACTAAATCGTGTGTCATAAACTGCATTTGCTGTACAGCCAATTCACCGACTGCCAGTTTGAGGCAAACTAGGCAGTGCAACTGAAATATCCTTGTACAGTACCTGCCTTGAATCCACTACTGGTAAGACACCAGCCCTGGTATAGGTGATAACCATTCAACTACCATCTGCTCAAAAGTTACATCTAACTTGTGGGCTAACAAGTTGCTAGTGCTTGGCTTGTTGATATTTCAGTTGTATTAATATACTGTATGTGAACTTTGCGTATCTATTTGTAACTAGGTAATCCTGGAGTAGAATTTAACCTGGTATATCAGTCTCCCAGTCTTCTTTTTATGAAACTATTCAAGCTGCCAAGTTATGTAGTAGTAACTTTTAACTATGTACAGTATGTAATTACTCATAGTCTCATGATGTCTTGTAGGATAAACATCTGGCACCATTATTTCTTGGTTTTATCATAGCCTTTACAGGGATTCATGGTATTAGAATTTTTAGGCATTGTTAACTTGGCTGAATTTTAAGGCAATATCTGTCCACTATTTTACAGAGGTATTTAAAGTTGTACATGATTAGGGACAGAAGGCTATGATCTGTCTTTAGAATTTAATGGCTGCCATGGCACTTGTAGCCCACTGATTGATTGTGATGCTCCTCATAAAGAAAGTGTCCTCATGGCCATTGTGCTGTGCTCCTTTTCTGTTTCAACTGTCAGGCCCTTGTAATGATTTTCCAGTCCCAGTGGTGTAGATAAATAACACAGATATAACCTTAAGACGTAGAGGATGTACCGTCACTCAAAAACTATCTATACAAAATTGTGTTGAAAAAATATGACTTGACGGATGATTGAATTTTGACAACCCTACCCAAGTACAGATGGTCTTTGGAGTGATTGTACATCAACAATTGAATAATTTCTTCATAGGCATCATCTCATTTTTCTTTTTTTTATCCAAGCAATGTTTTGTATGTCATGGAAGGTTGCAGTTCAGATGGATCCTAGTCTGACCTAACCATTGGGTTTGTGTCCTTTAGGACTGGGGTCCATTAGGAGTAGGGCCCATTATGGCTAGGTTCCATTAGGGCTGAGGTCCAGTTGGAATAGCTAAGATTGGTTAGGGCTTATTGGGACTGAGGCACATTTTATCGGTCACTATGAATATGATGGATTTATAAGATGGACAGTATTAATGATCACTTACTTTAATGTGAGAGCATCACTGAGCTGAAGACGTGATGATTATATTAACATCAGTGTCAGTGTGGACATTGATAATCATACTGTACTGATTTTGAGCTCTCTGGTGTGAGTGATTATTGATCTAACTTTTGACATCATCCAACTTGATTTATCAGTGCCAGAGTCATCATATTTTATGTATAACACCAGTGGCAGATCCAGTATGTTTCAATAGTCAAAGATTGACCACACTGTCAACACAAAATCTCCTGATTGTATTTTTGTAGGAGTCTACTGTAGCTAGCAAGAAATGATAACTGTGTGTTTCATTAAAGTAGTTGATCAGGTGGAAGTAGTACTTGAAATTGCTGTTAATAAGAAGCAAATTCAGACAGTTTTTATCATATTAAGTGTCCCTCTGTTGTACACACACATTGGGAGAGAGAGCTGGATCTGCCACTGTACATTTCAAGTAACTAGGAAGCCTTATGAATTTCTAGTTGTCAGGTAGCCTCAGATTATGCCTTCTTGAGACACCCACCAAGGGGAACAAAGTAGATCTTCCAGCACAGTAATGTTAATGTTGAAATTACATTAACTAGTAAATTCCCCTTAGTAATTTTGTATGAACTTCCCAAGAGGTTTCTGCTTGTGTGTATGACTGATATGTTTAATTGCCTCAACAGGCTTTATGAATACCAACCCTGACTGACTGACTGACTGAAGGATCTTTTTGAGCAGCTGACACTGCTTATGATCGATTCTAGGCCATTATACAGTATAGTAAACATTTACTAAATATTCAGCATTTAGAAAAATAAGATGGATCAGTCATAACTCTAGTATGCTGTTGAACTTTTGTAGCACAGAGGCAGGAGGAAATATTGATATAGTTATCCCATATTGCAGTTGAGATTATTCTGTCATTATTAGACCTTGAAGACAAACTGTTTTTTGCTCCTGTGCTTTCATCAGAAATAAATCTGGTGATACTGAACACGGCAATCTAATTTTATTTATTTTTTTAATAGAAAACTGCGCACAATTCTCAGTGACTCATGAATTTAAAGGAAACAAAGAGTACATATAAAATAACTACTGTTTACCTGTACTATAGTTTAGGAAATGTATTGTAAACAAAAATATGAAACTTTCAGCAGAGAAAGTACGATTTAGGCCTTGTTTTTCTGATATACCGTAAGTGTTAAGTAAATTTCTGTAGTAATCAAGAAAATATGTATGTGAGAAGTAGTACAAATGTGAATGACTAGTCAGAAGTATTTGGTACCCTTTTAATGCATTGTTTTGTAATGGACCACTTCTGCTTAACATACTCATTTACATTATATAAATAGGTAGCTACTGTCATGTCACAAGTAATTCACTAAGGGTAATGTTCCTGCATACATGATAAGATAATGGTTGAATGCATTTTTTATAACATCAAGTTGTTTAATTAGGTTACTTTTTCACCTTTGAAGAAGTTTTACCCGTCTAGATGGCCTTAAATAACAGACAGGCTTTGCAGATCTAAGCATACTACAACAGGTAACACTGCCAATGTAAGTAACGTGTATCCCTTCAAAGAGCTTCTGGGTGATCACTGTACAGTATCATCGTATACCACATTACCCATCAACTATGTAGGGTCTTATAGGTATCAGTCTTAAAATGCTCGATCCTAACCTAACCCAACCATTAGGATTTGGGCTATTAGTACTGGGGCCTATTAGTAATGGAGCCTATTAGGACTGGGGTCTATTAGGACTGGGATCTATTAGAACTGGAGACCCATTTGAGCAGTCACCATTAATAAAGACCTACCAAGTATACTTATGTGAGTACAGTATGTGTCTGTAACAACATCAGAATCCAGTACTCTTTTTATAGAGGTTTAGACAAAGCTTGTGTAGGAATTCTCCCTCAGTTCTTGTAAAACATGTTAACTGTACAGTACAGTACAGCGAAGTATACCATTTTTTGTTTTTGTTTTATACCTGTGCCCCTATGCAGATGTGAGAGGGGCTATATAGCACTAGCTTGGACTAGTTCATCTTTTGCTTTGTAGGATATATATATATATATATATATATATATATATATATATATATATATATATATATATATATATATATATATATATATATATATATATATATATATATATATATATATATATATATATATATACTGTATATATAATTCTTGTAATCTTGTAGTGGCTACATATATGAACATTTATGTCTTATATGTATACTATACCACGTCTTTCTTTGGGTGGTGCAGTACGGTGTCAACTTTACCTTTGAATAACTTTTGTAATGAATTGTAGATTTTTATTGATCATGATTGCAGATTTTGCAAATACCTTTGATGAAAATTGATATACTGTACTGTAATATGTCTTGCAGAAGATGATAGCTTTGACTCTTTTCAGCATAAGGTAGGATATACTGTATACTGGTATTAGTTTTGTTATGCTCCCTGTGTAGCTGAAGTATATAGTAACTGTCGTGGGGGATAAGCCTTTGAGACCAGTAAGACAAGGATATACCAGTAGGTTAAGTTTAATTTCTACAAAGTGTAATGCAGTCTTCTCATTTAGTGTTAAAGTAGGAGACTAAGAGGGTCTTGGGGTCATGAACCAGCTAAGGTACAGGGGGCACCAATGTAATGATTCAAGTTTTTCAAGACTGGCAAATTTCCATTCTCGTATTAGATGGAAGTTAACAGCGTGCATATTCGTTAGTGGTAGACATAAACTCTTTAAACTTTTATAATATTTTTACAAGGTACTAGAAAAACATAGACAGGTCATTTTGAAAAGAATTTGTCATTTTAGCTGCTGGCTGCCCTGAAAATGAGAAGGCTGAAAGTGGTAATGAATCACTAATTTATTACAGTATATGTTTCCTCAGATGAACATAATTGTTTCTTAATAATAAGTCATACATAGGTGTCTCAAACTAAATTTCAAAGACACTATTCATTACATTCCATATTTTTTTTCTTCAGAATACGGTACAGTAGTTGGTTCAATTTATGTTTTATCTGTGAAATGCTTATGATTTTTATTTTATATAACTAACTACTGTAAATTTCATTAAAGAATTAATCAGTATTATTTAGGTGTATAAACTCATGATAGTGTTAATGTAACTTAATATCTCCTGTGTTTATTAATGTGATAGATGGACTTGTGTGTCCCAGTGTGTTTGTGGTCTTACTCAACTTCGCAATATTAGTTATTACATTACTTCATCCTCTCAACGTTAATTTATCACGTCCAAGTATATATATTATTTTTTATTCCCCCTCCCCCCCTTTTCCTCTTCCTTCTCCTCTTTATTCCCTTCTTTATTTTTATCTGTCATTTCTGCTTCTCCTGCTTCACCACCATCACCCCACATCCCAGAATATCACCATTACCATTATCACCACCATGATTATTTACCATCATTTACCTCTCACCACCACTCCACATCCCTCACCATCACCACTTCACATCTCTCACCATCACCACTCCACATACCTCACCATCACACTGTATATTTTGTAAAACGGAGATTTTTACACGTATCCTTCATCGATCATTACCAACATTATGCAAGAACCAGCACACTGCAAACTCTCTACACCCGGTAATTTTTTTTTGTTTTCATGGCTTTTGTTTATCCCTTTTGTAGGTAATTACAAGTGGCACAATGTACAGCTTTAAGTGTTTTATATATACTGTACTATATGTTCTGTAGAATACTCAAATAACATTGATGTAATATCTTTTGCTTTAGCCCACAATGCCTCCCCCTTTTTTTAATACTCATATAAGTTTTTCTTGTAATGTATCTACGGAAATGCCGACGTGTTTATGATGGGGTACGGTACGGTGTTTTTGTAGCTAACAGTAATCGGAACTGAAGCGTTCATTATCATTCTCTCCGAAGAACATTGGTTACAGCTTAACTTTATCGTAGACAAAAAAAAAGAATTAGTGATATGTTATGTATCCAGGTACATAATACAGTGGCTGCTGAAGACAGGGAGTTAGTTTTAAGTCAGAACTTCAGATGATATCTTTTTATTTTCAACTAGTCATAGCGGGCATACACAAGGGTCCACCTATTTGAATATCTGCCTCGTTTTGGAAACTGGTTAGGAGTGGCTGGATATTTGTGGTTTAAATTTTGGTCAGGTCTCTTGTTAAACTGAATCTAACCTAACCAAATAAACCTAATTTAACTTAATCTGTTTTCAAAATGAGGCTTAGATTCTTAATTGTTGGACTTTGGTGCATACTGCCATAGTGGAGAGTCACATAGAAGGTCAGATGCATAGAAGTGTTATTACCAAGTCATTATTAGGCACCATGGTGAACAACATCAGGCTTTAGCAACTACAAGTCTGTTAATGTAAAATGCGACAAAAATTGTAATAATAATTTTACACATTTATACATTATTCACGTGGTGCTTCTTGTATTATACTATTGTACTGTATAAGTATAGTATATTCTGGCCTGTAATTGGTAGTGTCAAGACATGGTACAGTAGCATGTAATAACTGTACATGAATATCCATAATAATGCATTGTATTGAAGATTGTCTTTATTAATTTTGGGGGGTTATGTCTCTCATCATGTTTATGGGCATAAAAACGTGTAGTAATGGTCGTTATTTCCGATTTCTTATGTTTTTGTTATATTTCTTGTATATGTCCATAGTAATGGTAATTGTTAACATATCATAACTTTTTTCTTCATTTCTATGTATTCTGTAAGCTACAAATTTTTCTTTCATTATACCTCTGAGATGTTTGTATCATCAGCTTGTGTCTTGTAGCTTCTAGGATCATCTCCTTTCTTCCAAAAGATTGAAACTGTAGATTCATATGATTATTAACACTTAAGAGCACATGTACCCTTTTATATTCTGTCTTTTTGTACTACTTTATATGATAAAGGAATATGAATGAGAATTTTATAATGCTTTCATTCTATAAATACCTCCATAAATACTGTACCGTCACTGATGGTAAGTTAGTAATAAGTTTATTCTAACACCATATATGGTGGTGGTAGGTGAGGGTCCAGATTTTATATGTGGGTGACAGATGAAAGTCCATACATACATAAACATAATTAACCATACATTTACTACAGGTATCCCTTGAATTTACATAAATCAGGAGTCTTCTAACATGAGTCTCAATGAGATACATTCCTGGCCTGTCCAACACAGACATGTATAACAGAAAGAACTATCCTACACTAATTAAATAAATAGAAAAAAAAAGCACTGATCACATTAATAATAACAAGTCTAGTCATCATCACATGACCCCCTCAAGTCTGGGGCATTCTTGTTGCTGGGGCAGAAACATCACTCTGACTCCGACACTTTTACTTTTATTTTTATCCTCTTCACCACTGATCGGCTCGTTAGCCACGTGGGTGGTTGGTCACGTACGTCTCTGTTACGCACTGTTGGCAAGTACTGGGCATGCACTGGCTCCTGAGTGTTTTTGAACCTGCCCCAGTGTTGGTCAAGTCTGGTCTTGAAACAGCTCACACTCGGTGCCGTCACAACACTCTCTGGCAGGCTGTTCCAAGAGTTCGCAACTCTCACTCCGAAAAAGGTTGCCCTCACAGTTTTCTGGACTTGCGGCTTCTTCAACCTTGAGCTGTGACCCCCTGTGGGGCGAGTGTCTGCTAGCTCCAGGTATGGACACTTGACTGAGCAATGCCTTTGCGATGTTTATACACCTCAATTAGGTCCCCCATTACCCGTCTGTAGTATAAGCTAGGCAGTTGCAGGTGCTCTAATTCCTGCTGAGGTGCCGAAGTGCAGGCACCAGTCTGGTGGCCCTCCTTTGAACATTTTCAAGCTAGTGACCTCACTCTTGAAGATCGTTGCATGAGGCTATCAGAGAGGCCGGAGACGGCAATTATCGCAGCAGTCATAAGGTTATGCAACAATGAATAAAAATACCGCTGGTTACATGAGCGAGGGCAGATATGTTCATGCTGGACCACAGGTGCATCGAGGATAATTATATAGCAGTTTAGGTTGAAATTACAAACATTTGTTTTCTTTTCAATATCTGTAACAGAAAACGTTAAAGCTTTAAGCATACTCTAAAGTAAATTGGCAACCATTTGTTTTAACAATACCAATGTATCAGATATAAGAACTAAGTCATTCTCTTGTTTTATATATTTTATTTTCTTATCTTTATTTTTACTGATATTGCCTCATCCTTTATTCTGTCTCGAGGTGCCACACAAAGCTTCTTTAGGAATAAAATGTTGAAATATAATCAATGACCAGAACAAACACTTTGACAATAAACAATCCAAACCAATTTCTCGACGATTTTACCAAGCTAATGTAAAAGTAGGGACCAGTGAAGGGAATCTGTCATCATTTGTACAACATTTCACCCTGACAGATTACTGAGGAGGCCTGGTACTGCCTCACGCCTGTCGACCCACTAAATGTATTGATTTAGTCAAACTGTTGTTAGTGATAGAATTTAGGGAGGAGGGTGGTGTTGGAGAGAGGAAAGGAGGGGCGTGGTGGTGGAGTGAGGGAGGAGACTTGGTGGTGGAGAGAGGGAGGGGACTTGGTGGTGGAGAGAGGGAGGGGCGTGGTGGTGGAGTGAGGGAGGAGACTTGGTGGTAGTCTGAGGGGGGGACACGTGGTGGTGGGAGGAAGGAGGGACTTTGGTGGTAGACTGAGGAAGGGACTTGGTGGTAGTCTGAGGGGAGGACACGTGGTGGTGGAGTGAAGGAGGGACTTGGTGGTGGACTGAGGGAGAGGACTTGGTGGTGGGTTAAAGGTAGGTGTACATATTGGTAAGAGTAAGGAGGAGATACGCACCTGCCCCAAAAAAAAAAAACAAACAAAACATTCTCGTCCTCCAAAATGTTCCAGGTTGGATGGAATACACCGTCCATGCCTTAACATTCTCACGACACTAAATCACACATTCACTGACACACTGGTTCCTTAGAGTCCTTCTACACTATGCAGAGGGTGAATTTGGCGCACAAGAACGTGATAACTATGACGATGAGGATAAAATAAAGCATTCGAATATTAAATTAAACAAATATAGTGTGGCTTGAGGCGTCATCTCCGCCACAAACTCGGTCCACCATCATTACTGTCACTTGGGAACACGCACACGATCCTCACACCAAAAAACAAAATAGGTAAATCTTAAAGGCACAAAGTACTTGAGGGAGTAATAGAGGTGTGGTGGTGGTGGGTGGGTTGTGGTAACAGGTGTGGTGGTGGTGGGTGAGTCGTGGTAACAGGTGTGGTGGTGGTGGGTGGGTCATGGTAACAGGTGTTGTGGTGGGTGAGTCGTAGCAACGGCGCTACTCATATAGGGATGGTGGTGGTGAAGATATTCGTGGTATTGGCGCTGGTGGTGGTACGGGACAAATTGTGATCATTACTTAGTCGTGAGACAGCCAGCCAGCGGTGAACACAACAACCATTTCCACTCTTCACCTCTTACAAGCACTACGAATCTTAACACCACCGACTTCCTCCATTTGTGAGTATTGTAAGAACTACTAGGGTATTTTTAATTCATATTTATCCTTATTAACTAATTACTAGCTACATATACGAGTATTCTAATTCTTTAAAAAATATTGTTATATAATGTTGCCAATTCCGCCCTACCCTAACGATAACCCATTGATTGTGGCTTCAGGCACTGAGTTACCCAGAAAAAACCCCAGCAATTTGTTGTATGTAATCCTCTGAGAGAAATCTACACATCGTGAAACATCTGTAAGTTATTGATGATGTACTTGTATTACTGTTAAACTATAGCTAAGTACAGTTCCATGTTTTCTTAGTGGTAATCCTGTTTGATGTTATTTATATGTTCGAAAGTTAGACAGAGACGTTGAATTCATTTAGCCACCGCGATAGATTTCTCAAGGTATCAAACGGAAGAGACATTTGTATACCTAATGTGTCCCTCAGTCAATGTATAGCGAAGCAGAATAAAAGATAATCTAGGAATTATTTCACTAGTTATAAGTATTTTGGTATCGGTCCAGTAGGATCCAGTTTTAATAGCCTTTAAACTAGTTCTATTGTTAGTTCTATTGTTGGGATTTGACCTCATATCTATTAGGTTTCAGTCCCAGTAGAAATGAATATTACCATTAGAGTAAGGTGCTAAATGGGCCTCTGTTCAAATGGATCACAACTAACGCTAACCATCAGGACTGGGATCCGGTTTTAATGGGTTTTAGGCTTCAAGGCCATCATCTATTTTAATGATCCCTGAGCCTAATGATTAGTCTAAGTTGGGTTGGGGAGTATGAGCAAGGAGGTCCATTTATATACCATCTGAATCGTCCACACACACACACACACACACACACACACACACACACACACACACACACACACTGAAGATCAATACTAGAACCTTAGATCTGTAGATAGCACGTCAAACGAAACGGATCTATACGAGAGAGAGAGAGAGAGAGAGATTCCCTTATCCATTCTTTATAATTTAACTTCAGATTTAATTTAAGAAATATTTTACGTCCCTTCATAATGGATGAAGTTATTTATTTAATGGTAGTTCTGCTGTGTACGGCTCCCGTAGGTGTAGGTGAAGGTGGTGTTCCTCCGTGACAGCAGCAGCATGAAGGTGGTGGTGACTCTCCTCGTGGTGGTGGTGACCTTACTTCACTACGGTGAGTCTCTACCTCCTCTCCTCCCTCCTCAACTACAGTCAATAAAACTCAGATGGTGTATTAACAGCTGACAGATGGTAGTGTAAGAGCTGCCAGGTTGTATATTATTAATTAACATAGGTAAATGAATAATATCAACTAACAAGTCATACGGTAGATGATTCAGACGAGAACAAGTTACAAGAATCAGTACAAAGTTGTTGATAAAAGAGAGAAATAAACGAGTGTTTTGCTTCCCTTATCTTCTTTCACCACACCTCTGTACCTTCTTACCTTTGTATTATAATGTATTATCTATAATACAAACTTAACCCATTAAGAAACTGTATCTTCTTTTACATCTTAATATTAACCAATCATGGGGTATTTTTTTTTTTTACTGTTTAAATCGATCTATAGAATTAATTGCTCCTTTAACCCATCCCAACGAGAGGCCAAGAGGGGTCTTTATATAGTTAATTTATAATCTCTTCTGCGGCAGGTGAGGCGGTGAAGTGCTACAACAAGAAGGTAGTCGAGTGTGGAGGCTCCTGCTTCATCAAGACTACTGATGGTGGTGAGTTTGTCCTGATGACTTACTTCTTCCGGACGTAACTTAGTGACACATTGACAGGCTTTACCGACACTCATAGTATTAATAAACTAAAACACGTGAAAGATAAACATACAGTTAGGACAAGTAGACAGACATGGAAGCAGCGTAGAAGGATAAAAAACAAACATATACGGACAGACAGACCGTGATTAAGATCATTCAATTATGTGCTTGTTTTGGCGTGTCTTGTTAGCCACTGTGAAGAGTTCGTGTGTTAGAGGGTCACTTGAGCTGATATACACAGTGAGCGATAAACAAGTTGAGATATAATTAGTAATAACAAATACATCGATCGAGACAATATATTTTCTAAGTATTAATTGTTCTTCACACAGATGACTTCTCTGAGCTTGGGTGTGATCCTGCTTTTAAGAATAAGACTACAGTTGAGGATGGCGTCACCACTAAATACTGCAACGGGGACAAGTGTAACTCCGCCGTCGTGAGCTTCGGTGTCTCCTTCGGCTTTAACCTTTTCCTCCTGGTCCAAGGAACCCTCCTCCACCAGCTGTTGTAAACCAAAAGGAAAGAACTTCAGCCTCCTCCACCAGCTGTTGTAAACCAAAAGGAAAGAACTTCAGCCTCCTCCACCAGCTGTTGTAAACCAAAAGGAAAGAACTTCAGCCTCCTCCGCCAGCTGTTGTAAACCAAAAGGAAAGAACTTCAGCCTCCTCCACCAGCTGTTGTAAACCAAAAGGAAAGAACTTCAGCCTCCTCCGCCAGCTGTTGTAAACCAAAAGGAAGGAACTTCAGCCTCCTCCACCAGCTGTTGTAAACTAAAAGGAAGGAACTTCAGCCTCCTCCACCAGCTGTTGTAAACCAAAAAGAAAGAACTTCAGCCTCCTCCGCCAGCTGTTGTAAACCAAAAGGAAAGAACTTCAGCCTCCTCCACCAGCTGTTGTAAACCAAAAGGAAGGAACTTCAGCCTCCTCCACCAGCTGATGTAAACCAAAACGGAGCATCTTCAGCTTTCCAGTGTAACCATTTCAGAGTATTACATGAAGTTGTGGAAAGAGAAAGCGTGTGTCATGTTATTAGGTGTACCTTATATCAGTGTCCTTGTTTACAGTAATTAATCAGTGTGTCCGTCTCTTTATTTGGAGTGATGTATTTTAGTTTAGCCTCAGGCAGCTAGTTAGTGTTAGTGTCAGTACGGGTGAGTACTTTTCACCTTTCCAATTTCAAATATTTATTATGAAGAAGTTAACAAAGCTACAATGTTAAGCAAGTTATAATAATAAGGAATATGTCAAAAAGTTTTGTATTTTCCTGCAACAGAAGTTCAATATGAATTACTTTTGCACCTCTGCAGACTTCTAAGGAGTGGTGTGTTCCCCTCTACACATTATGTATCATATAGTGAACTCTTGTAGCAGCCTCACGAAGCCGTTCCTTGAAAATTTCTAAAGTTACTGTTATTGGTCTAGTGAAATTAATAAATCTTTTACTTGTTCATTGATGTGAATAATTTACCAATACTCCATCTTGTTATGGTTTAATGAACCTAAACCTTTATCACACATACTGTACAAAAGAAAAACAAAGATAAAAAGACAACTTTTGTTAGTAACACAGAAGTGCAAAGACAAACCACAATAGTTTGGTGCTAACTGTTCACTGTCCGGTTTGTTACTTGGTTGTGTTGTTCGGTGGTCGCGCCTCCCTCCTCAACAAGCGGGGCTAAGTCTGTTGGTGACCACTGGTAATGGTAATACTAAGAGATTCTTTTTGTTATGAGGAGGTATAGGATCAGGCCCATAAAAAAATTTCTTAGCGAAGTTGAAGCATTTGTCGATAAAAGATCTAGAGTATTTTAAGTTTAATTCAGTATAAAGATGTAGTCAGAGTCCTCAACAATGAATTCAGGACTGCATAGTCGTAGAGCACGTAAAAACATTGATGAAAATACTGACTGTTTAACTCTTATGGTGGGCCGAATAGAGTCAAACGGTCAGTATTTTCATCAATGTTTTTACGTGCTCTACGACTATGCAGTCCTGAATTCATTGTTGAGGACTCTGACTACATCTTTATACTGAATTAAACTTAAAGTACTCTAGATCTTTTATCGACAAATGCCTAATTCAACGTTTGTTAAGTTCTTTTATGTTATAGCTGATATATTTCTTACTAGTTAATTAATTATTCCATACATAGAGAAGTTTCAGATCTTAGGAAAGGTATCGTCCAAATATTATTATTATAAGTGTTAGTTTAGGAGCTTGATACAACTTCCGGAGAACGGCGTCGACTAAGCTACCAAGGTCGGACGAAGAGGCGGGGAAACAAAATACTAATTATAATTGCTTTTATTTAGGTACATCCAAATATAGCATAATATTAAAAAATTATTTGCCACTGAATAAATAACTAAAGTAAAATAAAATGCACATCTAAGAACAACATAACACACACTTTATCTTTCCACAACTTCATGAAATATTCGGAATGAGTGAGACTGGAAAGCTGAAGTTGCTCTCGCATGATTTACTTCAGCCGGTAGAGGAGGACTCCGAGGGTCAGGAGGGCGAAATTGAAGCTGTTGGAGACGGCAGAGTTGCATTTGTCTTTGTTGCAATAGTTAATGACCACACCCTCACCAGTCGTACTCCCTTCCTTTTGTGTTCCATGACAACCAAGCTCCAGGATTTTGTCTGTATAAAAAGAGACAATGAATAACTTAACAAAATATCCCTATCATGGGTCGGTGAATTTATTTAATGGTTTTGTTTTTGTTTCATTAAATTAGTCTGTTATTATTTATCTACCATTATTACATCTCAACATTGACTATCCAGTAGGTTAACAAAACGTGTTAAAACAAGTACAAAATACAGTGATCTTTTTTCACGTTCTGTCTCTCTCTGTATTTAGTTTTATTTAGTGATATTATGTAAGAAAAATGAAGCCAGTGTATCACCAAGTGTCTTCCAGAACAAGTAACTCACCAGCACGACTACTCACCGTCTTTGTCTTTCTTGGTGAAGCAGGAGCCTGTACACTCGACTACCTTCTTGTTGTAGCACTTCACCGCCTCACCTGCCGCAGAAGAGATTATAAATTAACTATATAAAGACCCCTCTTGGCCTCTCCTTGGGATGGGTTAAAGGAGCAATTAATTCTATAGATCGATTTAAACAGTAAACAAAAAAAATACCCCATGATTGGTTAATATTAAGATGTAAAAGAAGATACAGTTTCTTAATGGGTTAAGTTTGTATTATAGATAATACATTATAATACAAAGGTAAGAAGGTACAGAGGTGTGGTGAAAGAAGATAAGGGAAGCAAAACACTCGTTTATTTCTCTCTTTTATCAACAACTTTGTACTGATTCTTGTAACTTGTTCTCGTCTGAATCATCTACCGTATGACTTGTTAGTTGATATTATTCATTTACCTATGTTAATTAATAATATACCACCTGGCAGCTCTTACACTACCACCTGGCAGCTCTTACACTACCATCTGTCAGCTGTTAATACACCATCTGAGTTTTATTGACTGTAGTTGAGGAGGGAGGAGAGGAGGTAGAGACTCACCGTAGTGAAGTAAGGTCACCACCACCACGAGGAGAGTCACCACCACCTTCATGCTGCTGCTGTCACGGAGGAACACCACTGCAGGAGATAATGATTGTTTTCAAAGACAGAATAAATCCTAAAGTTTAGAAGGTGAAAAACAAAATGTGTTTGGGAAGTTAGATAAATTGTGAAGGTAGATGTGATAATTAGTTAAAACATGAAGAGGTCTAGTAAGATCATCATGTCATACCTGAGATAGACTAAGTAAATAAATATATATATATATATATATGTTGGAAGAAGAGACATAAATAATTTACTTTTATAGCACACACACACACACACACATACACATACATACACATACATACACATACACACACACACACACACACACATACACACACACACATACACATACATACACACACACACACACACCCTGAAACAGCAACCACTAGATCATCGTCAGGGTAAGGTGGGATTGATAATGTTCAATGACAAAACGCCTCTCAAGGAAATATAACATTATTATCTAAAGTTAGTAATTAATTCAGAGCTAAAACTCCCTGGTAGTTCTTACAATACTCACAAATGGAGGAAGTCGGTGGTGTTAAGATTCGTAGTGCTTGTAAGAGGTGAAGAGTGGAAATGGTTGTTGTGTTCACCGCTGGCTGGCTGTCTCACGACTAAGTAATGATCACAATTTGTCCCGTACCACCACCACCATCTCCAACACCACCACCATTACTGACTCTACCACACTCACCTCCATCTCTACCATCACCCCCACCATCACTATCCTCCACCTCCACTATCACTGTACTACCATGTCCTCTCCCTCATTCACTCCACCATTACGTACCCTCCCTCCCTCACTCCACCACAACTACGTACCCTCTCTCCCTCACTTTACCAACCAAGTCCCCTTCCTCAGTCTACCACCAAGTCCCCTCCCTCTCTCCACCACCAAGTCCCCCCCCTCTCTCCACCACCAAGTCTCCTCCCTCACTCCACCACCACGCCCCTCCTTTCCTCTCTCCAACACCACCCTCCTCCCTAAATTCTATCACTAACAACAGTTTGACTAAATCAATACATTTAGTGGGTCGACAGGCGTGAGGCAGTACCAGGCCTCCTCAGTAATCTGTCAGGGTGAAATGTTGTACAAATGATGACAGATTCCCTTCACTGGTCCCTACTTTTACATTAGCTTGGTAAAATCGTCGAGAAATTGGTTTGGATTATTTAATGTCAAAGTGCTTGTTCTGGTCATTGATTATATTTCAACATTTTATTCGTAAAGGAGGAATGAGTTTGGTTAGTCTTCAGAAGAACTTCACACACACACACACTTCTCTGCGTGAGGGAGAAACTTCTCATTTGTTTAGCCTTGATTTTCTTCCATATTAAATTGTCTCGTATAACCACCAGCACCAACACAACAACCACCACCATTATCTCTACCACCACCACCACCACCATCATTCTGATTCGGACTTACTGACGAATTATCGACACCTGAGAGGGAATTCAATTAACCAGTCACTTTATCTGTTGAACAAGAAGATTACACTGTATACTCAACGCTTGTGTAACTAATAATCTACTATTACTCTTGAGAGATGGATGGTTGACTTCCTGGCTTATGTCCACCTGTTCTGACTTTCCCTTTTGTGTATTGAAGTCTACGATGACGTGTGTTGACACAGTTGGTGGAGGGCATTTTGTCTCTACACCCATTATTATTATTATTGTTGTTGTTGTTCATTATTATATTATTATTATTATTATTATTATTATTATTATTATTATTATTATTATTATTATCATTATTATTTTTATTATTATTATTATTAGTAGTAGTAGTAATAGTATCATCATCATTATTCAGGTATTTCTTCATTCGTAATCATTTCTCCTCTGTGTTCGTATCACACTGTGACGACGACTCTGCCCCCTCCTCACTCTACCACCATAACCACCACTTGCTCCAACTTGACACCAGGAGAAGAAACTGCTTCACGAAGCTACTCGACCCCAGTGAGCACCGATCACAACCAGTTTCCCATCTGACTATGAGACCGAGGTATAGAGGCAAGTGTGTTTGCCTGGTAAACTATGTCTCTCTCCTGCGGCTTACGGTGTTCCTCTTCTCCCGGGGTGTGGACGACGAATTGTATTAAGGACTACTGCTGGTGGTGTGATGGTAGTGGACTACGGCGGTAATCCCTGGTTCCTTGTGGTTGGCCATCGTTACCTAGACTTGCTACCTGAGCTGCAATTTTCTTATCAGGTTTTTGTGTTGTATATAGTAGGTGTATTTAATGTTTAAAGTAAGAATAATCGGATTATATTCTGGTGTTTTTATAATTGCATATTTGTGTTTTACTTGTGTTATGTAATGTAGTACCTAATTAACTATATTAATCAATACTTAATGATATAAATGCTATTAAATTACTTAGTTTACATGATAATCTTCTTATCTCTTTCATAACTTGAATTTGTCTGTCAGGATAACAGTGAAACTTATGTGTGTGTTCCTTACTTGCTACATCCACGTATTTCAACCCCTAATTTATTCACTACTCATTTTAACTTGTCAACTTTGCTTTTCTTCAATGTTGTGGTTAGCAAAGAGGGATATACAGTGTGTGTGTGTTTGTTTGTTCATTTCTTTATTTACACAGTTATCCTACATATCAAAGACGGAGTATAAAGAGTGATGCCAATTTGTGTTTAGTATGAGACTCACTCACTCGCTCATTCTCAGCTTCGTGTCGTTCGTAAAGGATTTGTTGTATTGATCGTCAGCTGTGGTAACCTGGAAACTAAACTGTTTTTAATCTGTGACGCTAGATGGCGTTGGACACGAGTTTGGTGGGGGAAGGGAAAGGGGGGGTGAGGGGTGGTGGAAGGGACGGAAGGGGGTGTGAGGGGTGGTGGAAGGGGGTGTGAGGTATAAACATACTTTTACCTTATCCAATACACTTTATCTTGTCTTTTTCTCCAGTAACTCCACAAACAGGAAGTCTTTCTTACCTTGAAATGACTTCTTTGTCGTCAGGAATTCGATGTCAAAGATGTCATTCTCTCTTTTATAATGAAGATATAAAAACAAAACTATATTGAATTTTTTTATATAGGATGTTAACCACATTACAAAGATTCACTCAGCATTTTCACGATTTAAAACTTTGCAGCATTTTGAGGGAAGACTTAAGGCGGTGTGGCATTGTAAATCACGAATAAAAGAGTTGTGGTAGGTGGGTGGTGATGTCAGAGGAGGGGTGGTAGGTGAGCCTTAGTTACCACACTACATTACAAGGTGTGGTGGTGGTGGTCTGGCTGTGAGTGGAATTACGGTCAATTCCTCGTGGCAAGACAGAGAGGCAATAGTGTACGATAGCCACTGCTTCTCTACACTTCCTCCCTTGTGAGTATTGTGAGTCCTGACAACATCCCCTCTTTATTATTATTATTAATATTATTATTATCAATCACGGTAACTGGTCAAATAATCCTTCTGTCAGATTTAGTGTAAAAATCTGTACTTTTAGTATGTGCCAGATACGACCAGCTGTGTGGGAGAAACTGCCACGATAATCTGAACAGGTGGGTGACGAGTAAGCGAATAGGAAATGAAGGAATCTCCGAGTGAAGGGCTCGAGGTATACCAAGGCCCCTATCATTTACAACCAAACACTGATATACCACTAAAATAATACACTACGTATGTATGTTTTTTGTGTATTTCTCAGAGGTGTAAGATAGGTAAAGTTGTCAAGGTATCAGTTTTCTGTATTGATATTTCTAGTAAAGTTAAGAGTTTTGTTTATTTTGTCTTTTCACCAGAGCAACTTTGGTAGGCTCCCCAAGTTTAGTCTGTAATCTATAAACCTATTTGTCCCCCAATACGAATTACCATGAGGTTATGTTCCACCTTAGGACCCCTTTGGCTACCTCCTTACTTGACCTCTAACCTCTCCCATGACCTGACCTCTTCCGCCGTGTGTAAAGTTAACAAGATTTATATTGTCATTGAGTGTATTAACTGTCTAAATATATTTTCTAAACTGACATAATTTGATCAGGTTTAGACTCGTTCTTGCTGGATCTTGTGAATATATAGACAGAAGAAAACAAATTATCATGACAATGTTTTAAGATGGTGAATTGGGTCTCTGTTAGATCCAGAATTTCACGTTAAGCAGAGAAAAATAAACCCTAATTTATCAAGTGATTATAGAAAACGGAGTGAGAGAGAGAAGGGCCGACAATTTCTTTACATTGATAGAGGTAGTTGAAGAATGTGTGATACCTGAAATTTGATCCTGGTCTATACGGCTCCCACAGGTGCTGGTGAAGGTGGTGTTCCTCCGCGACTGAAGTGAGTCAGTGGGCAGCAGCAGCATGATGAAGATGGTGACTCTCCTCGTGGTGGTGGTGGTGACCTCACTTCACTACGGTGAGTCTTAAGTCAGCGTTATTAACTACCCTCACTTATGAGATGATATTAAAGCCTTTTAAGTCTCAAACAAAATAGATTATTCCATGTAAGTGTAATCACCCTCCTTGGAAAGATTGAAAGAAAACAACTATTTTCTTTAGCCACATAAAAAGTCTACTGTAGATGAATTAACTTGACCTTTTATGAGAATTTTAAGTGTATATTCTTCACCACAGTCGAGGCGATACAGTGCTTCCAGAGGACTATATCAGAGTGTGGTGGCTCCTGCTTCACCAGAATCCCCCAAGGAGGTAAATAGTCCCACTCGTGAATAATAATAATAGATAATAATAATAAGAGAATTTTAATAATAATAATGATAAAAATAGACAATGATGAAAACAATGATCATGATAGCAACAATTATGCACAATAGCCAGAAATGGGGAAACAAAATTGACGATCCTTGTCTCGCCTACAGAGGAGCTGGAGTTTGGGTGTAATCCCCAAGTGACTGACAACGGAGAGACGGCTGTGGAGGACGGGTTCGCTTACGTCATCCACTGTAACCACGATAAGTGCAACCCAGACTCTGGTTCCTGTCTCTCTCTCTCATTCTCTCTTTTGGTGCTGGGAGCTCTCTTCACCCTCCTCCTGTAAAACCACGCTTTGAGTTCCACCATCCGCTGTAAATCTGCGCTGGGGGCCTCCACCTCTTGTAAACCATGGGCTGGAGTTTCGCCTTAATGCACCGCCTGATGTAAACTAAGGTCAAGCAGTCTCCTCTCCTCCGTGTACTAACTTGTGTAGACTAAGAATGGGGAACCTCGCCCTCGCTGCACGTCGACCGGAAGACTGAAATTCCTGAGCAGTTGATGAATTTTATTCTCTAAAATGTTAAAACTATTGACATTAAACTTTATAAAAACATCTCCGGATAGTGTTACTTATTTCGATTATTATTTTTATCCACAAAGATTTAAAACCTAGCCATGGTTTGAGTTGTTGGTAAGGGCAGATTTCTTGACGCCACCTGTATGAAGTGAATATTGTGTCAAATGAGTTTTCTGCACAGTCCAACAGGTGTCGGAGGTAAACGTTTTAACCTACCTGTAACCTAACCCAACTTAACCTACCTGTAATCAATCTGTAACCTAGCCTAACTTAACCCAGCGTTCGTGAGTGTTACCTCCGTCGTGTTGTGGTCGTGGTAACCAACCACCACACCCAACGACACTGCCGGAGGTGAGCTGGTATCAGAGGTGAGCTGGTATCAGGGGTGAGATGGTATAAGGGGTGAGTTGATGTTATGGTTAAGCTGGTGTCGGGTATGGCAAGCATTTCAGGTAACAGGTCAGGTGAAGATGTCTACAATACTAACACGGTCTCGGGTGTAGCCACACAGTACACTAGTCTATACCTGTTGTCTTGGTGAGCTTGTTGTGGTTTCCTGTTATTCCTTCAGTACCACACACCACTACCATACACTACTACCACCAAACACTACCACCACACATTACTACCACCACCACCACCACCACACACTACCACCACCACCACCACCACCACACACTACCACCACCACACACTACCACCACCACACACTACCACACCACCACACACACCACCACCACCACCAAACACTACCACCACCACACACCACACACACACCACCACTACCACCACACACACACCACCACCACACACTACCACCACCACACACTACCACCACCACCACCATACTACCACCACCACCACATACTACTACCACCACCACCACATACTACCACCACCACATACTACCACCACCACACACTACCACCACCACATACTACCACCACCACCACCACACAGTACCACCACCACACACTACCACACCACACACCACACCACACCACTACCACCACCACTACTACACACCACCACCACACACTACCACCACCACCACACACTACCACCACCACACACTACACCACCACTACCACACATGTTTAAATAAGACGGACTCCAGCTGGTTTTCAAAAGGGTTGAAAAAGATAAAACACACATTGGTCGTACTGTAACAACTAGGTCGAGGATAATGGTTGAAAATTGGAACGAACATCAAATTTAGGATTCCTCGGTTTAACTAGAGTCACCCTGACCCCCCCTCCTACCATAACCCAGGTAAACTTTAACAGTAATTCAAGTAAGATTGTAAGACTGGATTACTTGAGATCTCACCCCAAAATAATCCCAAGTTTTTACCCTGGTGTGGTGTGGTGTGGTGAGCGAAGTGTGGTAGTAGGTGGTTGTGCTCGTCTCTATGACCACTGATCACAACAAAACGTCCGGGGACGAACTCACACAAACGCTCCTTGAAACTAAATCATTAAATGTGTGACGTCGAGACTCTATTATTTGTTCCTCCCTGATTGGCCAGATTGTGATTTGGTCCTCCCTGATTGGCCAGACTGTGATTTGTTCCTCCCTGATTGGCCAGACTGTGATTTGTTCCTCCCTGATTGACCAGATTGTGATTTGTTCCTCCCTGATTGGCCAGATTGTAATTTGTTCCTCTCTGATTGGCCAGACTGTTCCTCTCACCTCTGTAATCACCAGATGTAATCTAAGTCAAGAAAATAATAAGATAGAGAGGGCAAAGATGGGAGGAGGAGGGGCAGGACGAAAGCGATAAAGACGGATACGATGGTTAACTTGATAACAAAAAACATCCTTTAAAACCGAGTCGAAACGTTCCCAACCAACCACACACACACACACACACACACAGTTTTGTTATTACTGTTGCAATTTCCGGAATTTCCCGCCAGGCACGTATCACACAAGGACAGGATGCTGGGAGTGTTCCGAGAGTTCCCGGTAATGACACGTACTGGATGCTCTGTCACGTGACTCGTAAACTTGTGTTGGATCCCTCATACTGAAATACATATTTTAAATTTACCCTATACATTTATTCATTGTGTATTTATGATACATATAACTATACAAAAATAAATTCATACCATGTATCTTAACACATCCACACACACTTGGGTATACACTGACGTAGGTACAGATGCAATACCTACTTGACAAAATCCGACGCGCCAACAGGTATACACACAGAACTCACACGTTAAGTGATGAACTGAAAGCACGAAGCGTGTTTGTACTGATCAATACGTTTAGGTCGTGTACTTGTGATGAAGAAGAAGAAATATGAAGAAAATAGGAGGGGAAAGAAGCAAAAAGAAAATGGTCATGCTGTTTATTTGCAGCGTGCCGCCAAACAACGACGACGGCTACTACTACTACTACTACTACTACTTATACCACACTACAACTACTACTACTTATACTAAATACTACTACTTATACTACTGCTACTAGTTATTCTACTACTTATACTACTACTACTAATAATAATAATCTTCGATGCCTAGATCGTAAACTGAAAATTGGGAACTTTCATTTATTAACATTCTTGAGTACCTAATTTGTTCAAGCACTCGCCTTTTGTTCATGATACCTGTAGAACGAAGCTACTAACTCCCCTTTGCTATCAACAGTGTTATAGTACTCTGGGTGTACTCGAGAGATATTGTGTACGTACCTGAATATTAGTCCCTCCTAGTTTATTGTTCCTAATAGTTTGAAACACCCTAATGCTTTCCTGGAGGGTTAGGTTAGTTTAGGTTAAGTTAATTTAAAGTAGGTTACGGTAGTTTAGGTTAGGATAGATTGAGTTATATTAGGTTAGTGTTACATAAGTTTAGGTCAGGTCATGTCTGGTTTGGTTATAGAGAAATCCGAGTGTGAGAAAGATTTAGGAGAAATGATAAGTAGGAATCTTAAACCAAGTCAACAAAGTGTATTTGTTCGAAACCAGGCTCAAGGCTAATAAAGTACTGAGTTCATACAAAGGAGTGTTAGTTACAAGACTAGCGAGGTCATCCTAAAACTATATCTTGCTGTTGTGAGACCTCACTTGGATTATGCAGTTCAGTTCTGGTCACCGTACTACAGAATGGATATAGAATCCCTAGAAAGAATTCAGAGGAGAATTCCAAGAATAATCCAGACGTAGAGTGAGGGGCGATATGATCGAGGTGTATTAATGGAAGTCAGGGCTAAACAAAGGGGATATTACAAAGGTACTCAAACTATCCAACCAGGAGTGAATTCGTAGCATTGGTTTTAAAATTGAAAAATTTAGATTTATATTAACTCGAATACGCTGGATAGCTTCAAACACAGGTTGGATGGATATATGAGCGATAGGGGTTGGGTGTAAACGGGACTGCCCAGGATGCCGTTGTAGTTTCCTTCATTCTTATGTTCTTATGGTAGGTTAGCGGTGATGGCGTTAGGGTAGTACACTGTCTCCACTAATGAGAAATAAAGTGAGCTAATGTTTAGGTGATCCTTATTAATGCTCGGGTGTAAAGGTGATGGCTGATGATCTGTAACAAAACACTGAAGTCCTGTAACTGATTTGGCTGAACCTGTTTACTGTATTATACCTTCGTTCTGCTGTAGTGACGTGTGTGTGTGTGTGTGTGACTAGAACTGTTCAGTCGACAGCTGTGGTCAGTCACTTTATAAACACCTTTACGTAACATCGATCGTCATTTTTTTTATTGTTATGAGTTCTTGCATTTATATTTGATGTAGATGGATATTATTTCTACAGTGGTTACAAAAATAATCGGTAGATCTACAGTGTTAGGCTTTATCTATTATATAAGACGATAGTAACATACAAATAAAGAAGTGAAACAAATAAAATAAGTATTATATGTTTATTGAAGAAACTTTCAACTACAGACATATATAATGGACAAATTTATATGTGGAAATTAACAAAGAGAAAAGATATCCAGAATCAGATGAAATATATTCAATAGCGTCATATATAATTATTTAATAGACATAAACCATTCATTATATTATGTTGTGAAAAAATGTATTGTTTGTTAGAAGAATTAATTAATAAGTCTTGGCAGTGTTCCTTCATTTTGTTCCTTCAGTCATCAGTTTCCGACTTAATTATAATACGTGTTCGCTGTTGATCTCCTCTTTCGACCAAACGTATGTTTAAATCCAACCCCGAATCCGGTAGAACTGAGAGAGCAATAGACAGACGTTAATGTAAATACTACACACTGCATTACTTTAATCTTAAGGTTATTAGACCAATATTTTATCACGAAGTCCGTAAAATAATAATAATAATAAACAAAATAATAATAATAATAATAATAATAATAATAATAATAATAATAATAATAATAATGTCAATAAAACATAATAATAATAATAATAATAATGTCAATAAAACATAATAATAATAATAATAATAATAATAATAAAATAAATTGACCACATCACAGGATCAGATGAGGAGGACCTACCTGCCAGAGGCGCCCCAGTTGCGTGTGGCGCCGGCGTTGAAGGAGGTGTTCTTGTTGGGTTTAAAGGTGTAGCCTATCTTAGCGCCAAAGTCTGTGCCACTCACTCTGTAACACCAGTATCATACTATATTAATACATTATAATAAACTTGATTTATATTTGAATCGGGTGAATAATTTGTCTTTTGTATATATATTTAGCTCTATGAATTATCCGATTAAATTTTACTTAAGAAATCCGCGACTGTTGTAATTCAGGGAAGAAAACAAGTTATCATGAGAGACATTGTATGCGACCTTGATATATGACACGAACGTCTAAGATTATGACCTTATGCTTGAATCAATCTTTTATTTATAATATTTTTCAAAGTGTCATCAACAGCAACACGAATGAGAGTGAAGATAATCAAGAAGAGAAAGTGTTGCTGTGTTTACCTCAATTTATGCATTTAAACACATGTTATAAATGAATAAATTAAATAGTTATATAAAAAAACATAGAATACAAGATAAATATTTCACTGTGGTCGACTATGGTCACAGAAGTAAGAAGATTAATTAAGTGAAACATTACCCCGGGAACCTTGTATGGTCGACTTTCAAGCTGCCGCCTAGAGTGTGCTTATTGACTTTACGATCCACGTTGATTGTCCCACTGATCCGACGTCCACTGTAAATAAATAAATAAATAAATAAATAAATAAATAGAATAAATATCTGACCTTTATAGTTGTATATGCATGTAATCTTATCATGTGACCATCTGAATTACCTATACAATGACAGTGACTCCCAAAATATGCAGTAAATCTTTGTAAAGTGAAAGTTATTCTCTTGTGTTGATAAAAAGTAAACGTGAGGTAACTTACTCTCTGTCAACAGTATCGGTCGTCACGCCGCCTGATACTGAAGTCTGTCGTTTACGTCGGTCATGAGTTGTTTCCTCGTCCACAGTCTGTCTCGGTGGTTCATAGTCCTGGTTCACCTCTAGGTCTGGTGCTAGGTACTGACGTCTCAGTATCTCCTGCAGTAATAATGGTTCTAGGTCAAGTACCAGTGAAGAATCGATCTCCTTAGGTACCAGAACTACAAATAGTTCTCCCTTCAGTGGTGTGTCCTGGAGGGGGAGCGCTGACACCACCACTAGCAGGAGGGCGGTGATGGCGAGTGTGGTCTTCATGTTGAGGAGTGTTGGTGAGGACAGTGATGCTCAACACCCGGGGCCTTCAGGCTATATAGTCCAGGACAGGCAGCTGGGAATACCAGATTGACAGCCAACATAAAGCTCGTATTGACAAATATTGCAGGATAATAACATTGACGTCACTTTTCCTAGAGTTGCATGGAACGTTTCAAGGTCAAATGTATAGGAATTTCTATTTGTAAGCTTTCCGAACAAGTTGTCTTTCGTGACGCACTTTTCCTAGTGATGTTGTGCTTGTGCTGTATTGAGTGTGTTTTAAAGCACGCGAAATATAGGAGTATTTTTTTTTATTTAACGAGGAATGACTGGAAAATATTTATTTATTCCCCAAATACTTACCCAGCCTATGTACTTATTTTTCTTCTCTTTCACAAATAACAGTTTCATGCTATCAGGTGAAAAGTCATAACTTTGTTTTGTTTTGTATTTGGTTATTATATCAATCAAGATCTTCATTATCTGAAGCCCAAATGATACGACGACTCGAGAGTCACTTACTGAGCAGCTCAGTGGCTCCCTACAGTAAATGTGTTGACTCCGGGAAAAAGGTAAATTTGCCACCAGTTTAAAGAAATATTCATATATAAAGGAAGTTTTGGTAAATAAGCGATCAATTTTTGTACAGTACTTTACTGACCTGCCGACGACGTACTGTACAGTACAGCAATTGTTTCAGATTTATATTTAGTTGTTGGTGCAGCTCAAAGAAACGCTATTTTCAGATTAAATTTCTACACTTATATTAGTGGTAATTTTAAGCACCTCTTAGATGTGATATATATATATATATATATATATATATATATATATATAGGGTATCCCATAAATTTCCATACATAGGAAAAATAAACCTTTTTATATGAAAATCCATTTTTATTTATATAATATGCTCTACATGACTACCATTCTGTTGAAAACACTCTTCAGTGCGTGTCCTCCACTGCTGAAGAACACGTTCAAGCACAGCTGGAGTTATGCTTGTAATGGCGTTGGTGATACGTTGCTTGAGATGATTTATGTTTTGTATCTTTTCCTGATACACCATGGCCTTCAAATGCAACAGAATGGTAGTCATGTAGAGCATATTATATAAATAAAAATGGATTTTCATATAAAAAGGTTTATTTTTCGTATGTATGGAAATTTATGGGACACCCTGTATATGTATATATATATATATATATATATATATATATATATATATATATATATATATATATATATATATATATATATATATATATATAGGTATATATATACTATTTTCGTATGATTGTGTGTATGAAGTATATGTAACCTGTACAACGTATCTGCCTTCACATGTATCTAAAAAACATAACACACACACAAACACTCTACAGACAGACATACACACACACACGTATCAACGCTCCAGTTCAAGGAAATTAATGTAGAGGAAGTGAGACAAACATCAACACACACGCACCTCCAGCAGTGATGGGCAGACAACATTATTACTCGTCACGGCGGTACATGGCGGACCTTAACTCACCTTGTAAAGGTGACGCACACCCACACACACACACACACACACACACACACATATAATGAATAACTCGTTCCTTGAACGATCTGACTATGTATTTCCCGTCTCAAATATATATATATATATATATATATATATATATATATATATATATATATATATATATATATATATATATTTTTATTTATTTATTTATTTTTAATAGTATTTCTACAATAATATTACAATGTTTATAATAATAATAATAATATATAAAGGGTAAAATAAAACACACCTACATTTAATCCATATATTTGTGGGTTTGTATCACTCGTTAACACCCAGAATAATTACGGTACACACAACACATTATCACAGTCAGACAGTGATAGAGTAATCTGTAAGTATCATCTTTGGGCACAGTGAACTAACATAGTAAATATATGTAATGGTAAGACCCTTTGCTTGTGTTGTATGTGTGTTTAGAGGATCTTGGCCCCTGTGGTTGGTAGGAGAGAGCATCAACCTGTCAGGGGAGGAGTGAAAATAGTCCCCAGTAACAATAGGTTCTTGATATGAAATAATTTAACCCAACCTGACCTGACCTGACCTGATCTGATCTGACCTGATCTAAACAAACCTAAGCTAAATTAATTCTTACCTAAACCAACCTAATCATCGGTAATTTAATCAAACCTAACCTAACTTGACCTGACCTGATCCAATCGAACCTAACCTAAATTGAATCTTACCAAAACCAACCTAACCATCAGTAATTTAATAAAATCTAACCTAACTTAAAGTAATTCAGTCTAACCTAAACTAACATAACACTTAAAACTGCGACTCATTAGGAGAGGTGTTCCACTAGACTTGAAATTCAATCCTAATTATCAGTGTACAGTCACGGTAAATAGTCCTGGCAATCCTCCCTCCCTTCCATGAACCCCGAGTCTCATGAACCTGCGAACCCGAGACACCACATACTATTGGGTCTATAGATTGTACACTGTGTGATGTCTCGGATTCAAAGGTTTATGAGTCTCAGGGTTCATAGATGGGACGGAGAACAGACATGACTGCACCAAAGATGTCAGTTCAGTTGGGATATAAAAGAGATACAAGCGAAGGTAATGGAATATACTTCTGAAACTAAACACAACAGATCTTTCTTGTGTCCAGTAAAGCGGGCTTGGTGTCCTCTACTTCCCTTAAAACTTGTGTGTAAAACCCAGCCCTAAATTGGTGCTTCTGTAAATGGAGGGAAAGATTTAGTGGATATATTTACTCTTTAATATAAAACATAACACGTTAATTATATTTTCAGTTTAAGTGACGATAGAAAATAGTGTTAGACGTTACTGGATGTATTAGATGCTTAAAGGTCAACTCTTTACTCTACTCTACTCACACAGATGCCAGCAGTACTCAATAAACCAGGTAAAATTCTTTCAGTACACAGTTCAAAATCTTAGGATAAAATTTTTAGGTTAGATTAGGTTAGGTTAGTAGGTGAAGGACTTAAACAATAGATTATAAACCTAGAACAAATTAGATCAAGGTATGAACACAGGCTAGTCTTCACCCTCAGCCACACTGGTAGTTTGTGAGACATGATATTTCAGGCGCCAATTGTGTTTGGATGAGAAAAATCAATGAATTGCGTTATTTAACTTAATTTGTTGACATTGTTTGACTTTTATCTCTAATTCACTGTGCTTGAAAGTATGACTATATTGTGTACGGTATGGTTGGCTGTCGTGTTTTCCTCTGTTTACTTCACGATGATCTTATTTAAATAACTAACAGTTTTTCAAATATTAATGTAAACAAAATTATAAGTTGTTAAACCTCATGATGCAACTTCGGAAAAAAAACTTCCTCTGGAGTTATCCTTTAAGTACTGTAGCTTTAGGCCGTCACTTACACAATCTACGGTAACGACTGCCAATTAGGGACACTGTGGTTATTGTACACTAAACCTGTCCACAAGGAGACAACGTGGCCGACACTGTAGTGGACTGGGAGGACCCGGGAGCGAACAAGCGACCACTATGGCGGCGAGAATGTATCACCACATAGGGTGTATTAAAACATATGGTATTACAGTTTATGTCGACTAATTTTTACCCAACAATTGATATATTATTTTACTTCGGATATCTCGCTATTATTATATTCCATCGTACTTTGACCTTATTAGGACGGGGACCATTGTGAGTAGTTCTTGGTCCTGATGGCTGGACTTGGTTAGGTTAGGTGAGGCTGGGACGCATTATATTATTTGGCTGTGGGAGGTAACCAGATTGAAGTTATATAATGTGGTAATTTCAGTGATAGGGTTAACCTGTCACTCAAACACTGATGCAACAGGGAAAAATCAATATATTAGACTGAACAGATTATAGAAGTGACTCACTTTCCAAAGGTGCCCTTGGTGTGTCCAACGCCTACGTTAAACGACGTTTGTTTGTTAGGTTTGTATTTGTAGCCAAGGTTGACTCCCACTTCTTTGTTGGTGGCGCTGTGGTGGAGGAAACATGATATTGTACATTACGTTCATCTATCTTGGAGGGTCTGATGAAGGAGTTGTCTCAGTTTAGGATCATTCACTTTGGTTGGCATGACTCCATTGCTTAAACAGATTCAAATCAATATATATATATATATATATATATATATATATATATATATATATATATATATATATATATATATATATATATATATATATATATATATATATATATATACTTTACATATACCTATGTAAAATCTCCCGCTCAATTGCTGCATGTTGTTAAATATTCCTGTGGTGTTGCAATTTTGAAAACGTATTAAAAAATCAGTAGTTGAAAATTGACAATAGAAGTGCTCGCATTCTTACATAGTTACTCAACTTAATATTTTCCAGATATTAATTCATATAAAATATTTTATGTTAAGTTTGCATCATCTCCATAAAACTGTTGATGTATGACTAAAACTGATGATGGTTGCGACTACTCCACGAGTCTTACTTTAAACATATATTTTAATTAACTCAAAGAACCTAAATTATATAGTGAAGAAGTGAGTTACCCGAAAGCTTTGGTTTTATCATAAGTGAGTCCGCCGCTGAAGGTGTGCTTGTCTGAGGTCTTGGCGAGGTTGACTGCCAAGCTGTCATGCCGACCCCTGGGGGAGAAAGACATAGGCTTGAGTACTCCATATATCACAGCAAACTTACGTCACTGGTACTTAACTTTCTATCTTGATATGTTTTATTATAACATTTATTCATATGTATTTCTTCAAGTTACAAAGGACATGATAGTACAGATGCAATTTTTCAAGGTAAAGACTGAAATGTGACATCAGTATTGTAGTTTCGACTTACCCAGGTAGCTTCTCGGTGTTGAAGTCGCCAGATACCTTATACTGTCGTTTTTTTCGCACGAGAATGATATCTTTACCGAGGTGAAGTATGTCGCCCTCGTGTGTGGTAGGGTAGGCCGACGCCAACACCACCACCAGGAGAAGTGAGA